CATGGTGATTTATTCTTCACTAACCCTCATAACATTATTAGAATTGCTAACATATACTTGACGTAGGTCATTAGAATTAGTTTCTCTTTTTTGTTCATTTTATTTTTCGTTTATAGTTAAGTATTGTGAATAAAATTTTATATTGTCCTCTAAATGGGTAACTGTTGGACAATAAAGCTATTATTATTATTATTAAAATCTCGTTCTTGATATTCTTCGTCATGAGCAACACTTGTAAAATGCTATTCATGTAACAAGTGTTTCCTGAATTATCTAATCCGATTTTCTTCTAAAGATTTTCAGGACAACTCTCTACTGATTCGTAAAGAAGAACATGTTTCACATAATATGCATAAGAACCATTTCTCAAGCCGCGATCGATCCTTCCAAGTGATGAAGGGTTTCGTAGAGGGATCGATTCGGCTCTTGCTTCATGAAGCTCTTCCACTAAAGGGGAACCAGATCCACGAGGACAGCAACTCATTTGGGGGGCAATAATTACCTAAGTCCATTGACCGAACTGAAAAAAAAGTAGGTGGATCCATCAATTGCATATATCTTCCATTTCCAATCATCTTTCTGCACGAGCGTATAGGCCTTTTCATCACAATTTTTTTTGTGTGCATGCGTCAGTATCAGCCATCTTTTTTTGTAAACATCCATGTTAAAGATTCTGCAACTCATGTTTTAAAAATTATAATATAAATTGAAGTTTATTAATTGTAAAGAAAGTGAAAGAAAAGTAGTGAGTCAAAATAATCAGAAAAAATGTTTATACCTACTCCATTATAATTATGTTATCTATACGAAAAGGAACAACAAAACGGTGTTGTTATGGAGTATGTAAAAGTGATACCCGATACAAATCATTCAAAACCAATACATAATATTTTATAAATTTTCCAAAGCCTTGTCTTGAATATCGCAAAAAAATAATCAAATTACATATTAAAGCATGTGCAAAATGTATGGAATGTGAATTATGGGTGAAAAAATGTGGCAGGAGTGACCGAGGTTTTAAATCTATTGATGATATTACCAAGGATACTTATATTTTCTCACTACATTTCATTGGAGAAAGTGGTCTAACTGGACAAAACCCTGATCCTTTAAGCTATCAGGAATTTCAACATACGTACATTATTCCTTATTGCATTTGACTTTAAATTTCATATAATGTTGTATTAAATATTTCCTTCTAATAAAAATTACTAAACATATTCATTTCAGTATTTACATATTTGTTTAATTAATAATGTCATAGGTATGTACCTACAACCTCAAAATATTAATAGCTTGATTTATTTATTAGTTCCATAAGTAATACTCTTGTCAACTGTAATATATTTGTAATTACATCAAATAAATTGACATTATTAATAAGAATAAAACTATAAATACTATTTTTTTAATGTTTTTAAATAGTAAACAAATGCTGATACCTAACCTCTCAATCAGCTCACTTTTTTCCTTTTTGTGGATGCCCATGACGTTTTAACCACCTTTTTTAATTGTTCACAATTATGAACTTCAACTGAATTATTAACAAGTGAAGCACCATCAATGGTTTTTTCCAATAATTTATTTATTTGTAGAGATAATATTCCTTGCCCAGCCATTGTTGATTAAAACAAAACGAATGTTTTGAATTACCGCCATTTCAATTTAACAGCTACGCTTGTGCTCGTCTTATGATGAAAAGGCCTAATAGGCCCACCGGTAAAAGCGTGTGGAACTTGGCATACAGATGGCCAAGAAGAAGTGGGGGCCGGTATATACGGTGGCAGAGCAAAGACAAAAATCGCACTCAACATCGGATATAATGTAACTGTGTTCCAGACAGAAGTAGCGGCTTCTGCTACACTATATAGGAAAAATAAACAGGCAGAAGGTCACAAATAAAACCATTGCCATTTAATTCTGCGGGGTAGCGAAAGCATGTATAAAGACATCCATAAATTCATGGATGCAGGCCGAATCGATAGATTGGTGAAATAAGGCAGGCGAAAGAGATCATAAAGAAACCATCGCCCAGATTCACATAAGACCTGCTAAACCACAACCGTAAGGGTAGTGGTGGGTCTATACTAACGGGCAAAGCCGACTCAGAAAACATATGAGTAACAAGGGTCTGACAGAAGAAATCCAATGCGGTTTCTGTCAAAAAGAGGAAGAAACCGCACTGCATGTGCGGTGCATAGTATCTGTAGAGTAGGGAGGGTGAGTGTAGGCCCACAGCACTTAGGCCACATGTGACCTATTGTATATCCTCCCGAGAAGTTGTCCTCCTAGGTCATCGTCCATCCTGTCCTTTCCAGGAAGGTGGACAGATCCCTAGGTGACATCTCCTTTATATCGGCAGGTGTAGGCCAAGACTCGCCGAACACACTCTCTCTTATTGACGATAACTCCGGACACTCTCATAGGACATGCCTGACAGTTTCATCTTCCTGTTCACACATCCTGCATAGAGGTGTGTCCACTAGCCCCATATTATGGAGGTGTTTTCTTAGTTGACAGTGGCCAGTCAGAAATCCTACTGTTAAGCGTAGATTTTTCCTGGTCATCCGCCAGATATTTCTTCGGCGCCAGCTTCCCAGGGTCGACCAGGGTGATCCTGGCAAGATTGCAACCTTTGATTCTATTCCATCTCTTTGGGGGCATGGGTGTAACGTTTGGCTAGTTCCGCAATTGTCGAAGTAATCAGGCCGTAGGTGTCACTGGGTCCTAAAACACTTTGTCCAGCCGCTTCCTTGGCTAAAGAGTCGGCAATGCGATTACTCCTGTCGTGCCCTTTAATCCACCTCAGAATAATGTTACTATCTACCGGGGCTTTGGCTAAATCTTGGTGGCACTCTAGTTCTAGCCCTGAGGTAACAAGTTGTCTGTTCAAGGCTAATAGGGCTTGTCTGCTATCAGTGCAGATTGTTAAGTTTTTGCCAGAAATTCCTTTCCTGGTTATTTCTTTTGTGGCAATTGAGATACCAGCCAGTTCTGTTTGAACCACACTGGTATTTTTTCCCATTCCCCACTTAATCCTTGGGCTTAAGTGATCTGAAGTACACTCCACATTCTGAGCCTTCTTTGATTTTTGAGCTGTCTGTATATTTGCGTATTGCATTTGTAGCATCTGACTCTATGTCCTGTTTTATTTGTAATTTGAAGGGGTTTATTAAACACAAACCTGGGTTCAATTGCATCACTGGTTGTCTGCAGCAGAGTTTGCACAGCGAGCACTTCTCGCCATAGGCTCAGCTTCAATTGACCCATTCCTACTTCGAGGTTTATACCAACCGTGCGCAATCGTAACATGGCCATTAAGGCAACCTCCTTAACGTACAGGTCCAGAGGGGACAGAACAGTAATTAATTCCATTGCCACGATTGGTGTTGTTCTCATGGCTCCTGTGATTTTTTAACAAGCCAATCGTTGTATTTGATATAATTTTTGGATGGCCGTTGCTTGTAGAACTTTTGGGGGGGGATCAATCCTCCTTAATCCCCCCTGGCTACGGCCTTGTCTAACCCCATGAGTGCTGCGAGCAATTGACTTTTAAAATTTTACTATAGTCGAGTTTTTCATTGGTACCGCCCTTGCTTCCCAGCTACCATTCTGAAATTTCAATTGAAGGAAGTATTACATACAATTCTGAAATTTCAATTGAAGGAAGTATTACAGTAGCGTATGTTACCTCACTCGCAACTGAAAAAATACATACAATTTTTCAAACCAAAGTTGACATTTTCAAACATATTTTCGATAAAATAATAGTCCCATCTGAAATTCGCTTTTCATATATTTTGAAAAGGTCTTACCCCAATACTTCCGAAGAAAACCCTAGTGCCCCATGAGGCTCTAATTTAATATTGAAAGAGTTTTGCACTATTTTAGAGGTCACAGGTATCAGCTCTATAGCTCTAGTAAAAAATTTTAAAACTTTTCCTTCAATAAGACAATAAGTGGAAATGTTATCGCCTTCACTTTCAGATTCGTCTTTATAGGATTGGTTGATAGGGATTCAGCCTAGTACACTGATGACACTTTGGCGGCTCGAAATAGCGCTGTTTGGTGTTAGATTATGAGCTCTTGGGCTTCCGTTTCATCAAGTTGTTTTATTTCTGTTGGGACATTGTTTGCAATGGGAATTTCTCCAGTTGCATGAGATGGCAGCTATGCTTGTGTTCTTATATCCTAGTGTTGACGCTGCATTTGATAGTTCCGATGTATAGGGGCAGGAAATTCTATAAACACTGGCGAATGTCAGAGGATCTCTTTGTTCTGGCCGAGTTGTATAATTGATTAGTTCACTTATAAATGTTCTTGAGGTTGTGAAGTTTAAACAGTGTTCCGATGCCGATGCGGTCCGTGACTTTGTTTATGTAAGGCAAATAGACTAGACCTACCACTGGCAGCTGTATCGTGGTCTACATCTCAAAAGAAGAAATACTCCACCTTCAACCAACAACGTGGACCAACCTAGTAACAGTGTGGACTAATTAGAACTAATTAGTAGCGAGCATTTGCATGTAAACCTCGCCATTGCCCGCTCTTTGTCGACCCCGCAGCTGTTTCCTCTGAAAGTATAAATGCAGTGAATAGGTAACTTGCCAATCGTTCGTTGCTGAGACTTCAAGATATCTTTTTTCTTTGCAATCGCACATACCACTGATGATGTCTGCGGCAGTAGCGGACAAAACGTTGGGTACATCAGGTTCCATTTGACCACGACTTACTGTCCGAATTTGGTTCTCTTCAATATATGTATCTTTCAATTTTTGATATGTGGATTCTAATTATCTATTATCCTTTTTTTACCCTTTTACTATGTAAATAGCTTTATATTGTATTGTATATTGTATTTCATATGACTTGTTTCCTATGTAATCATCATATGGAAATAAACTTATATTTCAATCACTCTTTTTAATATAGTTTGGTTTGATTTAAAAAAATAGAGTATCTCTGTATATTGTATGTTAACACCAATAAATAAAAACAACTTTTAGGAAAATTCATAATTTATTTATCAAAATAAATAGAACATAACCCAATTGTTAAACAAGCATGTATGTTATTTGTCTTCCAAGATCGACCAACTTATCACTTAATAATAACTGGACTTTTGATTGATCAAAATCAACTTTGAAGACTGCTTCCGTAGGAATCAATACTTTATATTTGAGAGGCTCGGTGAAAGTTGGTATTTTTGTTGGCCCCACTAATGGATCTTCAAATCTCCACAACTGCAGTAATTCAGGCTCTGTAAAATAAAATTGAAATATAACCAAAAATACTTTGTTCATAAAGTTTTAAGGAATACACAAACTGTTTATTTTGAAGGTTGAATATTCATCTATATATTGTTCTTCCATATGAACTAATATACATTAACGGTATATGATGGAATTGGACAATACTTGATGAAAATCCATAACCAACATATTCAAAAAAACACTATGAACTTTTCATAAACAGTTTTAACAAAAATGCAACACGTGTTTTGCCATACAATGGTGTCTTTATTGTAAAGCCACACCCGAACGTGTCTTTACTGTAAAGACACGCCCGAATAAGCCATTGTATGGCGAAACAGGTGTTGCGTTTTTGTGAAACTGTTTAGTGAAATCATATTTTTAAAAAGTTGAAAGTGAAAGTAGCCCTCAAAACTTTTTGCTCGCTTCAACAAATGTTAGATTACCTTAAAGACAGGATATTGGAAAATGAAAAGTCGGAGGTAAGTTGTTAAGACTGTGACAAAAAATATATCAGCCAGACTACGTAAGCCATTGAAATTTGTTTCAAAGAACACGCAGTAGACATCCGATTTCAGAGACTAAAAAATCTAGTGCCATATAACACACCTTGGAGGACGGTCATAGAATAAATGGAAATTGCCTGAAACTGTTGAAATCGGTAAGTGACACGAGATTTTTAGATGCTTTTGAAAATCTGGAAATACAGCTCCGGATTGAGTCACGGCCGGTGGGAGAAATCATATCTGCTTAAAGTTTGGGTCGGTGTATGACAAAGAAAGTATTAGAAAAAAAGGAATAGAAACTTTTGTTTGCAAAATTACGTAGTACGGATTAACCGGTAAATAATGAATGGATATTACTTACTTTTAATCAGTTTTGAATCCTTGGCAATCTTTTGGACTATTTTAGAATAACTGTCTCCGTCACTGATGGTAATTATTTTCGATAACAACCCATTTTGCGGAACTGGGTTGACGAATTCAAGTTTGATACCAGGTTTAGTGGAAAATAAAACAAACGGCATACCAGGACAGCATTCTTTCATCTTCTCAGACGCTTCTTCATCATCGGTGAACTTGACGACAACCTCTTCAACCTAATAAATTCAACCAAAAGAATTTAATATAAAAACAATTATATTCAACTCACATCTAAAGTATTAGCCAAGTACACACTATTGGCCTTCAGGACTTCAGCTTCATCAAATTCAAGTGTCAAAGCCAAGGCTTTCACTCCTAAATGCTCCATCTTTTCTCGAGTAGCTTGGACGAACGGCATTACTCTTTTCATATACTTTTTCAGTTCGCTCATTTTTGAAAATTCTGCAGATAAAGACTTGTTATCTGGAAGCGTACCTTCTTTCTGAAATTATTAAAAAAAAAAACAATTTTTCCAATCAAAATAGACTTATCCAATTTCTGATGACCGGCCAGTATTAATTGAAAAATTACATACCTCATAGTGATTTTTGAGGCATTTTAAAATGCAACTCTGCCACGAAGGAAAACTCTTAGCCACCCAGATGCTCACGACGTTAGGTTTCTCTACAGGAGCAGGGTTAGGATTGGTTTTAGTTTTGATTCCCTGTTGATAAGCTTTCAAATGAACTCTGAATGAATGAGCAGATTCCATCAGATACTCAGATGCCTTGATTTTAATTTCATCTATAGGGCCAACAACTGGCCAAGAAGCATTAACAACACTGAATTTCTGAAAAAAAATAAAAGTTGTACGCCTGGACTTAAATTTTGTTTTTGGTGTTTTCATAGTTGAATATCGGGTATTTTGATTAGTTGAGGTATTGCGAAATTATTATATTGAATTCCATTCAGTAGATTGTTGAATGAAACGTGTCTATACGATCAGATATTGAATTTTGCATCATTTGTAGCACTTGATAATATATAATGCCTATTTAAAAAATTCAGAACTACTTTCAATACTTACATTTCCTATAAGTTCCCAGACATGTTCAGCAACATGTGGACATATCGGACAAATCAATATAGTTTGTACTTCAATGAATTTCAGTAGCAAATCTAGATGCATACCATCTATGCTGAGTTCTCTATATTTGTCTCTAATAGCTTGCATTTCAAAGAATCCTGTTCTCAAAGCCTCTTTGAAAAGCATATTTTCATAATTCTCAGCAGTTTCTTTGATTTTGAAATTAATTTCATTTTGGAATACGTCATCACTAAAGTCATTGAAGACACCAGTTCTGAAAAAAATCATAATCACTTCATAGAGCTCAATTATTATTCCAGACTTTATTATTATTCTTCTGAAAATGTGTACCTACTTTTTATATTATTAACAAAATATGTAAGGCAATTTCAAAAAGAACCTAAAGAGGGATACTCTGTGGTTCTTACTCCAAACCACAACTCTTTTATTTTGAATAATAAATTTAATGGTATTTGGCAACTATAGATATGTGTCTCTGTAACGTTCTTTTTTGCTGAAGTGAAACATCTAATTCTAGCTTAATCATTGTTTAAAAAATAATATTTGGCAAATTCAACCAGTTGTAAAGCCAGAATTAGGAGCTCCAGAGTGGCACAATCTCGCAAAGATTGACAATTGCTTTGTTGTTAATTTAATTCTTCATAGTTATCAAAAGAGTGTTTTACATGGATGTGTTCTTGATTTAATTACACTTTGTCAGTCTTCAATTTCATCATGGACAATGACCAGCAGATTGAACCACATAGTATCTTTGACATTTTTTTGCAGTTGGAAACTGAATAATAATATAATTCATAGAATAATAAATTCATAGAAAATCTATTCATTAATTAAGGAAGTATCTAATTTGAGGAAATTAATTTGGGAGATGGACTTTTCAAACCAGTTCCCAACTGACATAATGTTTACTTCAACTATTTTAAGTACAATAATAAAACATAATTACATTTTGAAATTCCTAATAAATTATTGAACCTACCTATAAGTCGATTTATTTGCTAGAACTTCCTTAACCCACTCAATGAAAGTATAAAGCCTTAGGATGCCAGCATCAGCCATACTTTCTACAAAATTTGCATCTTCCACAGAGTCACCTGCATCAGCTAAAGATAACCTCATTCCATCAGCTCCAAACTTGTTAATAGCCTCAGAAAGGGTCAAGAAATTTCCGTCGGATTTAGACATTTTGGACGAGTTAAGCATAAGATGCCCATTCGCTCTAACGCCTTTTGGCCATTTGTTTTCCTCCTTGGGCCACAGAGCACAGTGGTTGAAAATGAAATAGGTCAGGTGATTTTGAACTAAGTCTTTGCCCGATACTCGAACATCGGAAGGGTACCAGTATTCAAACTCACGTTTCATCAAATCGAGGGATTCCTTTTTGATTCCACATTTTTCGGGAAATTTGGCGTCTTTGAAGAAGATGTAATCCCAGACATCTGTGGTTAATTGTTCAGGTTTTATACCCAAAGCGTTGGATTCAGTTCCTCTGAAACAAGTTATGTGATTATTAAATGCTGAGTAACTTTCAATGTAAGTTCTGGAGCCAGAGGCTCCAGTTTCATCTCCTATTTTTTACCGGTTTTTGTTTGTATTATGTAGGAACTGTATGAATGCTTTTCAGAGTCACTTTCAAAACATTTTTTCATATGGTGAAAATGTTGTTGAAACTGACTTAGCTGTGAATTGAAGGGATTATATTTTCAGGAGTGATTAATTTTTGCGAAAGAAAGTTTTTGGCTTTCTACTACTCCATCTTGATACAAAAAAGGGATGAGGGAATCTTCCAAAGAAAGGAAGGAAGTAATCAATTTGAAAATAAGTAACTCTATACATGGATGTGTAGATCATGCAAAGAAGTAACTTTCAGACACAAACCGAAAGAAAGTTTTGTCATGTGTTTAATGTATTTGGGGAATAAATCTACCTGTTTTTACTCCGAAGAGATAGAGATGATTATTATTATCATAAGGAATTCCAGTACTAACTTGAAAGTATTTCCTTGCAGCAGATGTGCCACAGTGTAGTAAGCCATATAAATAGTTGAATCCGATAGAGACTCGATCAGCCAATTTTCGTCCCAAGGTAATTTAGTACCGAGACCATATGTTCTAGAACAGGCATGTTCGTGTAACCAGTTTATGCAACCTTCAAAATTTTTCCTAACTTCATCATGATAAGTGTTCATTTTCCCTAGAGCATGCAATGCTTGTTTCTTCCATTCGCCATTACCATAATCAAGGTACCATTGATCGCAGAGAGCTACAACGCATTCGTCACCTGACCGAGACATTACTTTTTTCTCGGGTTCATAATAGATTTCTGCTTCAGCTTTATCAACTAGAGATTTTTGGATATCTTTCTTAACATCCTGAACTTTTTTTCCTTTGAATTCTCCTACTTCCATAATCTACAATATCAACGATTTAATAATAAAACATCAACTTATGGTTACATGTGAGCTTGAACCCATACCCCTTCGTAAAATCCCTTCAAATAAACCATCTCTTTGGCTTCTAGCAGCTTTTCTTTGTCGTTCTGGCTTTGGATTTTCAATAACTCATTGGCAGTTACAGCTGCTAGATTCCCAAGGCCCGGTACATTCAATATTGGTACTGGTTCGAAAGGCAGAACCATTTCATCTTTGATATTATATTTTTCCCTGAAGGCTTGCTTTTTCTTCAAATCTGTCAATGCTGCGTAGTCATCAGGTGAGTCAGAAGGAACACTGGTAACTACACCAGTGCCTTTGTCTTCTTTTATGGTTAGCATAGGCAACGCATATATCTTTTCATATTGCGATAATGGACTTGTTACAGCACATCCCAGAAGATCCTGGAAGTAGAAAATATTATTACTGGCAAAAAAAAACATTTCTAGTAGTGGAAGTTTTTGATGAAAGTGTATGAATGTAACGCTAGGGTGTTGGATTGTCTCTAGGACAGACCAATTATTCAGCTCCAGCTAAACTGAATGGAGACACAGTGAGTGAATACGAGATATAATAACTTTATTGGGCGTCAGGTAACTTAATCCCTCTGAATAGATATCTGAGCTCTGTTCCTAAATTATCAAATGAACTTCATCACATCTGTCAAATGAAAATTAAATAATTGAAATAACGAACTGATTTATTGCAATTAATTTGACGAAATCATCATCTGAGTTGAACTAGTAAAAAAATAACAATATTAGTTCATAATGTTATACATTTTGATTTTTTCTCAAATAATCTACTTGTTATCTTACTTCGGAATTGTATTATTCTTATAAATTACATTTGATCCACTGTATTGCATCAAGTACTACAAAGCACTGTACTACTTATATATCAATTGGGCTTGCCCGTGTATATATAAATAAATAAATGAAATCAATGAGGTTGCAAAGTAACTGTCAAAACCCCGAACATTTTATCAATTAAAATAGTCGCTAGCTTTGGATCCAGAGTGTAAGGCAGTATATTGATAACCAACAAAGTGGTTGAATGATTAATTTCCACTCTTACACATATCACTGAGCAGACATACATGTACGACACAAATATCGAAGAAAGTATTTATTTATTGTTTACTTGGGTGACTCAATAATAATAATAATAATATTTATTCGCAGAAAAAAAGAAAAGTTTTACATAATAAAGTACAAATGTGAATAAACAGCGGCAACACGGAAGCAATATGAATATTGCTTGTATGTGTTATGGCCATGCTGAAGCTAATAATGATAAAAAACAAAACAGAAAAATACATGAAGCAGCAATTATTATATACAATCATTAACAAATATTAGCATGGATATGTTCTGACATTTAAATTGTGTCACAATCGGGTTTACTTAATTACTTAAGTCAATATATGGTAGAAGTTCTAATCTGGTGCAATATTTTGAGTCTCTTCAGGTAATAAATGCCAGTTCTAGTACATATATAACAACACTACAAACACTCATATACATTTGCACACGAATATTCATATAAACATATAGGTTCAGAAACAAATTCGACATATATTTAAACTTATAGACATTTATACATATACACACACATATAAACGGATATATATGCGTACGCACACGTGTACACACACACATTGTGCCTGCAGATTATAATGTTATTACATACTATCTGGAAATATTTTGATTCACAAAATCTTTAAAAAATTTTCTTCCTCTGTCAAATATCCAACCTTTTATTTTTTCTTTGACATTTTTAAGCTGTTAATATTCTTTATTGTTTCTGGTATGAGGTAAAGGCGCGGTCCCAGATAAGCATTTTTTTGTCCTATCGTTTTTTCACATCTAGGTGTAATTATGCGCATATTTCTATTTCTAATATGATGAGAATGAATCACTACTTCTAATGAAATTTTTTTTCTTATATTATCAAATATACTCGAACAAAATAGTTGACGTGCATCAAGTATGCCAGATTCCTTGTAGAGTCTATCGCTTGGGTAAGTTCTATTTTTATGTAGCATAATTTTGATAATCCATTTCTGAATTGTCTCAAGGTTGTTCAAGTAGCAGTCATTCACCCCTCCCCACCCTATTATCCCATATGATATTTGTGATTCTACAAAAGCATGGTAGAGAATTTTCAGATATTTGGTGTCTAAGATGTTCCTCAAGTATTTGAATTTGGCCAGTGTACCTCTCAATTTTCTGACAATGTTTTCAACGTGAATGTCCCATCGTAGATGTCTATCAACAACAATTCCTAAGTATTTTATCGATTCTGTTTCTGGTATTACATAGTTTTGTCACATAGTTTTGCAAAGGACCCATGTTTGGTAGACTGCTAAGTAAGACGTAAAGGGTAGGTATTTGTTTTTTCGAAATTTATTGTCAGTTTGTTGTGTCGAAACCATTTTTCAATTTCTAAGAAATCTGATTCCGCAGATAATTTTAACTGTTTCCATGAAGGATTTTTGTACAAAATAGCTGTATCATCAGCAAAACTCAATACTTGACCTTTTGTTTCAAGACGTAGTAAGTCATTCAAATAAATAGAAAATAAAATGGGACCTAAGACGGTACCCTGTGGAACTACGTAAGTCACTATTTTGGGTTGGCTTAGTTCACCATCAATGCTCACTCTTTGTTCACGATTATTTAAATAGCTTTCAATTATATTGTGAGTTCTTCCATGAATCCCACAGTTTAGTAATTTTTCCAAAAGTTTGGAGTGACTTACCGTAACGAATGCTTTTGAAAGATCAACGAAGATGCACATTGCCGGAGTTTTTTCATCTAGTGTATTGTATATATAGGATGTAAGTGCTTGAATTGCATCTTCAGTTGACCGTCCTTCTCTGAAGCCATACTGACTATCAGCAATCAGTTTGTATTTATTAGTGAATTTGATTAGACGTGTTTTTAGCATTATTTCAATGATTTTCGCTATATTAGATATTAGTGTTATCGGTCTATAGCTGATTATGTCAGTTTTATTTCCTTTTTTATATAAAGGTTTTATTATGCCAATTTTAAATATGTGTGGAAAACATCCGGCCTCAAAACATTTGTTGATTAAAAAAGCCAATTACCCTTGCAGTTCCAAGACACTGGTTGGAGTTTCTTCCTCCACTCAAGTGGATGTAGAAAAGAAAGTTCCCAAAAAATTAACAAATAGCTTTCGATGCGTAGGGTAGAAAAATTAAGCCCTGTACTGGAAAACTTCCAAAAGTCCAAGAAGCGGTTTTTTCAACGTACCATAGAACCCATTCCAGTTTTAGAAAGGTTCTNATGTATTGGACACAGTGGATATCCACTTCATTGTTATCTACTCACTTTGTCAATAAGAATAATTATTCTTGGACAATAAAGTACAGTTTGATTTGATTTGATTTGATTCTTCTACTGGTTCAATAGACAGCCATTGATTGGCCCTTGAGAATCAGACAGTGTTACCTAACATCGATGGGGAAAGATCCCATGAACACACATATGTATTTTTAGAGATATGTCCTGTTGGAGAATTGGAATATATAAAGACAGAAATCACAGACCTCCCCTTCCATCTGAGAAAAAAGTTGGTAGCACCCTTTCAACGACGAGGCAAGCTAATGTCATTCCTATCAAAAAGTACTAAAAAATACATAAATTTTGTCCATTCCGAAGTTGAGAGGGAGGAGGGCTATTTACCACTGTATATAGTCTGACTGCAATGAATGAAAAACGTTTTACCAATGAATGAAACATTCAATTTCTGACAAAATTAAGAAATATTGTTGGATTCATTCAATAAACTGAAATGTATTCTGTATTTCGTCTGTATATCAATAAAGAAAACAACTGTTACTCACTTGTCCTAATAGCTCCAAAACTACATCAAATTTTCCCTCAGTTTTTGTGAAACCCTGAAAAGACATGTTCCTCGCAGCCCTTCGAGTGCATACAAAAATATCTCCAGTTTTTGTTTCGAAAGCAATGTATTTCATATCTGGTCTCAACCAACAATTCGTCTGTCCATACATTGTTTCAGGTCGCATCGTTGCAGCTACCAAAAATACTGGCTTCTTTCCCAAAGAACTAAAATACGAAATATTTTATTAGGTATTGTTCATTTATTTATTTATTTATTTATTTATTTATTTGACACTTTGGTACATTGAGTACATGTGCTAAGTCATAATTAAAAAACAAAATAAAACTACAGAAGTTGAACAATACAAAAACAATAAATATGGTTCACGTCCACAAACTTTCACCACATAGAAGTATTATATAAAAAATCGGAGAAGCTCTAGCAAATACTCTCAAAATGTCATAAAAAAGTGTCGTGCAAGAATTCCTCAAAACTGTAGTAACACTTCTGTAACAGAAGTTTCTTCACCTCAATTTTAAAAAGTTTATCTGACTCGATTTTCCTAATAGATGCCGGCAAGTTATTATAACAGTTTGTTGTATTAAATAGTGGGGAGCATCTAAAGTGAGCCGTTTTGTGTGAGGGGGTTCTTAACAGTTTCCCATGACGGGTGTCTCTACCATGTATATCCGCGTTTGTGACAAATTCATTTATATTGTTACGGGCAAAAGTGACACACTTCAAGATAAATAAAGAAGGTGCCGTCAATAGGCCCTCTCTTAAGAAAATTGGTCTACAACTATCTTGAAAATCTATATTAAAAATTAAGTCTCAGCAATCTTTTCTGAGCAACAAAAACTCGTGGAAATTCCCTTGCACATCCCCAAGAAATGATATTAAAGCTGATGTGAGAATAAGCCATAGAAAAGTAGACATTCATCAATCCAAAATTATCTAGAGTGTTTTTCAATTGTTTGATTGAGTAATATGCGGAATTGAGTTTATTGCAGACCTTCTGAAAATGACCGCTCCAGGTCAAATTTTCGTCTAAAGACGTTCCTAAAAACAAGACTTCACTGGAAGATCGAATACCATTTATTGTGGAAGAGTCACTGCTGAAATTTTTCCTAATAAATGATTTCATTGAATCAGATTTAGATTTATTCAGAATAAGTTTGTTGCGTTGACACCAAGCACTGAATTTATCTATTATTTTATTTATTTTGTCTGACAACTCAACTTCGTTTTTGTCGGCCACAGTAATTGCAGTGTCATCCGCAAACATGGTTATGTGACACTCAGAAAAGAATTCAGACAGGTCATTTATGAAATTGAGGAACAACAATGGTCCCAGGACAGAACCTTGAGGCACTCCTAGTTTTACATCTTTGGGACTTGATAAAATTCCATTGCAGCTAACTATTAGACTACGGTTTTCCATATACGATTTCACCCAGTTCAATAGATTATTTGGGAAACCTAGGCCTGCAAGTTTAATTATAAGAAATTCGGAAGAAATGGTATCAAATGCTTTTGACAAATCGAAAAAAAGTGTTACAACTAGTTTATTCGAGTCAACCTGTGTATAAATGAAATTTATTAAATGGTGTGAAGCTGATTCAATTGATTTGTTCTTCCTGAAGCCATATTGGTTATTACTAAAAAGATTATTTTGATCCATGTAATTCAGAATACTGTTACTAACAACTTTCTCAAACAGTTTAGAGAGGGAACAAAGTAAAGATATCTGTCTGTAGTTGTCTACCTCAGTTTTGTCGCCTTTTTTATATAGAGGAAATATGAGAGCCGTTTTATACATTTTATACATTTGGAAAACAACCTACAAAAAATGACTGATTCATCAAAAACAATAGTGGCTCGATTATAAAGTCTACAATTTTTTTCACAGTAACTATTGAGATACCATCAGTACCTGCGGAGTTTTTATTTGCCATTGTTTCCAGAGTACCTAGAATTTCTGTCTTTGTGAATGGGGATGTATCGAAGGGATACTGACTAACAGTATTCTTCGAATAGGTACAGGGAAGTAATACATTTTGAACAAAGTGCTCTGAGATGAGCAATTCGGCAGAAGATGAAAAATGTTCAAATGGCAACAAAAATAGCAAGGAGCTAGAAACGAAACCTTGGAATGGTAACATGTCAAAAAATTTAATATGATTGTGGTTTTCAACAAAATGGATAAACATATTGCCAGAAGTCTGAGTCGGAGATTTGTTTTCCTACTCTTTGGCTTGTCGGAGATTCAAAACAGTCGAAAGTAATGATTGATTGATATGTTTATTGTTCAAGAATGAAATTCTTGTAACAAACACAATGTCATAAATAAATAGTAATATAAACATGAGTATAAGATGTGAAGAATAAATGTATAGAATGTAAATTATTAAGATAGATAGATAGATCTTTATTTAAATAGGATATCCTAATAATATACGAATCAACTAGAATGGTAGAAATAAAAAAAACAAGGTATGTGTTACATATAGAAATGACTTAAATGTATGACAAACATAAGTTCAATAAAATATTTTTAAAGACATTACTACAAAACAGCAACATTATACATTCGAAAAATTTCAATGCAACATGTAGAAAGATAAATTACATAATTATTTGAAATATATAATGAACATTAGATGAATGGAATTATACAAATTACAGCTACAGGTAACAAAGACATAATACATATATCATATTTGTACATTTAAAACAAATTTCTTCAGTTCATTTTTGAACATGTTCAGAGATGGGCTATTTTTAATTGCATTAGGTAATTTGTTGAACCGATCAAAACCCTTGAAAAACAATGAGTTCATTGAATAGATATAGGATAGAGGAACAATAGTCGAAGTGTGGCTGAACAATTGACTTGTAAACTGTGATACTTGACTCCGTTGAAAGATTATTGGCAATTCTAGAAAAAAAAGAATAATTTCTTTGAAATTTTTTTATGAATATACTCAAAATGTTCATCAAACGATAGAGTGTTATCTATTTGGAATCCCAGATATTTAGTTGAATTCACTATTTCAATTTTGTCATCATCAATGTTGAGATTAATAGTTTTAGAGTCTATTTGGCTGTATTTAAACTTGGTGGTGATTATCATCGCTTTAGTTTTCATTACATTCAGCTTGAGTTTATTAATTTTTAAATACTTGTTGACACTTGCTAGAGTATTATTCATTTTTTGTATAGCCATCGTAAGGTTCACATCGCTACAAGCCAATAGAGTATCATCAACAAAAAAGTTCATAAATTCACAGTCGACAAACAATGGCATGTCGTTTAAATATAGTATGAATAGAAGGGGTCCCAGAACACTACCCTGGGGAACTTCAACGTAATTGTCAATTTCACAAGAGAACATGTCTTTATCTCTTACCCGTTGTTTTCTGTTGGTCAAGTAATTAGATAACCAAAAATACACTTTGCCCTCAATTCCATATATATTCAATTTGGCTAGTAGTATAAACCTATCAATGGTCTCAAATGCTCTTTTGAGGTCAAGGAACACGACTACAACAAACTTATTATTATCCAGCTCAGATTTAAATTTGTTTAGAGATAGTTGCACTGATGACTCAATATAAACTATATATACATACATATACAAAGGTTACATGACAAGAACTAGGACAACGAATAAAAATATGTTTTTCACACACAGTACAATCGCGATTTCCACACATTCTAAATTACAGGGCATCGTCAAAATATTCTTGTAGGTCATAATAGGCTTTATCACTTGATAGTTTTGTACATTTCTTTCTGAATATGATAAAAGCCCCTTTGATTTCAGTTTATTGTATATCCTGATTCCATTATATATCAACGAGTTTTGAACCAAACATGTTTTTGGAATTGGTAGATTCAGTTCATTTGACTGCCTTGTGTGGTATATGGATGTAGCTGTAGATTCATAGTTCTCCCTATTTTTATGTATAATTGACACGGTTTCCAATATAAATATTGGAATAACCATAAGGATTCTATGTTCTCGAAAAAGGGGTTTACGTGAATCCCGCCATTTCGCTTTACATAAGTACCTGATAGCCCTTTTCTGCAAGACAAAAACCGACTGCATAATTTGTTTACTGCAAACACCCCAAAAGGGTATACCATACCTTAGATGGGAGTCTATTAAGGCATAGTACATTACTTTCACAGCAGCAAACCCCAGTTCCTTTGAGATGTTTCTCAGTGAGAAACATCCTGATGGATTTGTAAAAAAATAACATTTTAATGAAAAGGAGCATTTTCTTTATACATATACTAGCGACTCGCCCCGGCTCCACACGGGTGCAATGCTGATACTAAATATACATATGAACGTGTGTGATTGCTGCTAATCATAAAGTTCTATATGGCGAAGCGCGGCTTACTACGCGCTATTTATAGGGGCCCCTGGGCCCCCGGCCGGTACCGTCGCAATCGCTGTACCTGCATTTCAAATATGTAATATCTTCGAAAATATTCATTTAAATTACATGCACAATGTATTTGAGATACTTAATTGGATAAGGATTAATGCTGTATTGCTTAAAATCGCTTCATAAACAAGCTATTATTTCTCGAGGATAAAAAAATTATTGTGAGTTATCCCTAAGAGATAGACATATACCATCTTGGACTTTTTTGTAGACGTTTTTAAGGTGTACGATACTGTAGTACATTTTTTGATCTATCTTGTAGGGTTCAGCCAGTGTTTGCAATGTAAGCACAAACAAATGCGTTTATTTATGACATCACATTAGAAACCTCTAAAATTATCAGTGAGTCTCTACTATTTTAAGCATGTTATATACAATATAAACTATCCTCTTGAATCACTCTATCTATTAAAAAACCCGCGTCAAAGGCCGTTGCGTAGTTTTTAAAATCTAAGCATACATAAGGACAGACAGCGAGAAGCAACTTTATTTTATACTATGTAGTGATTATTCAAAAAATTTGACATGAGTTAGTTCAGAATTTCATAGTATAATATTTAAAATTATGCTAATAAGTAAAAGAGGAATTTTTTCACCCTAAACCATGCAACCTTGAAATTGATCACTGTTATTGAAAGTAAAATTTTATATCAAAATTTTTCATTCATTTAATCATTGTTTTGCGTTTTATGTAAATGTTTGGATTTCATTACAAATTTTTGGTATCCAAGAAAAAAATATTTTTGTTTTATCTAACGTTCATAATGAAAAGAAGTTGTTTCAGATAAGGCTTTCTTCTGGTTTGTATCTGTTATTTTTTTTCACAGAATTTTCATTGATAATAGTTTATTTCCTTTCCTTGAATGGTGTCCATTCCTCATATATAAATTGAGATATAGAAAGCCACGACAATCATTATAATCTACATAAGATATAATATTTACCTCAATTTCGATGGATATGGTGCGATAATTTTCATTTTGATCAGAGTGTATTCCTGTGGACCAACCCCTTCTCCCGAAGAACGATCATGGTCCATACAGGGCTGACCATCTCGAACTGAATAGATAGTGTATCGTTTTCCGAACTGTATTTTATTCCTTTCTTTCAGCTTGAGAAACTGCCATCTTATAAACGAATCATAAAATTTATTCGCTTCAGTAGTTATGAATGTTCTTCTCCAGTCGGTCTACATCAAATAAACATTATTTTGATTTAAAAGTTTTTAATTTTTCATTGAAATACATTAATCACTTTTATTGTTCTTCAAAACAATAATCGAATAACTGTTTAGCAAATGAAAATTTTGCTAGAAAAAGAGTACTGGCTTCAATTTTCATTGTGTAATTAAATGTATGCAATTGAACGATCATATTGAAATTTTGAAAGCTCTTCTTACATTTGACAAGCTGCGACAGTTTTATTAAATGTTGAGTACATTAACATAATGAAAAAATATTAAAATAGTTAAAAGTATTTTTGAGAGACAAATTGATAAGTAAAAGAAAGCTCAAGTAAAATTAAATAATAAAAGATGGAATTTACAGATAAATCTGAAAAGTAAATATTATTATCATTAAATATTAAAATTATTCTCATTAAACCTAATACCAATTACTAACTGTTATGATACCTAATTTTTACCTGGATTTTACCTGTAATTAATATGTAAGAGAGTAACCAACGGACTGTTTGGGACCTTTGTGGCTATTCGTAGATATCATTAATAGTTTTTTGATTTTTGAATTATCGTCACATACCATTGTCTTATACAGTTATTATGTATTCAGTGAAAATATTTTATAGTCAGCAGGGCACATTAATTTGGCATTTATACCATTTGTTTTTTTTCTTCGTTTTCTTGAAGAGAATGAAATATTCTTAGCAGACAAGTGGGATTAGAATGTTTCTGAATGAAAATTTGTCGCCGCTCCACAATGTCAACACAGCTTGTTGTTTTATAAGTTTGGTGTTTATATATGAAACTGTTACTTTGAACAATCAGGTTTGCGTCACTAATCATCGATTGCAAGGATAATTCCGTTCCTGGGGGCCCTCGAATTTTCAGAAGATATCAAGATCATTAAGTCTATTAATTACACAATGTCAAAACAAACAGCTTGGAATGATGAACAATGATATAGCTATTTAGAATACTAATGTATATAAGTTGGAGTTCTTTATTATTTATGGGGTAATTTATTAATTTTTTGGTGTTATTTTTGATGTCAACATTCATTAGCCTCATGTACTGGGTTGGCAATGTTAATAACTCCCGAGCCACCTAGGGATCATCATAGATATTCACAGTCCGTTAGCCATGTAATGTTGTCGAATCATCCCAAATTCAACTAGATGAATTCTCTCGAGAAAAATATTTAACTTAGGTGAGAATCGAACTCACGACCTTTTGATAGTGAGTTGGGTGCACTACTGCTACGCTAATTCACCGCTATTTTTTGGTATTGATGGTGAATTAGATACAACCATCTACATAGTTACATCTAGATAACTATATTATCATTATGATTTATTTTTAGGAAGATATTATTGCAAACCTGGATTATAAATAGAACTTTTAAGAATTTGGTAAAAATCTGATAATTGAATGGTACTGATTTGGAGGGAAATGAGAACCCGTTTTGTCAATTATTTGTGTCTAATGATAGAAGATACTTTGATTCAAAAATAAATAACAGTAGGCGAGAACTTCAGAGTGAAATCACCTGAAATTTTCAAAATACTTGGAGATTCTTAGCAAAACTTTCACTTGTTAGACAAAAAAGGGAACGGATCAAAAATTTCATTTTTTGAAGAAAAGTCGTCATTCTTTCTAAAATGTTTGTTTGTTAAAAAAATAAGATTTAGGATGCAAAAAAACTGTTTTCAGGGGGTACTGTTTCTCAAAAAATGTTATTTTCAACTTTTCACACACCACGTAAAAATTTAGTTATTTTGCATCAACCATTGAATGGTTGCTAAAGCTAAAGCGTTTATAATGACCCCTCTTCGAAAATTGAAACTTTTTTGTTTCTCCCTTTGTCTACACTGCCTGACATATTGTACATGTAAATAAATGGCCTCGTTCAAGCCCTATCAGATGTGTTTCGACAACTTTCAACATATTGAAATTTTTTCAAGATTTTCAGCGATAAATTTTCGCTAGATAAAATTTCAGAGACCAGCTTGATAACTGATTTCATTTTCAAATATGAACTAGATACTATAAATAACAAACAAGTTATAGCTTTTCAGATTCACAAACTAACAATTTTCATTTTCATACATACATGCAATCCAAATCTGTTAAGATCTTCAACTGCTCTTGGAGGGAAATAATCGAGCCAATACAAAGCATCAGCAAAATTTGGTATTTCATCATCTTTCAATCCCAAGCTTTGCATAATTTGCCATTGATATATAGCGCCACCAGTTTTTGCAGCAACTTTACTCTGCAATAAAAATGAGTAAATGTTCTGAATGTTCTTTCTAAATGAAATAAAAATGATTATATCAGTTTTCTTGATATCCAACAGTCTAAAGTTCTCATGAAACATGTCTGTTACAGTTATTTCACCTTTTTTGATTTGCTTTTATCTTTAGGTATCCTATCATCTTCCTCAACTTCAACTTCTTCTTTTTCTGGAAATTGTGGAGGAGAACCATATAATTCAATCTCTCGCTTCAATTTATCAGCACATGCTTTGATTGGCATTCCAGTGCAATGAAATCCAAAAGGAAACAATACCTACAATTTAACGACATACAAATGAATCAAATAGTGTAACTATAAAAAATTTGTTTCTTATCTGCATAAGAGGTATTCATCTGACTTAAAGAAAAGAATAAGTTTATAGATACATGGATAGATTTGGAGCAGATCTAACACTATCTAAAAAAGTTGATAGTGAGCTTAAATTAAAATATACTACCTATATGTACAAGTTAAAATATCTTCATAATTTGAGACTCATTGATGATTTTGATCATTTAACTGAAACATAAATAAATAATAAGAATACTGAATTAAAAAGGATAGTTAGCTGAAAATAAAAATTATATTCAGCAAAGAAAAAATATGAAAAGAAATTACAATAAAATAAGAATTAAGCAAAAAAACCGATAATTGAACAATTTAAATGAAATTGAAAGATTTCAGTCCAAGTTACTTCACGACGTTTCGATTGTTAGCATCTTCGGATAATGACTGGGGTTATTCCTCCGAGAGATGACTATTTATAGATCATTCGAGTGCTTTCACCTATCCACTCGAATGACCTATAAATCATCTCTTGTAGGAATAAATTCAAGTCACCACCCGAAGACGATTGTGGACACTAAAAATCGAAACGTCGTGAAGTAACTTGACTTAAAATCTTTCAATTTTTAATTTAATTTCAATTGTTCAATTTTCAATTTTTTTTTTGCTTAATTTTTATTTTATTGTAAATTATTTTCAAGGTTTTTTTATTTATATAACTTTGATTTTCAGCTATTTTTTTTAATTTTATTTGTTATTTCAGAGATTTCAAATCATATCATATTAGACAATGGAAGTCCGAACTAATGAAATTCACCATGAAACATTGTCAATCAACTTCAAACAAATAAGAATACTATGGGAGTATGGTAGAAATGGCGCATACCATTGGGCTAGGGTCAGTTCTCATATAGTCTCTCTTCCATCAAGTAAAAACAGTTTTTCAAATAATTGAAAATTAGATTTCATAGGTACCTCATCAGGCAAATTGTTATAAGCATTATAGTCAAGTGATTTAATTGGCTGATAAGCCAGAATTTTAACGAAAGAAATCTTTCTAGTGTTATAATAACGGAGGTTTCTCTGACCCTCTGAGTAGTGAAAGAATTAATTTGCTTGTGTACTTCCTATTGTGTAGTTTGGTGGTAAAAATGATGTTTTGTGTTTTCGCACAATTCATAATTATGTTGTTTGCTGAAAAACAATGTTCAACATTAGCTTTTGGTTTTTAGAATTCTCTTTTCAGACTTTATGAATGAGAGAAGTGTCATTTGTGAGCAAGATATTTTTTTTGTTCCAACATTTGTCTGAATCGTTAATAAATATTGCAAATAGTAGTGGACTTAGAATCAAACCTAATGGCGCACTAAGTCTGGATAAAACAGAGGGAGAAGTAGTTACTTTGGAATTGATTCAAGAGGTTAGATTCAATAAGGGTCAGAGATACACAATAGATTCCATAGTACCACAATTTCTTGAGGAGTATGAGGTGTGATACACATTTAAAGGCCTTGGGTGAATCGCACATGATATTCAAAGTGTTGAAACTATTTTTAATGCCTTCAACTCTTGAATTCATAATTTTAATGATAGCTGTGTTGAAGGGTTTATTGACCATGCTGATCTGCAGGTTTTTATGCCAGCCATGTCTCTAAAATCGTGGTAGACATAATCAAAAGCGATGGGGCAATGGACGAAATGTTCTAGTTATTCTCAGAGCACATAATAATAACTACCACTACATGCTATGAGGACAAGAGCACTTCGTATGTGTCTCTGCAACTCAAATCTATCTCTAAAAGAGTGACTGGAGGGCTAGAAAAACTGAAGTACAAGGAATTGGGAAGCTCTTGAAATTTCTGTAGTTCATGAGCTTGATAACACGCTAATGATTAAATCAAATTATAATTTTCAGCAATACCCACAAAAAAATTATTCACTTCATCAGAAGTTATTTGATTTGAGAGATTTAATTTCTTAGGCTTATTTGTTTCATGATTTACAAGTCTCAAGCTTGCCTTGAATATACTTGCTGATAAAAAAAATCTCTTCACAAGCACAGTTTTGCATATTCAAGATTTATAGAGGGTTTATGCAACACACAACGAGAGCGTTTATGGAAACTTGACCAAAACTAAATACTAAGAACTATGCCTAGAAAGTTGGTCAATATTTATTTAAGAACTCAGATCCAAATTAAAATATTTACAGTTAAAACTATTCTGAGAAATTTCATAACGATAATTTCAAATTTTTATCTAAAGAAAAAATGAATTGTAAAATTTAATTTTTTTTTCAGTTTCAATTGAATTATTTTGGCGGTTTAGAAAAATATATGAAGAATAATTATAGTTATGTGCATAAATCTGATGTTTCTTAGGTGTAGTCTTAGTTACTGGGTCTAGTTATTAGGTATTGTTGTAAAACTCACTATCAGTCATTTATATACCAAGGCTTTAATATGCCCTTTGTGATATCATACATTGTCTTGATTGCTGATGGTTTGTTTCTTATCGTAATTAGTTGCTGGTTCACAAGTTATTTCTATTGTTTACACAGAAGACGGTTTTGAAATCAACGAATTGAATATATTTTTGTCCCTTTTGAAACTCACTTTTTTTCCTCGGAGTCTCTGATACCTAGATGCGAATTCACATTTTGACAAACTAAAGGTATGTCCCAAATGCAATCGGCCATTCATATAAGGATAAGGAAAATTACAGAAAAATTTTTCATTTGGACTTTTAGTGGAATCAGGAGCATCGATTTCGTGAATCTTTTCACTTTTCCATCGTTCTTGGACATCTTTCTCAATTTTAAGCAAGTATTCAAGTTTGAATGTACCTTTCCTTTCAATACTAACCTAAAATTTTTTTATTTTATAGTATTTTGATAATCACATATGAAGAAATACTAACCATATTTATGAATTGAAAGGTGTTTTATGATTTGTTAAATAATATAAATTTAATACAAAATTTTCAGGAAAAAATTTAAAACATAGTCAACATATGCGCCAACAGCGCACAGAAAAGAACAATTTTGACACGACAGTTCGGACCAAAGAGTACACCTCAGAGTAACAAATGTCTTATTACTAGGTTAAATCACAGACCATATTCTGTGGGTGAAATTCATATTTTCTATTTCTTCTTCTCTTTTCTTGAAGTAGTCAAAGAGGAAAAAACATTAGTCAACTGCGCTTGGACAAGTAACGACCATCCAACAAGAGAGAGACAGAAAAAATACATTAAGTAGTGTTGTAGAAGAATTAAAAAACAGTTTGGTTTTGGTGTTTCATTGTTGATTTTCTCTGTTATCGAATTGAATAGTGTTGGGCTGAATAGTATCTCACTTTTCATATTGAGATAATGGAGAACGATTCTTAGCGCCAATTTGCAGAGACCTATAGCACGTGGTTTCGTCTGGCGCCACGTCGCTTCTATTGTTCACATAGAAATAGAAAAGACGCGGAAGGCGGAAGAGATGAAAGTCTGCATCACGTCTCCACGCGATGTACATTTTATTAAATCGAACTTATTGTGAATACAATTGGATGTCATTGAAAACATTTTCAAATACTCGTTATTGTTTATTTAGGAAACTGCATACCATGCTTGATAGGTTTACGAGATCAAAAAATTCATCAATACAATAAAATGTAAATATCTCAAAGTTGAGTCTGTATGAGTGTATGAAGGAAAAAGCAAAGATGTTGAGAAATATTTAAAAAAGCACACTGATTCTTTGATAATTTTAATATTTTTCTCTATCATAGTCTTGTTTCTACAATAACTTACATATTTTTCTCACAAAGTTGCCCTTTTCTCCTCTTTGTATGATATTCTTACTGGTTTTGAGACAGGAATTCATATACTTTCTATAAACTGTATGTCCATAGAAAAACTATACTCCCATACCTCCAGAAATTATTATCAAAAAATCTAAAACCTTCTATATCTTTATGCTCCGTGAGTTGTTATGGGATGAAAAACATATTTTTAACTTTTTTCCCACACTTTGAGAATCATACATGTCACAACCCATTCGTTCTCGTTTTCCGTCATCGCAAAAAAGTTAAAAAATATTTGGATTGATCTTTCTTAACAATAAAAATTTGAATTTTGGACCAATCTGAAAACTTTCAGATCGTCATAGCTCTCAGAATCTAGCTTAACTTTTGTACCTATTGTAACCAAAGACATGCTTGGGTATATTATGAAGGTTGATGCCTATGAAAATAAAATAAAAACCACTAACTTCAACCATCCATTCCATAACCAAAGAAAAGGTATTTAAAAAAAAAAAACGAGAAAAATCCTTGGCTTCTAATATAACCTACGGATCTCATAATTTGTGTAATCCAAACGGTAATTAATTCCGACTTATAACCAGAGTTTTGGTACATTTCCAATGGTTGTTACAGTGCTAAGATTAGTAGCTGTACTATTCAAAATTTCACTTGCACCTTCCAAGCACCAATGTGTCAGCCCCTCACCCAGGCTGGAACTTTTCATATTTTATTTCACTCCAGTTGTATTAATTTGGTTTTCATGTCTTCATTTTTCAAGTTTATATTTGTAACTAACCTCACTAAAAACTTTGTGAACCACGAAGTCTCATTTTTCTGAGCCAATCATTAGAAACAAAATCTTCTTGGGTGATCCAACCCCTACCTTTTAGCACCCACTTCACTGAATGAATAACTGAGGAAGAAAATGAGCTTTAATTTCCTAGAAAATACATTTTTGAGGTAGGAAGTCTTCAAAATCATGAGAACTGAAGTTTCCAAATGTTTCAATCATTTACCACTTTCATCAAAATTTTTGCTGAGCTTTATTGAAATACTTCCTACAAAGTTAATATAACTTTAGATGACCTGTTATTTTTTCTAGAACACTTTTAGGAGCTGGCCCTATTGCGATAACAGTTCTAGTACCAGGAGCCACTTGCGTTTGACCTGCATCACGAATTACACTTGACAATACACCAAACTCTTTAGCACATTTGTCCAGTGCCATCATTTCCTCTTCAGAATCAATTCTCAGTGCAATTTTGGTTCCACCTACAAAAATATATGAAACAGGTGTTGGAATACCAAATTTTGTACAGCTACAAATTAGTTATAAACTAAAAAAGAATACTGACCAAACCTCATCCAGTTTTTTACCACCTTTGGATTTTGTTTCAAACATTTCACATAAGCTGCTACAGCAGCATGACCACACTGAGCAGCAACTTTTCCTTTCTGCATTTTCAGGTCATTTCGTACTCCAATTATTAATCTATACTCATCTGTGGGAACCTTGAACTGAAAATGATAACTTCAGGAATGTAACGTTGAGATCAACGAACAATATGAAGTTCAACTAGGATATAGAAATCTCAAGTTAAACTTATTTCATACCATAAAAAAACTCCACATAAATAATTAGAATATTTGCAACTGGCTTAACCATGCCTAACCTCATATTTATCATCCATTCCATTTATCCAGATTTCCTCTTTGGGCTTATGCTTCAATCTGGTGATAAAATATGTTGTAGCAGCACCAATAAACGTCCCCATACTGAAGACAAAATATGAATTACTTGTTACTAAACCCATAATTGTTTAACAAAATTCAGAGACTCAATTTGAGTTTTCCCGGGATGTCGCGAAGATTATTTGGTCACACACATTTCATTCATCATTCAAAGAGCAGTGTGAAGTTGGCTGCTAATGTTATAATGGCAAAATTTCCGAATACTTCCGAACGATCAGTAGCGTACACAGAGTAAAAGAGTAAAATTGATATTTTTTATGCCATGAATAAACTTGTGAAATTTCACAGATGATCTTTGTATATCTCCCTTCAAAGAGCGGAGCGCGAAAATTCACTCATAAATAATATCATATATTGAACATTCTGTACAGTAGAGATTTAATGTATACAGAGTTATCAAAATGAACGCTTTAAACGAGAAAAACAAAATTGATTGTCATTGTTTATGTTTACTATATTGACTGATTTCCATATATAATTCAGTTCCTTATATAATTTGCGCAAAATTTAGCAACTGAAATATATAGAGAATCATGAAATAACAATAGTAGAGAGCGATCACTCTAAAAGAATAAGTTTACAGGGTGAAAAAAACTATATGTCACAAAGCAGTAAACTTTTTTTTTTATTCAGTAAACCTATTTTCCAAGCAAGTATTTCAGAGTGGTTGCTTTCTACTACTGTTATTTCATGATTCTTTGTATATTTCCGTTGCTTCATGTGCAGAGTATACAAGGAACTGAATTATATATTATGGAAAAAAATTTCTCGTTCCATGTGTTTATTTTGATAACTCAGCATACATTAAATCTCTACAGAATGGTCAATATATGACATTATTCCGGAGTGAATTTTCGCCCTCCGCTCTCTGAACGGGGTATACAAAAAGGTATCTGTGAAATTTCACATGTTAATTCATAACATAAAAGGTATCATTTACAACTTTCGTTGTAAATATTCGCCCCAAAATATTCGAAAATTTTGGCAGCTAACATTAGCAGCCACCTTTACACTGCTCATTTTATAACTGAGCTCTGTGATTCTGAGCTGTCTTCTGGAAGTTTGTTACAATGGAACAGCAGCGCACGAATTGCAGCAGTCTAGCTTCAGTTCTCAAATAAAGTGTATTTTATGGGCATGCGCTTTCGAATGTTGCCAACTGCCAACTGCCAATTATTTGTTGGAGGCTGTGACGCAATGAAAAAGTTACACTTTGACACAGCGGATGCTCCTCTACGTGACTCACAAAATTGTCCGAATTCTCTTAGACGATGTTAGTTGAGCTTATTTCATGTCTGAAAAATGATCCAAAAAATGAGGTTTATCTCGAATCAATATTGCATTCTCAATATAAACTCAACCGTATTCAAGTTGGTTTCTCTAACTTTTCGCCCTCGCAATTCCGGGGAATATATTTTCACAGTGGATGTTGTAATGAAAATGAAGTTAATGAAAATATGCTCTCGGTTCCACATCCACATCTCCAACATACAATTAGCTGATCCTCAATTCAACACTCTACACGCCATTGATCCCATTTTCTCAAAGTTTGCAAATTTGTTGAGAAACAAAATGATGAGCATATGGGAAATGTTGATTGTGATTTCATCTCTTATTCTCCTACTTCATTCTTCTGCTCAAGCTATGTCTTTCGAGAATGATTTCACCATAAGTTTCTGGAACTTAAAGACTTTCCTTATAAAAAGTCCATTGATCCAGAAGACAAAACACTAAGTGAAAAAATGTTCACTAAAACCAACGCCAGTGATAAAAGGAGACGTTACACCATTCATATTTCATTTAAACCTTATTTTGATCCAATTTCCAAATTCATCTCAAATAGATCATCGCCGTATTATTTCCTTTCAAAGGAGAATCTCTCATTCATATTCATATAAACAATTTTTCGAATTTATCGAACCCAACTCCTACAAGAATACTTTTCATTATATTGCACATCATTGTGTTATCAACCCTAATAGTATTTTGATGAAGCTCAGAGTAATTTTTGATGTTTCCTTTAAATCATCTAATGACAAATCGGTAAATGATACTTTTTTTAATAGATCCCAAATCGAAAAGGGTTCTTGCACTATTCGTCTCAACTTCCGTCTCCACTCTGTTGTATTTGTTGTAGATTGGAAAAAATGTCAGGAGGTTTATTGACGAACCAATTCAAAAATATGTTCTCAATACTGTTACCAATGGTGTCAAATCGGCTCTTCATCTTTCGATAATGGTTCTTCTTCATTAAACAGGAAAAGAGCGCTATCAATTTCTCTTGACAACAAAATGTTAAGACGACATTTTTTATGTAGACGATATAGTGACGTTCTCAGATTATCTCACGATGTCATATTCTGTAAAGTCCCAACTAATGAAACTACAAATCAGTTGAACATACCTCACTACCGTTAGATTTTGACGACTGAACAACAGTTCGGTTATTGGGCTTGCAGAGAGGATATATAGGTATTCAAGTTAAACCATTCGTAGGTCTATCAATGCACCAAAAGAACGATTCTTTGAACTTTTCAGAATCTTCCACAAGCTTAGCTTTCTCTCACTACATACACTTTTAGAAAAAAATCATCATTCAAGAAGAACCAAAAGACTTGGTTGGTATGATATTCCACTCTCAGACATCCTCAATATTTAGAATAAATATAAATCGAAATCGCTCCGTCTCTTTGAAATTTATTACTGCCTACTAATTCAGGTGGTAGAACTTGCGGATACATAAAAAAGTCATATGCCCCTATTGTCTATGGTACAGTTATTTATTCCCCAGCAGATAAATTCGCTTTTTTGATTTGTGCAAAATCTAAGGTGTCCCCATGTTTAATAAACACCCTGTCTATTAGGCCTGTTCTGGTTCTCTGTCCTGATTGTTCTTAACAGCTTGGGAGCAAGCAGATTAAGACCCTTGCAGAGACTAGCGACGAAACTTGGTTGGTAGGCCCCTGCATTAAGTCACAAAACCTTGCAGCGTGTCACTACCTGAGGAGTAGGCAGATTGAGACCTAGGTGTAATGATAGATCCTTGTAAATGGCTTCAAAGCCGAAACGTCAAACTACTAATTATTATATTTTATATTGTTAAAGATATATGCTTTCGAGTTGACACTCGATAGAGCAAGAAGTGTTTCTTGAGCCTTATTCCATGAACCTTATTGCATATTCAAATAATGTTATCTAAAGGCAAACTGTTAATGTAAAAGTTATGTCCACCTATTGGCAGGGTATTTCGAAAATCTTATTTCAAGGTGTAATAATATCGATGTCAATGACGTAAGAAGCACTGCCTGCTAAATCGGGCCTCAACTCCAGTGTACCTAAAGAAAGCTACTCAAAGTGTGCACCATTGCACTTCGAGTAACTGTAACTTGTCAATTGTCATATTGTGTTTTCTTTCACTTTTTAATGGTGATTCGTAAAATCGATATATTATTGAGTCGACAATTATTTCAATATTTTGAGTTTGATACAACTTTCAAACTCAGGATTTTTTAGGTTTTTATAATTCAGAACATTTAAATATCGGTATTTGTAAAATAACGTGGAAGGTGAATAATCAATAAAATTTCCAAGTTAAAGTGAGGTGTGAAAAATTATTAGATTGGATAATCTGCCATTGATGAAACTCGACAATCTCAACAATAAACTTGTCATAACTGAAATTCCCGAAAAAAATACACCAATGGAGCCAGTTAATGCAAAGGATGATTCACAAAAATCTAATGACAAGGATAACCCTGAAAAGGGAGAAATTTGTGGTGACGATGATGATGATGATGGTGTTGAAGAAGATGTTCCTGGTGATTTTTTCGATGATTTTTTGAAAGAAGATTTCATGGCTGGATTGGATATTGTAGATGAAGATGAAGGAGAAGAAGATAAACAACATTCTGGTAAGGACGGAAATTCAATGACCTTTAAAAAAGGCAAGAAAAAGAGTCTTGCTAAAGAGAGACGCAATAAACTTAAGAAAGAAAAGAAAAAAATTGATGAAAATGAAGAATTCAGGAGACACGGGAAAAATAGCAGTGAAGATAAAAAAACTAACAAAAGAAGCAGTAGAGAAGGAATGATCAATGCAGATGAATTTGATATCCGCCGTGATCCAAAGAAAACTAAAAGAGACATTGAACGTGATAAGGCTAAATGTGAAAAGGATAAAGAGAAGAAGATCATAACAGAGAAACTCAAACTAGTGGAAACTGGATTAGTACCTCCTGGAATGGAGATGGAGATGGATATTGAAGAAGTAAAGAAAAAGAAGGAAGAGATGGATCAGCAAGAAAAATCTATCAAATTGAGCCAAAGCAGAAGCCCCCGAAAAAGAAGTAGGAGCAAAGAAAAAACTAAAAAAAGGACAAAAAGTCCCCTAATAAATTTTAGCCCAAGACGGAGAATTTCTCCAAGAAGAATTTCACCAAGGAGGAGTCCTAGGAGAAGTCCAAGAAGAGCCTCTCCAAGAAGAAGTCCCATTAGGAGAAGAAGTATCGAAAGAATTTCATTGAGAAGAAGTAGGAGTATCAGTCCTTACTACAGAAATAGGCGAAGTAGATATTCACCAATACGCCCAAGAGCTAGTCCGGATTCATATTCCAGACACAGAAGATCCAGATCTAGATCAGCAAAACGTAGAAGAGAAGAGAAAAAATCTTTTTTGCAGGAAATTGCTGAAAAACTCAATGAGACTCGACCAGCCATCCAAATGATGCCTCTACAACACCTACAGCCTGCACCAACCTCAACTCCTGAAATGTACAATCTTAATATGCAACCATTAGCACAGTTGTCTCATCCATCACCAGTTCCGGCTCCTGCCCCTGTACCACCACCAATTGTAGCTCCCGTGGTGCCACCTCAGTTTAATCCCCATGTACAAACTCAGTATGACCCCTATGATCAGAACTTTTTTATCGGAACACCTCAACCTAACCCTGTATTGAATTATGGAGGATCACAACCTCGACCAACTGAAAATTTATCCCACCTGCCATTGCAAGTTAACACCTTACAGAAACCCGTTGAATCACCCAAACCTATATTTCCTTCTCAAAGATCCAGCATTATGAATTTCAACCGACTTTCCCAGGGAATCGCAAGAGGATTAGAATCTAAGGAGGATATTGCTAAAGTAACATTTCTTTCAATTTTTTTGGTATTTCATTGATTTATATTCTTTTACAGCTTTTTCAAGACAGCAAGATTACATTATCAGAATTTTTGGCAATAACTGCTAAACCAGAAGGTACTGCTATTATTTTTATTCATTTTTATTCATTGTATTTCCCAAAAAATATATAAAACAAAAAAGAAATGATCTGCAATACCTAAAAAAATAGACTTGAGTCCTCTAGATTGGTGGTTTCTGCAATGCATTTGCATCTAGAAGATAGCTAATTAAAACTGCAATACCTTCAAACTTCCCAAATTTGTCTAAATGACTCTTGAAACCTGTTGAAGCAAATTTTCAAAAAAGAAATACAGATATGCTTCTTCAACAATCATAGCTTTCATTACATTACTACATCCAACTCCATCTTGGTAAGTATCACTTTTTCACTATTTTTTGTTAAACAAACAGGTATATAAAGAAACCAGTTTGAGATAATTCATAATGCCTCTGATTTATGAGTAACCATTCGTAAGATACTGTTATTTGAAAAAGAGTTTTTTCTAAAAGGAAATATTGGATTATAACCCAAATGCACCAAGTTTAATCAGTGCAAATATATAATTATCGAAATTTTATGAAGCAGATGATTTGGTTGTAAAATAATTTGATTATATTCTGAGACCGTAGGTCGAGATTATCTCCACAAAGAAGAAACTTTAATATATACTCAAGGATTAAATCAAAAATTATAATTGACCCAAAAATATTTTTGTTAACGGTAATTGTCATATTTTAATTGGCTCAACTTTTTCATTGTTTTTATGCATAGAGGGAAGTAATTAAGGATTATAGCTCAAGTGCAACAAGTTAAAATGTATGTGTATACATAATTTTAAAAATGTTAAGCAAGTGACTTGAAAATATACATCTCGGAAAAATTATTACACAGGAAAGAATTTGCTTAGAAGCAAGATTTTTTAAATTATAGAATTGCAAACATTTTGATCGATTGATCTTCGTATATGAGACATGTCACTTGGGATTATTTCAAGAAATTTAGTTACAAAAGTCAAATTTTTAGAAATACCAGAAAATAGAAGTACTGAATAACGGACCAAACTGTAAATCTTTAAATTATTGAAGGCTGAATGAAGATCTAAAGATAAGCAGCATTTTTCGTTACTTACTCTAAAGGAGACACTTCCATATTCTCAAGTCTTTGAAACTTTTACCACAATTGCCATTTTAGTCTGTAAACATAAAACTAAAGGTTGAGAAAACATAAACTGAAAAAGTGTTTGATTCATTTTTAATGAAGCTTTATTAATTCTTGAATGGTTTTTTATAAATTGGCCCCTCGTAGCTTCAATTATCATTCTAACGGATCTGATAATGATTTTTTATTAACGCTTAGTAATGTAAAGCAATCCCCTGCTTATTTCAAAATCTGAAAGAATGTTCAAAAAAGTATTATTGTTATATCGAAGATCAAAATCCAGACTGAAATATTTTGAAATAATACTTATTTATATTTAGGTTTTACTTCTTGATGAAGTGAGTTCAGTTGTTTGAATTATTCCTATCACTCAAATATACTGCTAACACAGGACTTTTCAGATGTTCTAAATTAAATTTGCCTTATTAATTGATAATTTTTTGTTCAGTTTGCGCAGACAGTCCAGCACACATTCAAGAAAAAATAAAGGGTAAGTTTCACAAATTCATTTACTATTTATTTGTTACTAGATACTTGGTACTATTAAAAGAAAATGAACTTGTTTAGTTGTTTTTCTTTCATCATAAACATTGTGCGACACCCTTTGAAAAGTACCAGCGCATTTGAATGAATATTTATAAATGCGTCTTGTATTTACAAGCACTTTTTGTTGATATTGTCTATTCAGTGGAGTTCAATAATTGATACATAATGATTGTAATGGATTACAGTAATTTCACGGTGTCAGGATGCTATAAAAATATTGGGAAATAGTGAAAAGAAATTTACCGGACCACTGATTATAAGAAAATCGAAACAGTCAATACTGCCTCAAGATAAATTCAAGTCCCCCTTGGTGAAGTTCTCGCAGTTGAAGATTCCTTTCACCGACATGCCTAAGAAAGACCAGCATAAATCTGCCTTCACCAATTACATCAATCACCTACTGCAGAGTATTGGACTCATGAATGAAGCTGTAGTTGACGTGGACGACCAAGATGGTTCATCTAGTGTGGGTACCGCTGTACGTTTGGAAGAAACTTCTCCCCCTCCTCCTCCTCCTCTGATATCTCACAACAAAAACATTAATCAAAATGATATTGGTACAATGATACCACCAAATTTGACGCGTCTCTCAAACAACCAGTTATCAAAATTTGTTCAGACCGAGGTCTGGAAGTGCCAGGAATGTGAAAGGCGTAAAAAAATTGTTTACAAATCATCTGGGGTACAGTGTGGCGGGGAAGGAGTCACTTTTTCTGTCAGCACCCAAGTTACAGAGGGTGATTTCCTTGTAAAAATTCCAAAGAGTCAATCTTTGGCTTCTTTAACACCTGCTCAGTTGCTTGCAAAGTCTGGATCTAAGTTTAGTAGAAATGTTGACGTAGATGATTTTGATTTATCATTTCCTTCAAAACAGACCAGAACGAACTTCCGTCCCGGTTCTGAACTGTACGGTGTGTCTCGATATAATAACCCTAGTCCACCTCCACGCTTTCTCCCATCCAGCCGAGATGACCTAGGTTTCAATCAAATTCCTTCTTCCTTTGGAGGGAGAAGTAGAGGCAACCAAACGCACTCGAGTTTTAGTAATAATTATTATTAATTATTTATGGTTTTAATAGTTTCGTTGGGGTAATTGTTTTTGTTTTGAATATTGAAATGTTAGATTTAGATGCTTGATGTGTTTCTATAGACTCATAATAAAAACATTTCGTTTCAAATCAGGATAGGGTTTTTTCAATGAAATTGGTGATAAGAACACTGTCAACAGTTGCCATCTGATATTGAAACGGAATTTATACTAGTAATAAATAAGTATATGTATGATATAAATATTATGTATAATGGTAATTCTGATGTAAGACATATGTTATCAATATAAACATAACAATTTAATTTGAAGTTTTTGTACATTTTGTTTATAGTTTCATAAAAATTACTCTTAGAGCTTTTAAGCTAGAAAATGTTTTGTTTAAATAAAAATTCATTAATAATTGGTCAACATTTCACTGATGATGCTCCTATATTCGTTGGAGAGATCGGCCAATCAAAGGTTTTTAAGAAAAAAACATTTGACAATTCATTATTCAGTATTTGAAAATGAAACTACATTCAGCAAATGAAACGAGCCGATTTACTTTGTTTATCAGATTCAAATTTCATTTGTAGTGCTTTCTACACATCAAAGTGATAAGAGTCTGCCAGTTGTCGTGGCTTAACAGCATGAGTCGGTTAAATGAGCACGAAATTAGGGATTTCAATTCCTGGCGAAACAATTAAAAAATCAGAGAGGAAAAAAATTAACATTTCATTTTTTCTTTATACCTCAAAGCTGATTGTTCTACCATTTGTTTCTCAAAAAACAAACTAGTTTATATGGAAATTAACAAACTAACAGTAATAATGAAGTAAATAGAAATTAAGACACATGAATGTCGTAAATTAATTCAGAGTGTTCGACAAAGAAGTGTGTTTTTAAATTTATTTTATTATTGTAGTTTATTTTACATATATTCATTCCAGCCATTGTTTACCTATATTTTTATTGATTTTGACTAGTATACAATTATTTGAGAATCTGGTCAATGAGCATGTTTATTGTTATTATTTTGGAAATTGCAAATTTTCAAAATGTATAACAGTTGAAGTTTAAATACCATCGAAAGTTACTGCATGTTCGAGTCAAGTAGCAAACAGGGCAAGTCAGAAAAAAAATTGAATTCGTTTCAAAATGAAGTTACCTTCTTCATTTCTAAAACTAAACTGTATTATTCAGAAAAGTGACTTATTATTTTCTTCAAAATTTTGAAATTTTCCCGTATGATGTATTTTCAATATTGTGATTCAATAATATTTGAAGATGAAAAGTTATATTTAAAGTAACCACTTTGTTCAACTGTTGTATTTGAAATGTATTTTTTTAAAATGGTTTGTTTTTACATTTCAACTTCATTATTGTTAACAGTAATGAAGTTTATGTAATTGAAATGAAAATACATGACAAACAAAATATTACCACAGATACTGAATGTTTCAGATTGCACATGACAAATAAACTTTTAAAAAAATCAGTATGGGTCCTCAGTCTGTGAAAATGTTATTAAAACTCAAAAACATGTAGGTACAATATGTTCAAGATAAGGTGGGCCCAGCATGAGAAAATTGGAAACAAGAGTAAATTAGGAAAAAGTTAACCATTTTGAATGACTTTAAAATTTACTATAGTACAATTATATGATAGTAGGCAGTAAATTCTCAGAAAATTATTGCATTAAAACGAAAACGTTGTCAAAGTTGTGATTATATATATTTTATCGTTTTCCCTCATCTGTTAAGTATAGTTTCCGTACGCCACTGCAAGAGACAGATCATGGCAAAAACGTCAGTCATTTCTGAGAATTTAGTGCCTACTATTTTGGAATCTTAGTATAATTAAACGATTGTTGTGTTTCATCAGTGGACTTGTATTGATCGAATACGTTTATTTTTCTCTTAAAGTTGCTAAGTTACTATTACATGTGTTTTATGTTGTACCGTGCTGTAGGCAAGTGCCTCTTCAGGGGCTGTGTTAATTAAAAAAAAATTAATTGTTTTTGTGTGTAGCTCAATCTAGTCATTGCTGTTGGGTGTATATGTATGGTTACAGTGTTTTTGTTCTGTTTTGGTCGGGTTAGTGGGTCTTATCTCGTTCCTTGGCCATTGCTGTTTTTGTGTATGGGTTGGGTTATCCTTGGTGAGGTTGTCCGGGTATAGTTGCAGGTGGTTTGTTGGTTGGTTCGGGATCTGATGAGTCTTGGAATATAGGTAGAACTATTTATTCCTGTTCTCCTCCTCTGGCAGTGAGCTGTCTTTTACCTGATCGCCAGCGGGAACTCTTCAAGGATGTTCCGTAACCGCCCCAGGAAATCCTCCAGGGCTCCTAGGAGCCTGGCAGGAGGAAATGGGAACTTTTTCCTGGAGATCCTCCTTGGGCCCCCGCGAGGCGTCCAGGGGGTGACCAGTGTCTCATTCGCGGTGGTGTTGCTGCTTCTGATTGTTCTGGTGATGTATTTGCCTCGGAGTTCCTGAAATCTCGGATTTGTAGGGGTTTTACACACACGAATTTACATACGCACATGTATATTAAATTACATTCGGGTGATTAACATATTCTACTATTACTAATAGTGGTGAGAGAATTGACGTTTTTTATCTCCAATCCATGTTTCTTTTGAATTTTGAACTGATATATGATTTGCTTTCTTTGGCGTCATATTGAATTATTTGTCATCTTTGATGCCAATCATTTTTCTTGCAAAATAGTAACTAAATTTTTTGTCTCGCTCCGTAGTATGAGACGGTGGGTGTAATATTTTTATAAATGCATTTCCTTATGTTTTCAAGCTGTAAAAATCCCACCAAGATATTTGTAAGAGCTCAACTTCATAAACTGCAGTGGTTCATCAATTTTTTTCACAAAAGGCTTTGCATGTATCTGTTTTTTTACATATTCAAGGTTCATTTGTTTGTTTATATTTTTTATAAAAAATTTATATTTTTATAAACATTTTCTGACAAAAACAACAAATCACTCATTGATAATATCACTTCTCCTCGTCAAACACCTCACCTCCCTTTTCCTTCTAGTGTTGTTATCTGCAGAATCATGAATATCTATTTTTTTTATTTTCTTATTTTACCTATTTTTCCCTTTTATTTATGTTGATATTTCTCAATATTAATGTAGTTGATCTATTACCACTAAATTTTGATGAAACACTTAAACTACTTCAAATACATTTCAAGGCCACAACACAAGCAATTGAGTTGCTTAGGTGTGTTTTTTTTGTTTTTGAAGTGGAAAATACCATTTAAAAATTATAACACGTGAATTCTGTGAATTATGGTATGTGAATTGAAATATATCATTTTCATAGATACTTTTCAGTTTCCGTTTTTATCTGATCCTATAGATTACCCTAAATATTATGACCTGTCATTAGTGAAACTAATTATTATTCCTCTATAATATGAAGTTGATAAACAGGATATGAGATATAGTAAGTGGGCATATTTGAAGACTGGCTATAAATCAAGTCATCTAAAGGAACAATTCGTTCAGGCCAGTCTTCACTTCGGATCAGGGCCGTCGCCATGGAGGGGAACCTCCTCCCCTGATTATTCGACTTGGGACAAAGTTGGTAAATTTTGGGCAGTGAAGATAGAAAAAAATAATGGTAAAAAAATGAATAAAAATTAAATGAATAAAAATGAGAGAAAAGAAAGGAAGATGTAATAAGAAAAGAGAAAGAAACCGGAGAAGGTTGGGATTTCCCAACATGCATAACTTGGAGATCCCATACTTTGAAATTCTGAGTTGTTTGAAAACTTCAAAAAAGTTTAATTTCTCCCAAGGAAGAGAACAGTCCACAAATTTTGAAGTGACAATTTTACAAAATTCCCAACTTTTCGCTGTTTTTTTGACTTGAAAAAGTTGGGAAATTGGGCCGTGAAGATAGAAAAAATAATAGTAGAAAACAATAAGCACAATAATATTTAAGTGTTGTTTGCTTTCATTTGTATTAAATATTCCTATACATGGTGGAAGACCAAGGACCTTGGTCCAAAGTAGAATAATTCCCATTATTAGTTTTATAATTACCAAAATTTGTTTTTGTTTGTGCCTACTCTAACGGGCACAAGCATTCAGCCAAGCTTTGGATAGCTAATCCCTCGACTTTAATTTTTTCGAAAGTTGGGAAATTTTGCTGGTGGGGTTGGGAAAATTTGGATTCCCTCCTCCCCCCGGTTTTTCTTTTTGCTACGGCCCTGCTTCGGATGTATTGTGAAAATTAGGGAACAAACATAATTCCCTGAGGAACAAAATACGATTTTGTTTTTCTAAATGTTTATTTCTCTACGTATAGGTATCTATGTATCTCTCCACGATACACCCTTCACCTATTTTGATTTCAGCTAGAGTATCGGTACATGAGATGTTTCTTCCCCGCTTTTGGGGCTTTGTTCACGAGATGGAGTCGTTACTAGTTAGATAAAGGTTTCATACATTCGGAGTTTGTTCAAAAAAATATGGTGAATGTTTATATTTCGCGGGTGAATTTTTGTTGGTACACATGTCTTGAACATATGTTCACAGTTTCACCTGTTTAGCATGTTTGTTTAGTTTGTTGGTGACAGGCATAAAAGTTAGGAGTGTTTTGCATGTTCGGCGAATTTCAGCTATCGAAAATATGGATCAAAGAATTTGCATCAAATCTTGTACTTGTGATGCCTGTTTGGAACCTTTGGTGTAGTAATGAATATTACTGGAGTACTATCCCAACACCAAACCGTTATTTTTAACAGTTCGACACGTGTTTCGATCACCATAAGTGATCATCTTCAAGAGAAAGGAGTTTATTCTTCCTCTTAAAGATGATTACTTGGTGGTCGAAACAGGCGTCAAAGTGTTAAAAATAACGGTTTGTAATATTCATCAAATCTTGTGTAAAAAATGGAATTAAGTGCTCAAAAATACTTGAAATGTTGACAGTGGCATATGGTGATTGTGGTAGCGAAGTTCGTTCCAAAATTGTTGAATTTTTACTAAAAAGCCGTCGCATGAGCATTGCTCAGGAATTGTTGTACGCCATCAAAGGCGATCCAGATGTGCTTAAAAGGGTCATAACTACTGACAAATCATGAGTATATTGTTATGACATCGAAACCAAAATCCAGTCGTCCCAATGGAAGAGCTCATAGAACCAAGACCTTGGCGTAGTTCATTAGAAGTTCTTGCCACATGATCGTACCGTCAATAAAGAGTGTCATCTTGAAATTATGCGCCGCTTGCGAGAATACCAAGAAAACGTCCAGTATTGTGGGAAAACAATTCACGGCTTCCGCATCACGGTTATGCGCCTGCTCACTCGTCATTGCTTGTTCGTAATTTTTTGGCCAAAAATAACAACGCAATCATGCATCAGCCACCGTATTCACCAGATTTGGCCCGCTGCGACTTTTTCCAGTCCCCAAGATTGAAGAGACCCATGTAAGGACAGGAACACTGCTGTTTGGGTTGGATCTTTTCTGCACTGATGAAAGGTAACACCTTGAAACCGGTCATTGTGGTCCTGCTGTTGAAACAAACGAAAATTCGTTTGTTTCATGTCGTTTTGTGTTGGTGTTGCCTCGGAAATTTGTTGTTGCAATGTTTTTTATTTTTTAAATATGTATCTAATATGTCTGATGGTTTTTAAAATAGTAATATTATCAACACGAAAAAACTACTTGTCGAGCCCTGAAGAAGAATGTAATCAACTTCGAAACTTCGGCAAGATTACAATTGTTTTTTTAACAAAAAATGTATCCTGTAACCCACCAACCCCTTTTTCAGAAAAATTACTGGATCACTAAACTAGTAAACATAATTTTTTTATCTTTACTGTACTTGAAGTTTACGTTATTGGCCTAAAATTGTCAACTTCTGTTTCGGATCCAGTGGTTTGATAACTCAGTTTCACAACAAGGAAGGTAACTATGTAATAATTTTATTGATGAAATTTCGTAAATATTTTTCAACAAGGCCAGTACTTACAATAACGGAGAACACTTTAGACATAATATGTTCAAAGGTTACATCCATGACACAGTCTAATAGTTTCTGAACTACAGCATGTGTTTTCAATATGGTGTACTTAAAGTTCTGATGGAGGCTAAGAATTGAGCTAAATTTTATTAATCTACAACAACTTAATTTATCGGAGACTTGAAAATTACTATAAATAGTAAAGCCCAACATGAGCTGTAAATTGAAGATGATTTAAAAGATATTTCAACTTGTTACTTGATTCAAAATTTGTAAATTATCTACCGAAAAGGCTGTAGTCTGAAGTTTAGCAATTGCTCTCAAACAGTACTGCAACACTCTTCTCAACGCGCGTTTCACCAATCAAATTGGCGTCTACAGGATATTGTGTAGACTAATTCCTAACTTTAAACTCTGTCTATTTATATCTAACAATGTACACTTCCATAAAGATGAACAATCGGCAACCTCTGTCGCTATTCGTAGTTCTTAAATCACACATTGTTATATCCAGTATTTCAAAAGCATCCAAAAGTTCAATGTCATATACTGATCTCAACAATTTTGGACAGTGATCATTTGTTTTATGGCCGATCTCTAAGACGTGTTGAACGACACTAGACTTTTCTGGTCTCCGAAATTGGATATATGCTGCTAGTTTTTTTTCAACAAGTTTTAATAGCTTATACATTTTGTCACAGTCCTCACAGTTTATTTTATATATTCCCGAATTTTTATTTTCAAACATCTTTATTTAAGGTTAACTTACATAGTGACCAAGTAGTTTTAAAAGCTACAAAACACTAGTTACATATAATTTATTTCTGTATTTGATGAATATTCTCAGTCTTGCCCTATTAATGCTGGCGGCAGTAGAAGCTGTCGCTCTTGATACTACTGGCACTTGAAGTAGAACCACGATCATGATTTGAATTTGGTAGAACTTCAGTATAAATGTTTGTCACAAAAAATAGCTTCTCACCGGCCATGACTCAGCGCGGCAGCTGTATGTACTCTGCAGGGACTGATTTTTGAAGAACTTGTATTATTTTAGGGATAAGAGAAATTGCATCTCTGGTTGTGATATGAAACTATGGTAAAAAAAATTAACAAAGGTAAGTATTAATGAAATATCGAGGATGAAATCAAAAGGAATGTTTAATAGACAGGTATTCTATTCTATTCATAAAAGGTAATATGGGGAAAAACAAGTATATCTGAAAAATTGTTAAATAATATATACATTATGTAATATTGATACGGTCAATTCAATGTTGGAATAGTCAATTCAATATCATATCTGCTGTTGAACTGCAGTTTTCATATCCATCATCAATTGAAGGAATCCTCAAACTGCTATTTTTGAACACCCAATTTAAAACAGAAGATCTTCATCACCCTCATCTAACAAGTTGCCTGCACTGCTTTCTTTCAAAAGTCCTGCTTGAATAAGAGCTTGTTTCTCTTTCTCAACTTTAGCTTTATGAATTTTCTTTTTATCCTGAATTTTTTTCAGCCTGTAAAATTCTTCTCTTTCCAGTTCATCAAGTTCAGAAATGATGTAGGCCAAAGTACGGTCAATTCTGGGAATAATAACTGAAAATGGAAAATTGGTGCAAATAATTTTTCAACCTCTTGAAAAAATAATTAAATTATATAAACAAATAGCTACTCCGAGTGTATCGAATCATTATGACTCCTTTTTTTTTTTTTCATTCAACATGACATAGCCTCAAAAATAATAGTCAATTAGGAAATGAGTATATCATCAACTCCTACAGAATTGAAAACTTTTCAAAATTACTAAAAAATTTTGAGTTGATAACTTTTGAAAGTGAAAAACCATTTACACTAATTATGCAGAATGTGCCATATACATGAAGAAAAATTAAGCCAACTGAAACTAAATATTTACACCACTATCAAACTTACGTTGAATTCAAACCCAAAAGTAAGCTGAGGATTTTTGGCGTTTAAATTCAATCCGAGCACTTATGAGAAGAAATGTGATGGAGTGGAGTCAAGTGCATTTGATTATTTTATGTAGTGAAATAGACTTACGTAATTCGCACAAATATAAATGATTTATAAATTCAAACAGCAGCATAAATTTATAACATACTTGATATTCAAATTAATTCACATGGATAAGTAATGAATTAAGTACTTAAATTATCTAGTACTTTTTACAGCAGAGTTGGCAATATTCAGCATATGGTTGTATGACGGTTCTATGTGCAAAACAAGCACTGCTCCCAAACAGAACTGTAACACTATTCTCGACGTGCGTTTCACCAACCGAGTTGGCTTCTTCAGTAGGTGAAGTAGACTAATTACTAATTCAGAAGTTGGCCTATTTATAATTAATAGGGTACACTTTCACTATTAGAAACACACCAACGATTTTGGGTAGAAATTGTGAAAGGTTTAATGGTCTTAGTGAAGCAAGACTCCATACAGAAATCTGTGTGGAACAAAATTGCTTCCAGTTCAACAACCATTTTTGGAGACATCACGATGGCAAGGCAATGAGAAACCCCCCCTTTATAGCTGATCTATTAATGAGCCGATTTGAATTGGGAGTAAAAGGGGAGTTGAATTTCTTTCCATGGACTTGAATCTATTATGTAGATGATGTATTTGCCATTTTGGACATAAAGGACTTTGTTTTGACTCTTAAAAGAAGATCCCCGAATATTAAATTTATATGTGAAATTGAAAACAACGAAGATTTACCATTTTTGGATGTCTTAGTGATTAGGATCCAGAATTTATATTTATAGTAAGAATACCAGTACTTTTAGACATATTTCTAATAGCTTACACTTTTCTTCATAGCACAAAATTGCAGGACTAAACTTTCTTGTACATGGGCTTGTTACGAGAAGAATGTTATCGGAGACATAGCTGAAAGCAATGGGTATCCTTCAAATATAGTAGATAAATCAGTTACGTAACCCAAAGACAAGATGTTGGAAAATAAAAACACCAAGTTGGTGTGTTCAGAAGATGAAGAAGACTTCAAATGTTATTCTAAGCCAGAGATTCCAGTTTTGCCTTTCACGAATATGCCGGGTTTAGACTTAGGAATCAGTCTACTTCACCTGAAGGCACCAACTTGGTTAGTGAAACACGTGTCGATACTAGTGTTGCAGTTCTACAAGCCGTGCTTGTTTTGAATTTATTCAGTCAGAGGTTCCAGTTCTACCCTTAATGTTGAGTTTTTTCAAGATTTTACAATATATTGTAAAGTACTACTTCTTGTGACTTTTCATTATCCTTTGGGATTCATGTAAATAGCCTAATAATAGTGAACTTTAGTCAAGCGGTTCCCTTTTACAAATTATTTGTAATTTATACTCACCATGTTCAATAGCATTAACTCTTCTGTTTGTGATTTTGATGACTTCATCTAAGGTTACAAATGAAGTTTGCAAAGATGCCAATTCCACCAGAAGCCTCACTGCGCTCTGATAGTTCTTTTTTAGTTTAGCCAATTGCTGCCCTCCTCTAGCTAATCCAGCCAATTCATATGTATCAGTACCATCTTGATAGCATTCAAAAACCGGTAAGGTTACACCTTAAACAAAACATTGAAGTTTCTACAAAAGAAATACACTTTCAGTGTGTTCATTTGAAGAATCCACCTCCATATTTAACGTATATCTCAGAGCTAACATATCACATTTTTTCCTCTCTCTTGTGAATACGGAACACAAAGTAAATGTAGCTGAAGCTTATCAAGTTAATGGAGCACTCAGATATGTATTAAACGAACACAAAATGAGATTTTACTAAATGAATTCAGTTCTCAATTTGGATGGCGAAGCAAAGTTTGAAAAAAAAGTAAATTAACAAACTAAAAAAATATACTTCAGATTATTTACCTGCGACATTGTCTTTTTTGGTTCTTATTTTAATTTGTGCCTTAGTCACATTTTGTAACACAACTTGATTGAAGTCGCCTGTAGCAAATTTTGCTTCGGCTAGAGAAAAGGCAGCTTCTTTCATCACTTCCCCCATGAGAGTTTTAGTCTGTATAATCTTGTTCAAAATCATACGAAATCTCATTTGCAGTGCATCAGCTTTTTTCTTGAGTAAACTGTGTCCTTTCTGCGCTCCCTTAAGTCTTGCTTTCATCATCATTTGAGCTCTGAAATAAAGTTTGCATAACTTCGTAAATATCAAGTCAAATTTAAAAAGCTTACCCTCTGGAAGGAAAAATCGGTAATCTTTCTTTTGAAGACATAGTGTAAACTCACGACTTCAAGTGACTATTTTAAAAATTGATCACAAGACTTACAAATTTGAGGATCATAAGGTGATGTTTAATGTCACTCAATACAAGTCAGCTGACTGACGATCCCTCAAGTGTTGCCAGTAGTTAAAAAACTAATTACTAAATGTGAGACAAATGTGACAGAATCGCAGAATACGTTAATAGTAGATCACATATGTCAGTGACATCATTACTCTGTCACTAATAATCAAAGCAGGTAACATTTAACGAGCTAGTATATTTTATTAACTGCTAAGATTTATGGCTCAGATCACAGAAGCGTTTAGTGACAACATTCATTTTGAGCAGATTAATAAGCAATCAAAGAGATTTTATATTTTCCGACACCGTGACAGTGAAGAAGAAATTTGGTTTTAATTGAACGTTTGATTTCATCAGCAGTTAACGTAAAACTGACAGTTGGATTGTATTGTTTCTACCAACAGTTGAAGGCTTATTTGTGATTAAAATATACTATAAGATATCTCTAGTTATTTCAAAAACTCAACTTCTTTACCAATTGATATCAATTTTACATCAACCGATGATGATACCAAACGTCAATCACTGATATTGACTATTCAGGTTTAAGACGCCAATTGGTATCGCGAGTAAGAGAAGTTAATGTTTTATACAGTAAGCTGTATCTCTTGATTACCGTTTAAATACGTACGGTAACCGCATTACCGTACGGGGGTTAAAATTACCGTATTTTCACTGAAAAAACGGTAATATTACCCGTTTCTGGCAACACTGCTGAATACTGATAATTTTATTATAATTTTTTCAATCTCTTTATGATATTCGGTCGTTGCTCTTTAATCAGGCGCATTTGACCAATTAACCACATACTTCAAAAAATTATAGTATTTTACCTACAGAACAGAAAAAACAAGGTTTTTCATATTAATTTCAGTCTAATAGATATATTATAAGGTATCAAAAAAAAATCAACTCTGAAAATCAGTCAAAAGCAAGTTGGCAAGTCATTTCGGAATTAAATAATAAACAGAAAAAATTTGCTAATGTTACATTAAATATTGAAGGTAGAGTTGTAGAACGCCCAGTGGAGGTTGCTTCAATTTTTAATGACTTTTTTATAAATTCTCCAAAAAATTTGATTGGTCAAATACCTAACTCAAAGGAATATATATAACTCGAAAGTCCGTTGAATATTAATTCAAGTAGTTTATTTAATCTCAATCCACTTTGTGAACCAGAATTACTGATATTATTGTTAACAAGAATGAAAAATAAGTATTCTTCAGACTTTGACGACGTGCCAATTTTTATTCTTAAAAAGGTCTTATCGTGTTTAATAAAACCTATTACATATTTGATAAATTATTCATCCACTTCAGGAACCTTTCCCAGATAGTATCAAAATCGGAAAAATTATGACAATTTTTAAAAAGGGTAACGTCAATTCTCCTGAAAATTACAGACATGTCAGAATCCCATGTAGGTAGTTTTCAAAAAGTATTTGAATATGCTTATTTGGATCGATTCATGAAATTCATTGACAAATTTTCAATTTTGAATGATAAACAGCGTGGCTTTTTAGAAGAATAGGTCGACGATAACAGCCAGTCTTGATTTTTATGAAAAATTTGTAAACCTGATTGAGGTAGGCGAGATCACCGTTGGGGTCTTTTGCGACCTATCAATAGGGCTTTTTATTGTGTCAATCATGATAAATTATTAATAAATAGGGGTGTTGCACTTCAATGGATTTCAAGTTTTTTACAGAATAGAACTCAATATGTTAGCATAAAATAAATATAATGATGAGATAATAACAAAAAAATTCAGAAAATCTCAAACTTGATATGGGAGTGCCGCAGGGGTCAATTTTAGGTCCTATCCTCTTCATACTCTACGTTAATGATATAGAGAATATTTTGGGAAATGAAATGTACACAGCATATGCGGACGATTTTACGTTTATCCTATTAGATATAGATGATAACCGTCTAGAAGAAAAATGCAATGTATATAAGAACAAATGAATTGCCTACTATAGTGGTAATGACCTACATTTCAACTAGTCAAAAACACAAATAGTAAGGTTTCATACTAGACAAAAAACTTTTAAGCAAAAACTCACTTTTACATCTGATAATGAGCTGAAGGGCAGTACTGCAGAAACTGTAAAATATTTAAATGTATATGTTCATGAATTTCTTAGCTGGAAATCTTTTTGTGAACAGTAAGTGTCAAAGTTAGGTAGCTTACATGTCTTTTTAGGAATTTAAAAGATGTACTGGAACAAAATCAGTTGATAATTTTCCATCACTCTCAAGTAAATTTTTTCATTAGCCAAAAGAAAATTTTGAGACTAATGGCAGGAGTTTTCCTATGATCATTCATGTAGAAATGTTTTCACTTCTGATAAAATGTTATCTCTTGCAATTTTATATATTCTTAAAGTATATAGGTACTCATAGGTAGGTATATTTAAAAATATTGACAAATGTTATAAAAATTACAAACATTGAACACAAGGCAGAAAAATGATATTCACGTTTCATATGCGAGACTCAATATTACTTCAAATTCTCCTAATTGTCTTGGACAATTTTCAAAAAAACTTAGGGTGACTTCCTATTGGAATTCTTTTCTCACTAGATAAGTATTCTGATGAAAATTTTTAATAATAATTTGTACTTGTTTAATGTGTTTTCATGCACTTTTATTGTGACACCGTTTTCGTGGTATTTTTTTTTGTTTTGTATGCATTTTATTTTATTTTATTAATTACTATTCCTATACATTTTATATGTAATTTTTATTATTATATAAGGTGCCTTCGAAAACCAAACATCGACTTATATTTCTACAAAACTGTATAGATGTGTAAGCAACTTGTGACAATCAAATATTTTGATTTGGTGAGTTATAGAATTGTTGTAAAACTATTGGGAGATTTTCTTTAGAAAGTAAGGAGCAATGATTTATCATTAATTATATCTCTACCCTAACAGTGACTTCTCGTACTTCCCAGAGTTTGGCACTAATACTATTTGCTACCTCTGCTCGAGCAGACATAATGAATTCCCTCGTTATAATTATTGTTGCCAAACATCCAGATGACAGTTTTTGCATACATTTGAATTGTGTGCATCAACATATTCAGAACTGATTATTACTGAATAATTTATAAAAAAGATTATTCCAAAGTACACCTTAAAGTTGAAATGATATTAATGGATAATCTATTTGCACCACTTTTTAACTGAACCTAAATCAGCTTTAATACTTGTTCTCTGTTTTCTTTTTCTTGAGTACCATACCATCAGCAAATAAAATAAATTCACCTGTAATATTAATGAGAGATAGATCATGTTCAACAGGAACAACAATGGTCCAAAGAATCAAATGCAATGGCGTGCTCACAAAACCCTGCATCCTTCTCAGTGATTCAGATTTATATTTTTTCTAGTGTTCTAGAGTTGGCAAGGGGGTAATTGGATTCAAGTTTGATACCAGGTTACAGTCACCTCTTTTGGATAATGGTTTAATGACTTCAACTTTCAGACTCCAGGAAATTCTTGATAACGACTTGTCAGAAGCCTCTTCAAAGTACTTGAAATTTTACTTATTTTAATGTTTTCATGTTATGCAGCAACGAAATCAAAAACATTTATTGTGTTATAAAAAAAAGGTTTATTGTTTAACAGGAGTAATCCCAATTACAAGACATATATAATTAAATTTACAGCTATGACTAAGTATGAGTACAATGAAATATAACAAATAGAATAGCATATATAATCAGCTGAGTAATAGAGTAGTATATTATACAAACAATGATACATTCATATAATAATTAAAAAAAACATATACTGTAGAATTCTAATAGAATTGGCAGTGTGCAGAGAGTTGAAACACAGTATTTCACTTATGAGTTGTAATTAGATTGTAGTTCGACTTGCATAAAAAATAGTTTGTTACGAATTAAATACTTGAAGCGTCCAAATGGAACAACAAAAATATATTCTGAATACAAACCATTATAAATTTTACAGTTGTTATAAACTGGGGATTTTATTAACACGTTGATCCTAGGCAAAGGCAAACAGAAAAATATTTCGTTTCTACTACTTCGTCTCGGTATGTGAAAATCTAGTTGAGTTAACAAATCTGGGCAGTGAACCAGATTATGAATCAATTTAAATATGAATATACAGGCATAATATGTTCTTATGTTTTCTAAGGATAAGAGGGCAATTTAGCAACACTCAATTATCAATTCCTTGGGATAGGTAAGCTCCATCCAGTTTGTAAGCCCCATGTATTTCATAAAGATTCTTTGACAAGATTCGAGTTGCTGTATATGGACATTGTATATAGTAGGGGACCAGATTAGGGAGCCATATTCCAGATGAGATCGAACATATATATAATAATAATATTTATTTGCATAACAAAATATTACAGATATAATGATAACACAGAATTGCAAACAAATACCGTTGACACTCAATAAGTGAAACACTTGTTTTGAGTAATTTAAAAAAGGAATAAATATTGGACATTTCACATTTAAATCACAAAAGTTCTAAATATCCTTATTTTCAATGAAATGAGCAATTTTTTGCCTTGTTTGGCCAGAAATGAAACGTTTCAAGGACTTTTTGAATAAGTGAATCACATTTATGTTACGAATTAACTCCGGAACTGTATTGAATAATTTTGACGCTAAATGATTATAAGAGCGCTGGACAATCGACTTATGCATTAAAAAGTGTTATAAAACATTCTTGATTTTGAAAGTCTGTACACGTCTTGAAGATAAGGCCAAGCATTTTTTTGCAGATGTGATTTGATTAATTTGTGACGTGAAGCTAAGTTTCTTATTGAATATGATGCCCAGATCTTTAGTTTCTGTGCTTTGTTCTAATATGACGTCATTTATTGCATAGTCAAACTGTATATTGTTGTGCTTGAGGGTGTATTCATAAATTTACATTTTTGAATATTCAGTGGAAGCTTGTTTAGTATGCACCATTCATGTATCGAATTAACTTCCTTCTGCAGAATAAGACAGTCCTCTTTTGATTCAATGGGTCTGAAAATCTTTAAGTCATCAGCAAAGAGTAATATGTTACTAGAGATATTTGAAACAATATCATTTGTAAAACAAGAAAATAGAAGAGGAGCTAGATTACTTCCTTGAGGAGCACCACTAGTTGAAGTGAATTCTGATTAGTGTCCTTTTGTATTCTACAAATAGCGTCCGATTCTGAAGATAAGACTGTAGTAAATTCAACAGTTGACTATCGAAACCAACAGAAAAAAGTTTGTTCACTAGAATTTGATGGTTCAATTCATCAAAGGCCTTTGAGAAGTCTGTATAGATTGTATCAACCTGTAGCTGTTTATCTAACACAGCGCCGACCGTTTGTGTAAAACACATGAGATTAGTTATTGTTGAACGTTTATTGATAAAACCATGATGATATAAAGTTATACTATTTCTCACTTCGGGAAAAATCTTGTTATAGAGACACATCTCAAAGACCTTTGCAAAGTTGGACAGAATTGTTATGGGTCGATAGTTCGATAGTGTTATCTGGACCACTATCCGTGCACAAAGTTTTCAGTGATCCTTGAATGTTAATGTACTTACCCATTCATTTATTTTTTGTATTTTCAAAACAAAGTATTACTTAATGTACATATACAGTGTGAAATAATGATCCATCCATGAAAAGGGAAATGAAACAACCATATCTGCATTTACTATAATTTATTTCAATACTAGTCATAATTTACCTTCGTTTAAATTCACTTAATTGATGTAATAAAATTTTTCGAAAATCAAATTATTCGTAATATGATTAAGTGTCATTTGCAATAGAGCACTACATAGCACAAGTCTTCAGTCACCGATTGTTCAATGCTAAAAATTACTTTTCACTGTTTCATAATAAATCAACATTAAAACACTCAACACATATATTGCCTAAATTAAAAACCAGCAGGTTATCGTCATTTTGGTTGAAAATCACAATTCACATCGAGTTTGTTTGGAAACGATAACACTTTGTTCCTAGCAATTTTTCAGTGAATAATTACTGGGCTCTGCACGCATACCATAGGACTTTCGTCCCTATCTGTTTGAGGCTTATTCTGAGAACCTTTATTCGGTGCTTGATTGCTTTTTTGGGGGGTGTTCTCCATCTTAGTTCCTGGGTAAGGTGCATACTGAAGAGACGTGGGACCATGACTTGGGGGAGCTTGATATCTTGGCCTATGTGAATGTCGCGAAGGGGAAGGGTCACAGTCCATTGCTACAAATCCCGAACTATGAAAAGGGGCCCCAAACATATCTCTTGAACGACCAACCATATTTATTCCTGAAAAATCAATAAACCATCACCATATCTTCAGAATATCATCATAAGAAAAAAAATCGTGTTTATGGAAGTTTGGATGAAATAAATGGTAAATTAGACCTAATCAATCAAAACTGGATGTGTATATTTGAAGATACTGACTAATTATCTATTACAAATGTTAGTTGATAATATATAATATGTTCTTGACAAACATGCTCCAAAAAAGTTTCATATATTATGACAATAAGACATGTTCTAACGAAGCTGGGATTTCTGAATTATTTCCAGGAGATTGAATAAGAACTATCTTATACAATCCAGAAAAGTTTAATATTTCCTATATTTTACATAATAATAACCAAATTCAAATGATAAATTTTAATGCTTGACTAGTTTGAATAGAAAATTATTGTGAGTAAAATATCTGATATTGATGGAATTACCAGTACTATTTCAAAACTATCATTTGGAACTAATGGAGATGAATTTTTTAAAGTAATTAATTGCAACCTACAAAGTGGAAAATTTCCTGCTCCTTGGAAATTATCGATGATCGTTCCAATTGAAAAAAATCAACACCAAGAATTCTGAAGGCTGACCGATTAGCTAAAGAAACCATTTATCAGTATTTTAAACAGTATAGTAAACTGTGTTATCCATACAGATATGAAACCCTACTACAAGAAAATCCTCATTGAATTATGGCAAGATCAATGGAATGGGTCTTGATTGGAGCAAAATAATTAGATAGTAAAAAATCATTAGGGTTGTGTTTTTTAGGTTTCAATAGAGTTTTTAGGACCATCCATAAAAATTTATTGACATAAAAAAATTTATTTCTTGGTTCAAGATTACTCAACTGATACAATCCAAATTACCAAATTTAGTGATTCCTGATTGATTCGGCCGTTACTTGATGAAGATCCATAGTGATTTCAAAAACTACACCTCACGATTTGATATTCACAAACTTAATTTGAAAAATATATCATAACATGTTTCGCTAGCACAGTTGCTTTATCGAGTGATTTGAATACCCTTGATAAAGCTACTGTGTTAGCGAAACATGTTATGATATATTTTTCAAATAATAATAATAATAATTTTTATTGGTCTCAAGAAACATAAAGTTTGTAGACAAGTCAGTAGAAAAATACATTTAAAAATTTATATGAGGTCATACATTAAAATTGGTTAATGATAAAAAAATAGAAGGTATAATGGCAATAGAAAAGCTAAATAATACATAAAAACAATGGCATTATACATTATAAATATATAAAGTATGTATTTAGATAATGATGAATTGTGCTATCAGTATAAATAAAACTACAGGTTTCTGTGGGTCATGAAGATATTTCTGTTTTTCTTGATGAATGTTTTGAATTCAAGTATACTATAGAAACAGTTATTTGATAGTATCTGTTCAAATTGATTTTTGAATTACGTCGAGGGTCTATTCCTAAACTCTGTGGGAAGAAGGTTGAAGAGCCGTATGTCGTCTCTTTGCGTTCGTCGCAGACGACATAATGGCACCAAGAAATTGTGTTTGTGTCTGGTATCATGAGGGTGAATTGACGAGTGTGTTGCATGTTCATTTATCTTTGACTTGACTGTTATTATACTTTGATGAATGAGCAGTGAGTAGATGGTCATGATTTTTAATGAAGGAAATAGTTCTCTACAACTGGTATCCCATGGTACATTTAAAATAGATCTTATTGGGCTTTCTGCAATGTGAAAATTCTCGTAATATGTGTAGATACTGCATTACCGTAACACTGTATTCCATACATCAAGTGACTATGAAACAATGCATAATATGCTGATACTGTTGCTTCCATGTTTGTGACATGTCATATTTTTCTTAGTGCAAATATCACTTGCGACAGCTTGTTACATAAACAGTTTATATGAGCTGTCCACCTCAGTTGTGGGTCTAAAACTATACCTAGAAATTTTATGTGCTCATTTTCAACCAAACTATTTGTACCATTTACACTAAAGATTTCACAACGGGTTTTGGTCTCATTCAAAAAAAGATCATTGGCTGTGAACCAAATCTTAGCATGTGCCATAATATCTTGATAAATAGGTAAATGATCAGTCCCCTTTTCAAGTTGTATACAGAAAGTTGTGTCGTCGGCAAACATATTTGTTAGTAAATTATTGCAGGATATGGAATCTGGCATATCATTTATGTATATCAAAAATAAGACTGGTCCCAGTACAGAACCCTGGGGCACCCCTCTCGTTACAGACATATACTAACCCATGACATTGTCAACAACTACTGCTTGGCTACGATGAGATAAGTATGACTTGAAGAAATTAAGACAGGTACCACGTATCCCGTATCTGTTTAGTTTTAATAATAAAATCTGGTGGTCTACACAGTCAAATGCAGCTGATATGTCAGTGAAGATTCCCAAACAGTGTTTATTCTCCTCAAAACAGTCAAAGATTTTAGGGCATCAGTTGTAGACAAACCTTTTCTGAATCCATACTGGTAAGGACTTAATATATTATTTAAATTAAGGAAGCTAATTAATGAATTGTAAACTACTCTTTCTAGTATTTTTGAGAAAACAGGAAGAATAACAATTTGTCTAAAATTACTTGGCAATGAAGGATCTCCTTTTTTATGTAATAAAGTTTGTGCAGATAAAATTGCGAGGTATAGTTTTTGAAATTTAATGATTCCGTTTCATCTATTAAAAATTCTGTCTCTCTATCTATATCTGTATATAATATTTACAAAGGATATTGTTAAACAAGTTGAAAATTATAAAATTCAATCATTTGCTGATGACATCCTTATTTATTTTGTTGGTTTTGTTGTGCAGATGACATGAACTTTCTAAAGACTCCAAAAGGTAAAAGAAATCAAAACTATAAAATAATCCGATATCTTCTATATCAATCTCAAACTACTTTTGAGACAGTCAAGAGTTATAACCTAACAAATTTGAAAATGACCACAATGTCACTTTTTAAAATCCTCCAAAACCCCCAGGACTCTATCTGGACAAAAACCTCAAATTCCAATAGTACATCAATCAAATGGGGTAAAAGCTCAATACAGCTTGCTTTGAGAATATCAGCAAGGAACATTAGTTCTGATGTCTAAAAAACATATCATGGTAACATTATACCCATTGTTCAAAGAGTGTGTCGTTTCTTGGGGCAGTTCACTAGAGGTAAAGCATAATGATGAAATAAAGGAGATAGAATCGGAACCTCCGGCACGAAATAATCTAATGAACCAGAACAAAACAACTGTCTCTCAGCATGTGTTTCGCTAACTGAGTTAACATCATCGACTTGCTTAGCGGAACATGTATAGACAAACAGTGTTTTTTCTGATGTAGGAGAATTGTTTTCATTAGATAAAATCAACCACATTCAGTAAGGTACTTTTCTTGAATGACCTTTCAAGACCATTCACCTGCGATAACTTTGAAACCGTATAAAACTTTTATTAAATGAAAAATTGATTATGAACATTCAAAAAGTTATCAAAAAACTTCTCTTGTTAAAATTCAATAACAAAGAGAAATGGGAAGAGGTAAATAGCACTATAATTTGTATGTGAATACCAAATACATTTAGAATTGATAGGGAGTGGGTTGATAACAGCGCCCAAGGCACTAGGAATTCTTTTTTATTCATTCCCTTTACATGATAATGAAAAAAATTATCAGAAAGCAACTAGTTCCCCGGCTATGCCAAGCTGGACATTGAAGTATTTTTTAAGCTAGATCAGTGTTTCTCAAAGTGTGCGCCGCGGCGCCCTGGGGCGCCGTGGAACCTTTACTGGGGCGCCGTGGGCCACCAGTAGTCTCAAGGTACAACGTTTTACAACATAGATAACTGAGAGTAAAGGTAATACGTCGGTACCTATTAATAAAAATCCTCTGATATCGGTAATTGCAAAATGCAATTCGTTCAGACAGCCACCTACCTACTTTTATTAATTAAATATCTAGTGTAGTCTTTACGTTCGGGGCACCGCGATAACCTTAAAAAAACATAAGGGAGCCGTGAATTCCAAAAGTTTGAGAAACACTGAGCTAGATCCTTTTCCATATGAAACAAAGTGGAGCTTTTCCCATTTTCACAGATTATTTTAGTTCTCGTTTTGAATACAAATATGGAACATTGTTCAACAGGAACTGTTTAAACGATTCTGAAATGAAAATCTCAAATATCATTAGTCACATGATGAATTTTTAAAAAACTTAAGGTCTATGTAGTGAGTACACATCTTCAAAGTATTATCAGTAATATATTCAGGATGTTTACTGAGGGGGGGGCAAATATAAAGGATCCCAATATCAATTATTGTGCATCATACGAAATGAAAACAACCCCAGGGATTCAGCCAATGATAGATTAAATGATTTTTGTCGCTGTTGTACACCTTAAATTGAGACCTACATTATAATAAATCTGAACTGAACTTCATAAATCACATTTAGAAAAAGCCAGACTTACCATGTTGGCTGTTGGAAATGTTTGCTACAGACATATCCAGAGAAGAAACTGCTAAGTTGGGGCTGGCATTTTTTGCCGTATTAGTGGCCTCATCTGAAGTACGTTTAAAAAAATTGTGCTGCAAAGCATGATATGGGGCGATTCTAGTCTTGGGGTCATAGTCCAACATGCGTAGAATAAGATCTTTGAATCTGAGATAGTCAGCAGGCGTATGTCCAATTTCCCCTGCTCTCCTTCCTCCAGGCCCACCAGTGTCAACCCCCAATATATCGTGCAGTCTTCGTGTTCCGGGAGATTCGTACTTTTTACCGTCTTTTGTCTTTTTCAATACAAACCTAAAGAAAAAAAATTAGATATGTGTAAAGTTGAATTAAATATATCCGCCTACCTTCTTTCCCCGGGTATTTTTTCGAAAAATTTCCTTGTTTTATTGGCGTCTTCCAGTAGTTCGAAGGGAGGCATTCCTAGAACCTCTATGATTTTGTTCATCTGATCAACTTCATTGGCACCGCTGAATAAAGGTTCTCCTGTATGCATTTCAACTAAAATGCAACCCAATGACCACATGTCTATCGATAAATCATAAGGAATTCCCAGAAGTACTTCAGGAGACCTATAAAACCTTGACTGAATGTACTGATATATCTGAAAAAAAAAAAGAAAATGTTCATTAAAACCGTGAATGTTTTGATATGGAAGAATTTCAAGTACCATTTATCATCCTGGGCCCTTCCATGATTTATTCTCACAGGAAGGTATTCGATGTAGTCAAATCAATAAAACGAATTTAAATGTAATGACATGGTAAATCAGATTACCTCTCCTACCCGCCTCAATAGAGGCATCGATGGAATATTTGCAAATTTCCCTGCTACAAATGTCGTAGTTGAGGACACAGATCACAGATTTGTCAGTTTATCAATGGGTCGGTTAAGAGTAATGATTCCAGTTTTTTTTTACAGACGTAGTTTGTCTGATGACAACTTGATAGCTTACAGAGACATGCTGGCAAACGAAACTTGGGAAGTTGTTTACATATCAACTGATTTGAACGAATGTTTCAATGCGTTCTATACAACATATCAGTATCATTACCATAATGCGTTTCTACTAAGAAGAGTCTCAAACAATTATAATCGTAAAAGGGACAAACCTTGGATATCAAAAGAAATCAAAGAACTGCATCAAATGGTATGTGACATGTGCAAATTAGCTAAATTTTTCAACATAGCAATTATCAAACAAGAAGTAGTAAAGCGGGCAAAAATGGGATATAACAACAATAGAATTATAAAAGCAGAAAATATTAATGAGGAAAGTTGGAAAATTATCAATGAAAATAGGAATAAAATAAAAAATGATGATACTTTAGAACTAACAATCAAAGGTAATACTACTACAGAGAAAACAACAATAAGTAACCTTCTCAATACATTTTTCATTGACATAAAAACAAATCAACCTAATACAAATGAATTGAAATTATCTCCTTTCTCATACAACAGCTTATTCTTATATCCAACATCACATATAGAGATCCAAGAAATCATTAATAAAACCACTAAAAATACAGCCTCAGGAATAGATGATATACATGGTAAATCTCTTAAAAATGTCAATGACATGATTTGTCAACCTCTATCATTTATTGTAAATAAATCTTTATGTGACGGCATATATCCAGAATCATCGAAAACATTAAAGTCTATACCCATATATAAAAACAAGGGTTCCAAAAATGACCTCACTAACTATTGAAATATCTGTTTGCAATCACAAATTGCCAAAGATATCGACTATGCCTATTATTTGCGACTTCGTAAATTTGTTGAACACTATAAACTCATACCAGAATGTCGACATGTTTTTAGACAGCAAAAATCAACATCTGCCATATTCGAAATGTGTGACAACATCTACAAAAACCTCAACGATGAGAAATTTCCAATTGGTTTATTCTTTGATCTATCCTGGGCATTCGATACAGTTGACCACAGTTTATTACTTGAGAAACTGTACAGAAAAGGAATAAGAGGAGTAGCCAATGAATGGGTACCATCATATTTATGTCAAAGGTCGCAAAGAGTGGTAATAGATGAAATAAAATTACAACCAGCCTCTGTCTCATTAGGAGTTCCACAAGGTTCAACATTGGCTCCGCTTCTCTTTAAAATATTTATGAGTGATATTGAAAATTCATGTGTATCTCCACAAAAAACAATAATATATGCTGATGATACCTATCAAATAGTAGCAGAAAATGAACTTCTCCTCTCTGTTCAAGCTGCAAATAAAACTACTGATGAATTTTGACAATGGTGCATAAATAACGGTCTAATTGTTAATGTAAATAAAACTGTTTTCATGAATTATCAACAAAAGAATCTTACTTATGATCATTGTTCACTAATAAAAATACATCACAGATCTATAGAGCAGATGAATCAATATAAGTATCTAGGATTAGTAAATGATCAGAAGTTAACTTGGCGAAAACACACAGATTATCTAATAACAAAACTGAGTAGAGTCTGCTTCATAATAAGGTAACTACATGGAACAGTATCTCTAGAAGTACTCAAATTGGCCTATTTCGGGTTAGCATAATCTAATATCTCAAATGGGTTAATATTCTGAGGAAACTCAGCATACCTAACAAAAGTGTTTGTTATCCAAAAAAAAAATAATTAGATGTATCGCTGGCATACATTGTAGACGATCATGCAAGACAGTTTTTAAAGATCTAACTATTTTAACACTACCGTCTTCATATATTCTGCTCATAACTATGAATATCGAAATAAATAAATCACACCATACAAAAAACAGTATGATACATGATCACAATACTTGCAGAAGAAATGAACTGATACTACTTTACTCACGATTAGCCCTTGGGCAAGACTCGGCAAAGCTATCAAGGAGTCATATAACAAAGCAACTAGGTTACTAGGAAATATTGAAAATTACAATACATTAAAAAAAGCTTTAATAGACCTTCTCCTAGAAAATGCCTTTTACAATGTCGAAGAATTTTTAGATGTGAATGTATAAGCTGCTTTTTCTTAAGTTTGTGTGACTAGTCTGATAAATGTTGTACCAGTAATGTATATGTTATATGTGTATGATATTTTAATGATGAATAAATTCTATTCTTCTATTCTATTCTAAATGCTTTGCTATAACCATCTTATAAGCAAAAAAGTGTAGGACATTTCCATAAACCACGGTATGGAATTTGATACTAATATGACATTTGCCAAATACAGAAATGAAATACGATCAAATCTTTGGAAATGTTAGAATTCACCTTTAGCGTATACAAAGACTTTTGCTGTGAGACCATGAAAATAATTTACTGCTCACGTTATTGAGTGTCTTGATATAAACACAGAAGATAATTCATCAGACATAGCACTCAAGAATGGGGCATAGACTTGTGTTTCAAGCTTTTGGCCCACCCTTGCACTTGGCTGCACCATACCGAACCATATCATACCAAAGAAGAAAATATCGTAGTATTTGAAATCTACAAAAGTGTAGCTGAGATTAAAAATGTTATTTCGTAACTAGATTTGAATAAAGCTTGGTGCTTTTGATAAATTAATTGTTAAGATTATAAAAGCAGTCAAATATGAATTGTCGTCGGTATTATTTTTTATTACTTCAAAATATTTCGAAACAGGTAAAGAACCAAATTTAATGAAAATTGGCAAAGTTTCCGCTATTTCTGTTTTCCGTTTTTTTCCAGTATTCTGGAATGAGTTATGCAAATAAGACTTGTTGATCATCTGGAAAAATAATTTAATTGATGATGGTCAATATTGATTCCGCATATTCCAAGACATGGATATTATTTCACAAATACAAATCAAAATTTATAGTCATGAAAAGCGTTGCCTCTTTAGATCTCCATAAAGCATTCAATAATAATAATGTCAGAATATTTAAAGACATGAAAGTTCTTTAATGAATAAATCCTACGGTGTAAAGGAACAGCTAAATTATTTGCTGATGACACTACAATAATTGAGATATTTCCGAAAATTTCTATTTGGTTTCAACAATATAAATCAACATTAAATTTGGAATAATCAACTTACATTATTATATGGAAACGAAGTGACGACATATTTACAATTCCTCTAAGAATAAATAACAATTCAATAAATTATACTCAGACAATGATATTTTTAGGTCATTGAGAAAACATATAGAGTATATTAGAAAAAAATTATGTCCATAATAATTTGAAATCTATATAGGGTACCGCAAATAGCTCTATTTTGAAACCATCAAAATTTCTACAGAACAAATGAATTAAATGTATATATAAATTACCCTATTTAGGATCAACGTAAAATTTATATAAACCCAATAATTTATTAGATTTATAAATTGAAAATTAGCTCTTTCATTCATTCTATCAAAAATAAAATAAAAAATATCAGCTACCATGACTTTTAACGAAACATGTCATATTCATAATCATTCTATGGGGCAGAATAAATTATTATGTATGAGAAATGTTACAATCTAATTTTGGAAAAGTCAATTCATCACGACAGAAATTAAAAGAGTAAAACGGATTTTCTCAAATGAAAACATATTCATTTTCTAGTTATATTTTATATTTGAATTTATGTGGCAGCATATCTTCTTTGACAGTTTACTATTATTTATTTTTCCTTTTTAGTATTTATTCTAAAGTTGTTCACATTTATTGAATACTTAGTTTTTCAAGTTATTTCAGGTTATTTAAAAAAAAGGATTATTTTCTAACAGGAGTAATCCCAATTACAAGACAAATATAATTAAGTTTACAGCATTGACTAAGTATGAGTACAATGGAATATAATGAATAGCATATAAAATCAGCAGAGTAATAGAGTAGTATATTCTACAAACAGTGATACATTCATAACATAATAATAATAAAAAAGAAACATATAATGTAGGATTCTAATAAAGTTGGGGATTTTATTAACACGTTGATCCTAGGCAAAGGCAAATAGAAAAATATTTCGTTTCTACTCGTTCGTCTCGGTACATATATAAACATGTAATGTTTTTGGCTATGATAAACATAAACATAAAAACTTATACTTACCCTCTGACCCAGTTGGCAAGAACTTCCAAAGTCAACAATCTTGATCGCCGATCTTTTGGGATTGCACAAAAGTATATTTTCAGGTTTCAGATCGCAATGGATGATGTTCAGTTCTGGTGTGGAGAGGAACAGTAACGCTGTACTAAGCTGCTGTGCAAATTTCCTAGTGAGATTGAGTGATACGCCTCGAAAATTAGTGTTTCGAAGCAAGTCATACAGGTTATAGGACAATAATTCGAATACTAAACACAAATGATTCCTCCACATGAAGTGTCTTTTCAATTTAACTGAAAAAAATAACATTACATCATCATCATAAACTGATTACATAAGAATAATATAATCAAATAGTGTTTTCTATAATGGGGGAAATGTCGAGTTTAAAATTTGATATGTACTTAGATTAGGTTCAAAGTTACTGTAAGTTAACCCTCAATAGTCCAGTGAAATACCTCAGGTAATGAAAAAAATCCAGAATGGAATCAGCCTTTTATTAAAATAGGAGACAAATCACCCCACAGATCAGAAATATAGGTCTGTATATACTCTCGAAACTCAACTGGGGATGCCACATCGATCATCTGCATAAGAAAATGTCACCCACAGTTGGCATGTTGATAGAGTAGTGAAATATCTACCAACTCTCTATTAATTACATTAATAAATTCTCATATATCTTATTTGAGTCTGGCATGCAGTAAAACAACCTAAAATTAATTGAAGTGGCTGCAGTTTCTTTAAAACAGAACTATTGGAAGATATTTTTGAACCCCCTTTTCTTTGTTCAACTAACCTCTACAAACCAAACGATATTCTGGTTATTTACTCACTTGTAGTTTATCTGAATTGTCTTTTCCTTCATAACTTGTCAGGAAACAATCACTCAACAATAAAATTTTGCACATTTGAAGCAACTCATAATTATATTTCCAGAAATAAAACTAACTTTAAAATGATATTGAGCAAGACTACTGCAGGTTCCAGTATAATTTCTGAGGGTTGAGATTGTATAATAATTCACAAAGTAATATGAAAGTGTTGAGATTTAAAAGCTGTATTTCATAAAGCAACTATAATTTTTTAATTTTTTTGCCCATGATTTTATGTCTGTTATCTCATATAAAGATCGTAACTGTTGCAATGTTTCCTTCATTTATTTTTTTTATTTAATAACCATTTTTCTCTCTATTATTTCAAGAATTAGGGTATGTTTTGAATTCTAATTTAATATTTGTTTGTTATTTTTTCATATAAAAAATCACCCACATCACCATGGGCTCTAGTTCTGAAACAACATTTTGGAATAAAAAAAGAGAGGGTCTATTTAACCAGGTGCAATCCATGAGGGTTTGTTGCAAACTCGACCAAACAGTTCCAGCTTATCAACGAAGCTGATCAGTTAATTTGGCGAAAGACCTTCGAGGTTTAGGATATGTACTTACCTATATAATATTTATTTTCCAAATCGGCTTGATTCATCATCTCCAATAACTTAACTTCAATCTGAGCCTGATTCAGAAATGGTTTCTTATTCTTAATGATTTTTATAGCGACATTACATTGTTCACCATGATCAAAGGCCTTAACTACTTGACCAAATGAACCTTTGCCAATGAGTGAGTCAATCTCGTATCTCTCCAGGAACTTCTCACCATTTTTAATTATGTAGTCATGGTTGTCATCATCGAAACCATCATTGTATACTTTTCTTTCTTTTTTGTTTGAGGTATCTTCTCCTTGTATTTGGACAGCTCTTCGTTTCTTTTTCGCATAGTACACCTGAAACAAAATAAAAATTCCACTTTTCTGAATGCATATTCTGATATTCTACAAAATAAAAATATAATATCATGCATGCAATAAAGTTTAGAAAATTACCTACAATTGAAGTCGCTAAGCAATTTCTAATATTACAATGCACAGTTTGTCAACATAAACATTTGGAGTACGTCAAAGTTCAGTCCTTGGATATCATTACTTGTATTGTACAAGATTTCACTTGCCATTTTACAACAAACACATACAGTGTGAGAGAAAAAAAAAGACAATTGAACAATAGTATGGAATACCAAGAATACACAAATATCGATTAATTTATTTAATTTAAGTTTCTTCACAGTAGGCCAATAAGTTAGATGAATAAAATAAATCAATAACAACGCTATTCGTATTTGCTAGCCTAAGCTTTCTATGCTTGGATCTCACTTGGCAAATGTGTCACAAATTATTTTAATAACCTCAAAATATGTCAATGGGCTTCAACACATTGCCTACCATTTCTGACTTTCCCTTAGATAGCATTTGGAAGTACTAGAAAAATGTGAAATGTCCTGAAACTAATGCCAGGCCAGTTATAATCAAGTTTGATAGGCATTTTTAAAGAACTATAGTTTTTTGGAAATGTCTACTTAGAAGTTTGAATTGAAATTCCTAGGAAAACAAGCTGCAGGTGGATGGACTGTATGCTTAGCGGAAGATTGGTATAAACGGTCAATATGGGAGAAATAGTGGTTGTCCGGGGTGCAAGGGGCTGTCCTCATTGTAGTGGAACCTTCTAATGAATGAGTTACTGTGCCTTCTGAATGAAAGTACTGGGCCATGCAGATTACTAAGTAATCATAATCCTGGGCAAATGCAATGCAGCAGGCCCTGTATATTATAACAAGATGGATAAGGAAGAATGATTGAATGTAAGCCTAACAAAATCGAACATAGCATTCTCCAAGAGGACCAAAACATAGAGTCTAAGACCTCTACAACTTCGAGGTAAAGGGGGGAGGTTGATTACCTATCCCAGGCTAGCCTGAAACAAACAACTAGGAAGAGTGAAAGGCGAAGGTAGTACTGGTACATCATCCGTGACAGAAAAGAGCGGTTAGCATGACTCTGGTAGAGAGGGAAAGACGTATCTATGAACCTGAAAGACTACAAGAGGAAATGTATCATGTGAAGAATGCGTTTCTGAAAAACTGATATACAACAATGACTAAATCAACCAAGCCTTACGACCTAATCAGAAACACTCCACTTTGGCACTGGAGTGAACAGCCAATGAGAGAACTTTTTTGCCCTACATAAGCAGTATGATGGACCGGCTTGAAAGTATCCCCAAAAAACATGAAATCAGGGCAATTTTCAAGCCCAGAACAATGGAAAATAGTCTCAGTAAGAGTCCAGTACAGACGAGTACAGGAAACAAGATTTCTGGAATTGGTGTGTCATAGAAAAATGAGAGAAAAACACAATAAGTCTAAGAGGTTGTAGTGTTTTCCGGAGACTTGGAAGGAATGGACAAGTCAGAAGGCTCCCAGGAAGCGAAAAATGAGAAACATTTCTTTTATAAATTTTATTGGTCACATGTTGGAAGTAAAATTTCAAATTCAGAGTTATATTTGAAATCTGTTTCTAATATAATTGATATCATTTGAGCAACGTTCAATTTTGATTTGTTAACACTTTAAAATTTTGCGATATTTTGTAAAATGAGAGTTATTTTACTAATGGCATGATGTAAATTTGCAGTCTGGAATAAAAGTCATTCATAAGTCATAATATAAATAAAAAAGGACTAAGTACACTCCTATGTGGGACTCCTGAATCAATTATTCTTTCATTTACTTTGGTACACTAGTATCTGTTAGGTAAATCACTTTCTACCCATTCTCGATTAGATACCAGAATTTAAATAAGACTTCTTGAAATCCAAAAATACAGCAACAATGAATTTATTTGTTGTCAATTATCAATTGTCACTTCGATAAAGTAAGCTGTAAGGAAATTAATGGTGCATGAATCTTTCGATCCAAAACCCAATTAATGGTTTATTAGTAGGTTATCGTCACAACTAATTCAAATAATTTTTCCATGAGAGGTGAGGAGTTTATAGGACGGGAGTTAATGACATTATCATATTCGCTCATTTCAGGCACCGACACAACTATACTGAATACGAGCTGTTTGGGAGATACAAACATTTTTTATAGGGCAGTGCCCACTTACTGAGATGCAGGACTGTAATTGAAAATTATCGACTCACTGAAAATGAAACCACAAAAATGAACGATATACCCAAAATACATTTTTTTGTTAATTTCATTAAAATAGTGGAAAGAATACCCTAGAGCAAATTTTCCAGAATAAAAAATTCCTCCAAAAGTTGTAATCTCTGATACACTTCAATGGCAAGAAGAAGGTAGTATGTATTTAGCAATTTCTTTTAAAATTTTATGAAATTTCAACATTTGACAAAAAGAATTATTTCATTAAGCCACAGGTTAGAATATTACTTCAACTGTTCCTGTTTCATTTCTATCGATCTTACTATAACCATGAGAAACCGACAACAGTGATTTTTCTTAATTATAAAAAACATATTTTTGATGTCTGATTTGATAATACCACATTAACATACTTTTTTATTTTTCCTAGAATTTTCTTTATCACAATTAATGGTATACTCGATCCTGTTTATAACAATTGTGTTTTCATGTGCCTTAGCTATTGGTTCAGTCGGAGCTAGTTCTTCTTCCGAGCTTTGAAAAGATACATTACTTATAGTTAGCCTAGACAGATCTAATTGTTCCATTTATACTTCACAACTTTTTATTTTTCAAATTTCGAAACTTGTTTTGTTTTCCAATATTTCTTAACTGTCAATGGTTTCTCTTATAAACGTATTCATAAGATCCTGTGATTTATTTATAGGAATGTTTACTGTCTAGACGTTTTCCTAACAATCATATTCTTTAAAATAGGTTATCATTTTTCAACCTCACTAAAATCCATTTATTCCTTTGGACAGAATCATTACTCTTTATTTTCATTGTTACTGGTGTTTTTTATTGCTTTGCAAACAATTTACTTATCTCAAATTTTTCATACATCCTTCCAACAAAGCTGAAGTTTTTATTTATTCTGTAATTTTTTTCAATCATTTTTTAGATCAAGCAAAACTTTTATCAGCTTTAGAATTGAAATGCTACTTTTCAAACAACGCAATTAGTTTCCCAGCAATTCAAATGTTTTTTTGAATCTGCAGCTATTCATTTTTTATTTGTTTTCAAAATTTTTATGGCTTTGCATGCTAAAAGGACATCAAATATAAAAAATGTAATAAAATAGATTAACAAACTAAGGTTAGTAGTTAACTTTTAGGTTGTTGATATAGTTCCTAGTCTTACTATACAAAAACATCAAATTCAATAGATGATTCTATCAACCAGTGTGATGCCATTCGGCTCATAGGATTAGTTCGTAGTTAGCTAGCTGTATTTCCGAAAAATGCATATTTCACATTGTAGCTTTCAAGGTCCACAGATACATCTTATATTTTCTTCCAAACCCTTAACCTATAATTTATGTCAATAATAGTGATTTGATTTTCTACTGATACTTGTCAAACATTTTAATACTTACTTTTAAAGAAATTTTGATCAATGAAAATCTTTTGTTAATGATAATTGTTTTTACTACAGACATTCATCGACTAGTTATAATTATGTGAAGGAATATTTTTACAAATTGATTTTTTTTTCCTAGTATAATATCTAAATTATTAATTAATATTTTAATCTCCGACTTGAAATTTTTTCAATTGAACTTATGAATGGCTATTTCAAAGTTTTCCAAAGTTTCCTATTTATAGGAAAGATAAATTAATAACTATCCAATAATCATATAATGTTGTATATGGGGAAGTTGATTAGTGGTTTTTTTATTAAAATTTAAATAACTTTCGACTTCATAGCATGATTTCATCACAAACGAAATCTCCGAGTCCCTAATATTTGAATGAACATAAATATTATGTCAATATCGTAGCACAAAAAGAAGCACCGATTTTGCATTTTGTGTATTTCAGAGTAGATATGTCCAGAATTATATTTTAATAAAAAATGTGTAATGTATGATGAAGGTATGCTGAGTACCACTGCATGTCCTATCTACCAGCAAATTGTTAAAATAAGATATGAGGAACATTTAGCACACCTAAAACATGGAAGATCAGAAAAATCAGCAGTCGCTCATCATATTCTGCAACAAAACCATTTCATAGACTTTAGTTCATTGAGATTATTTAGACAGCTTAACAACAACAGGCATCTAGATGCCTATGAGAGTGTAGAAATTAGTAAACATAATAATATTATGAATAAAAATAGTGGACCAATACCTAATAGTGTACTATACAGCTTGTTGAAATAATATTTTATCATCAGATTTACTTGACTGTTAGATAAGGCAATATTGTAAAATAAGTTTAAGACTAGTAGAAAAGGCAACATGTAGAATCAATTTAAGAACATTAAGACACAGGTACCTAGCAGAAGAATCTATGGTATAAATAAGGACAATATTGCATGTAATTTAGTTTCATCTCCCTCTTGAAGATGATCACTTGGTGATAGAAGTACGTGTCAAGGTTTTGAAAATAAAAATTTTGTGTTGGGATAAAACTCCAGTAATATTTATTACTACACCAAAGATTCCAAACAATTATTATGTGTGATTGATAACTTGTTTATTTTGTGGTAATTCATGATCACTTTAATGAAATGATTAAAAACACTTTTGTCTAATTAATCACTACAGCTTCATGATCAGATAGCCCAGAAGGGTTAACCGAACAATCAATGTTTGTTAAATCTAAATTAATGCAAATGTAGTCTATTAATGAAGCTGAGTATTGAGAGATACGAGTGTGACAGTTTACATGCATAGATAAATTGAAAGATGTGAGGAGATTGGTTAATAGTAAGGTACTTGTGGAGCTGGAGTCTTCAAAATTGATGTTAAGGTCGCCACTAGTTGATTTTATTTATACAACCGGTTGTATAAATGAAATCAACTAGTGGTAATTAGACAAAAGTGTTTTTATTTTCATTTCATTAAACAATTATTATTATTATTATTATCAAACACAAAACAAGAAATGCATGTAACAACATTACACCCATTATGCTAGAAAATTGACAACAAAGATGTTGTCAGGGGGAATGTTCCCCCTGACGAAAATCAAGTAGTTTTCATAAAAGAGCTCTAAAACAATGCATTTTAAACTTATCACTTCAACCTTTTCCTTTACAAAATTATTTAAATACTTAAAAAAGAGGAATGAAATAATTTAAAGTGATTCGTTTCTATTTTATCATTTCGCAACATCGGATGTAGCTAATAAAGGACAATGAATCTGTTACCTGTATGAGACAAACAAAAATGACATATTTCAGAGGCGTGCTGTTCTGTTTACTTATGTTCTGAGACATTCTGTGGCATATGACATTTTGTGCACCTAACCTATCTTCCTCTATATAAATAAATAACAAAACAACTGTTGTATAGGTGGCTTGTGGAGGTGGTATTGTACTATAATTTATATTTTGCCTTAATTGTTGATTCATAAAGATAATTTTCCTTTTTCAAAGTAGAATATCTAGGTACGTATAAATTATTTCAACTTGATATTGCTGTTGCCAATATGTGAATTAGAAACAAATCCCTTTAAAAATTAAAACCCAACATTTGAAACATCAATTTGAATACTTTTCGAAGTGAATTTGAAAAACTCTTGAAATAAACTCAACTTTATTTTGTTCAAACTTGCATTTGCTGTATGTAATAACCCAAATTGAGGAACATTCCCCATTCTAGAAAGGAGCCTACAGAACCTTTTTTATTATTTTATGCAATTCATGAGAAAATCAAGCTAATGTATAATTATTATTACTCACCTCGTTTATATGCTTATAAGTCTTAATTAGGTCGACACTGAGTTTCCTGAGAGGCGCTGATGAGGAATCTCTAAAAGTGTGAGGTATTCTAGCTTGCATGGCTTGAATATCAGTTGAAGACGATGTAATTGGGGACAATCCCAAATTATCAATGGCAACCAATCTTCCATAAAGAGGAACATGTCGCCTTTGGTTACGAGAAGGGTCTCCACCACCACCAGTTGCTACAGGCACTGAAAACAAAAGCATATTTTAGTGAACACAAGAAGCTTTTTGTAGTAAACTAGCGACTCTATCCGAAGAGCTGTCCAAATAATTGACTTTTATTGGCAACCTTGTGTAGTTACATTATTACAATTTGCGGTATCTCTAACTTCAAAAATATAAAATACTGCCGTTATTACCTGCTGCTCTCAAACACCTAAGAAATTTTTGTTTTGGAATATTTTAAGCCTGAGGTAATTCTTTCCTCCAAATATATAATCAAATCTTTTCTGTTTATAACGACCACATTCATATAGCCTCTTTAAGAAGGATTTGTAACAACTTATGTTACTCTTGTTTAATAACGCCAAACTTTTTGGAAAGTAGATTGTGTTATAAACCTAGAATTATTGAGTAGTGTACACATCTACTTAAAGCAGTGTATTGATTTAATTAGATGAAAATTCCCTAATGTATCAGAAATAATTCATCAAAGATGTTTGTTTAGTATTAGTGAACCGTTTGGAATAGATAGTAACTGAAAATTTGCAAACTATTGATGGCAGGACTTTGCTAAAGTTTTCAAGAAGATTCAAAAAGGTAATATATCTTCTTTTATGTCATATTTTGATGATTTCATTAACAGTCCATTCACAAATTACATTTGAATAAAAATTGTTCAAGTAAAAATAAAAACCTCCGCCACTGTGGTTAGCATCAAAAGTAAACAAATGTTCTCAATTTGTCATCCAAATTCAATTTTTTTGAAATGAGCATTGAAAATATACTGTACTTCAAGTCAAATGTAAATGAATGATTTTCAAAAGAGCAAATGAACTTTATCTCATCAAAATCAATTTTCTTGAAAACATACAAGCGTTTCTTCAAGGTTCTAATTGAAATATATTTAAAACACTTCCAAAATACAAATCATGAACTTATAAAACAACAAAAAAATTAATTGGCGCTCTGGGGCGACTTCATTGATTAAATTAGAATCTAATTTAAAAGATGACAATTTTTTTATGAACATGATTATGTTATATTTTTCCGTTTTGGGGTAAAATGAACTTTCAGAATCATCTATATTCAAAAAAACTAGGGACACATTTCTCTATAGCATCTGTAATGCATGACTTTGCAAATTGTTGTATAAGATCCACAAAACACTGCATTATAGATTGAAAAATACCTACTTTTAGGCTTGTTTTTATCCATAAGCATTGTTCTATTATGCTTTTGCCACGCCATGGACCACGAGAAAGACCTTGCAGTCAAGTATCCCCCTTGTTTTTCTCCACCCGCGGCCGAATCGACAGTCCAGCCGGGGTTTGCATCGGCTGGTCCACCTTAAAAACTATTTTCCATATTTTCATGGGGTAAACAATCCCGCGTGCTTGGGGCCAGTAACCTTCTTCCAAGGCCAAATGGAATGGTGCTTTCAGAGACACGGGAACTTTCTATCCAAAACAGACAAAGATGGCGACACAACAAACAGTCAATCAAAACACAACATATTTCGAGTGGTTTCAATAATTTGTTGACATTCTGCGAAATTTCCAACACACTTCGGGAATTTGCTTTAGGCCACATAATTTACTCATAATTGACGAAAATATTGAATTCGCAAGAATAGTTGACTTCAGCTTACTCCCCTTCCTACGAAATGGACTGAACTTTCTTGATTAGCGACTGAGGGTACAAGATGACAAGATTCAGTAAGAGAAATCAAAAACAACAACAAATGCTACAGTTTTCCAAACCGAACACGCGTTGAAACAGTCTTTTATGATTAACACGCGCAAATAAACTAGTTCAAATCAATGTTTAGTTGCATATGCATTTGGATCATTCACCTCTAGATCCTATTCACTACACGTGTGTTCAATTACAACTTTATTAAATTAACATAAGCACAATACCCCGAAAAGTATAACTATTTCAATAAATATTAATTTCGTAGAGAATTCTTCACACTTTTAGAGAAGAAACACTGTAATTATATCTAGAAGGCGTAGCACATCCTAAGACATCCTTATACACAACAACATGGCTACTAGACTCTAGAATTTAGACATAAATACGTAACTGTCAAATGCTACTTCTCCATAAACTGTTTTCATTCCGTGTTCATATTCCACAAATATACACGTCGAAAGGCTGCCAAGTTGACCAATTCTCTATTATTGAATCACTCACTATGAGTCACGACGTTACAGCAGGGTACTTGTATAAAAAAATCCCTACTTGAACGGGTGCGTTCCCTGTATTAATAGTAAGTCACTTCAAAACACAATCACTACATAATTTGATGTCAATTTCAAGTCAACTGTCTTCATGAAGTAAAAAATACGGGAATTCGAAGTCTACTCCTTCAAGGATCATCCAAAGTTCTATTCACCAAAAAATATTTTTGGGATAACCGGAATGAGATATTACTATAAAACAATTTGAAATTATGTCATTCGGAGTAAAATACGGTAAATCAAATTAACATTCTGTTAAATAACACTAATGACAAATTAATACTACTTACTTTGAGTTTTCAATTATCCCACTCTGTCGCCTCCAAAATTCCAAACTCTCTCTGAACTAACCTTCAAAATGAATTATGTCCTATGTAACACGTCCCTAAATTCCTTCCTCGTATGTTCAAGTTATCTCATATATATGGCCTTGGTATATTTCTGAAGAATTTTTCTAGATTTATATGGAATGTGTTGTATTGGTAATACTGGCCGGTAAGATAAAGCAGAAAATATCTTGAATGAATGACTTGAATACTACTTTCAGACGGAACGTTTGTGTGTGTACAAAATTCAGTTCAGGCAAAGCTTAGGAAAACTACGTAATTCAAGTACAATTATCCTTAATATAGGATAATGCGAAACTATTGAGATTTTTCATTTCTGAAATCACTCGAACAGTACATCTATAACATAAATGAACTTTATCTACATCAATCTTTACCATATCATGGACTGTGGACGGTAATATTTATTCCCAGCTTTGTTTTGTACATCCTTATAATGTATTTGATAACAAGTTTTCAGCAATTTATTATAAACTATAACTATTGAAATAAAGCAGAAAATAACAATTGACGTAACAGAATATCAAATTTTGTAGGTTTCAAATCATAGTAAATGTGCCTTCTTCGTTTCGCACACGAATCACATGAGCGCAAGAAAACGCCTTTAGTAATGAAATGTTACATTTTGAGAAACTTTTAACCGACAGTTTACGCATCAGAACTGTCAAGTGTCGCATCAAAACTGACAGTTGACGTATCATAAGTGAGAGACCACTGAGCTTTTGACAGTTTTGTGACAAAACAATAAACAATATTTAGAATTATTATATTCAGTTGCCAGAAATAAAAGAATAGGTAAGTATTTAACAACTTTTTTTTAATTAATAATGAACTTCTAGAAAATCACCATCATGATATTTGTCATGTTCAGAAACATTGAGGGCTTGAATTCAAAATTTACATTTTTTTTTACTAATGTAAAACTTGGATCTGTAGTTAACCATACTTTATTCCAATAAGTAGTTCATCGTACAATTTGTTCAAGTTGTGCGCGAAGAACATAACATTCTTAGGTGATGATTGTTGTGGAGTAGAGTTGAAAAATGTATTTCACTTCAATTGAACCACAATTGACTCAGTAACAATATTTCTCTCAAATAAGTGTCAAAAAATTCAAGAGGGTAATAAATGAAAATTCAGATGAATCCACCAGGTTTAAATTGAAAATCAAAAAATTATTGGTTTATTTCAATTTATAATCCCTGAAATAAGGATTTTTGAAAATAAATATAATCCTACATTGTTCATAGCAGTTTGTAACAATGTATAGTAACAATGAACCATCCTTTAATTTGACCAAAAAAATCTTGAATATCTGACACTGAAATATTTAATTTAAAAAACAAATCTCATTCTGATCTCTACATTCCAAGTTATTGCTTCAATCAAACAAAAATTATTAGTAATGCTATAATGATAGAAATTTTCAAGTATGTAGGATGAGAAAATTTAGATAGGTTTTCTTACTCAACTTATTCATGAACTATTTTCAATGAAGATCAAAGTTGCAGGCTCGTTGCATGAAATGGAAGGATTTTGCAAGAATGATCAAGATAACTGAAATCTAATCTTGAAAAAAACTAAGGCAAGCAATTGGTGAATTCATACTTATGAATTATTTCAAGAAGCTTTCCTACATTGAGGGTGTACACATAAAGTGCCTAGTCATTTGTAATATAGATAATATACCTAAATAATTGATAATATAGAAAGCGATAATATACACTCGAGATTGAGTTGAAAACTTTGATCAAATAATGAAAGGCAGGGCAAGTGCATAAGTTGCTCATAAAGTTTGCCCAGTCTAGTGGCTGGGTCTGGAACTATATGCCAGTTGATACTCATTTGAAAGAGACCGCCAACAGTAGTTGGCGGTCTCTTTCAAATGAGTATCTCTAAGGAAGGTTGTAAAGTCACACGGTGCCCTATCAGTTGCCTGCAAGGTATTAAAGATTTCAAACTCATTCATTTTTATTAGCCTCATCGATGAGTCTATAAGTTCTGCAGTTATATTTCACTTTTATATTCATTAATTAGGTCCTACTACACACTTACTATACTATACATTTCTCCAAGGGTGTTACGGTTTTCTTTCATATTTTTAATTAATTTGTTCATAATAATAGACGCATTACCTTCCATATGTTTTATTGATCAGTACTCTAAAAGCCTATTACTCATATCTTGTAATCAATCTCTCCATCATAGAAGACCCTAGTGTTATCCCAAAAAAAAATGCTTGAAGATCATAGTCTGAGAATTGTGTATTGTGAAATGTTGCAAAGATAAGTTTGTAAAGTTTTACTATCCATATATAAGTTGGTAGAATCTTTAGGTCCAATGAATACCCAATGTTAGTTCTTACTGTGTTTCATAAATATCTCTCAAAGGTGGAGAGGAATCGAATGGTTTTTTTGAAATTTTGAACTTTGTACCAAACTTCCTGTCAACCAAATTTTATTATAACATAACAATATAAATTTATTAGTTGCTCCTTGTACTTTCTGGTGCTTTAGTTGTCATAGCAACTGTTCACGTTTCAATTTTATGTACATTTTCCAATCTGCAAGATTATTGTCTCTAGATTTTTCGTCCAGTGCTTTAATTTTTAAATTCCTGCTTTTCCTGTTCTTCCTGCATTTTTTCTTCGATTTTTTTGTTCTTAAATCATGTCACAATTCCTCTTAGTACATGTTTTATTAAATTATTTAATCACTTTCAAATAAGAATCCAATATCAAGAATCTGGGGAGCAATGTTATTATTTTGTTATTACATTCCAACTTGCAAAATAAATCATGAAAACGGACCATAAGAGATACAATATCGTATACAATGTCAAATGAAGGAAAAAACAATCAACCACAAATGATTGTATATAAATCTAAAAATGTATAAAAATCTTGGTAATGAAATTAACAAATTGATTCTTCTCGAAGAAATACATTTGTTATCCTAGCATGACGGGCATTTGACTCGTAATCTGACTTGAATCGTGTTGACATACTCTTTCTTTATATATTTTAAATTATTTGTTTGTTTTATAGTAATGATATATAAACATTTTCAATTTTTGTGGCATTCAGCTCATTTATTGTCAGCTAGGATATGGTAGCTTCAGCAACTGACATTGAACAAATACAACCCCTAATTTGAGTAATGTTTTTGATTTTAGAGGTCTTAAACAAGATACATTATTTGGAATTTACCTTCTCAAATAAGAGGCTGTTGGATCTGTCTTTTTTCATTTATAAATATCTCAACTGAGAATATAGTAACATAAAATTTATTTACAGGTCGCCTCAAAAATGGAAAACCAAGAAAATGTTTTGAAAAAAAACAACCGTGCTGATTTGTCATCTTTGCCAACACGACAATACCTTGATCAAACAGTTGTACCGGTTTTGATGAATGCTCTCTCATATTTGGCGAAAGAACGTCCACCAGAACCCATCGCGGCTTTAGCTGCATTTCTTTTGAAAAATAAGTCATCATATGAAAGCTCTGATAGCTCGTCACCTCCAGTGGCGGGAAATCCTGAAGATAAGCCATAGACTATTATTTTTTGTTACATCAATCCGCTGTCAATAAATGTATAAATTTGATTATGGTATTTCAATTTATTAAACAAATCTTCACCAAGCTACCAATCATTTTATTTATTTCAAGCTTTGAGTCAATAATATATCACTCAGAGGTGCTATTGAGTCAAACCAGATAATGACAACAAGAAAAGTGGAGTAAACGTACTTCAAATTAGGACTGGTTGCGGAAGAAAAGAGGGAACTAACCCAAGTTGTACAGAAGATGGAAGCTCTTTAATTGGTGACCAAAAAGATGAACGACTTTGTTTATTATATCCAGCTAGTTCTGCACAGACCTAACCACTTGTCGTCTATGTAAAAAGACTAGCTCCCTACAATGATCCTCCCAGTTGGTTTAATCCGAATGAAATAAACGAGTTACTCCAAATGTAGTAACTTGAAAAGGCGGACAGTGTTATGTCACGCACGTTTACATACGCCAATGGTACAGAGTATATCTATGGGGTTTATTGCGGAGATTAGGCTGAATAGTTCGAAGATCAAACTAGAGGCCAGGTCACAAGCGACGGTGAACAGTGGCGTTATTTATGAGTATAATTGAAGTAAAGAGCTTAAGTTGTGATTTTGAATTTTAAAATGGATTCATTGAATTTTATCGAGCATACAACTTATATATTGGTCGGCGAGAGAATGTAACAAACAATACATTTTCTTTGATATATCTAGGATGTTAATTATATATTAAATCATGGTATATACCCGTCGTTTTTGAACTAGCACTAGCAGGCGAAACTTCAGGGGTATAAAAACCTGCAGACCACATCTAATTAACCCGGAAACTTCAGACAATCAATTACCTATACAATGTTCACAGTAAATTTCGTTACAAGGTAGCTTCATCAGTTGGGCTGGAACATCAGAATATTCTACAATGTCTTTCATATAATGGGTAATTACAAAACTTAATTAGATAAATAAATAATTCTGCCAAACCAGGTAGATTATTACAATATTGCTTCCTCTAAGAAAACAGGTAATTTATGAAATGTGCGTGTGAAAGCTATTTTCCGAGTTTTTCTGGCCGTGGTCTGCAGGTTTTTATGTCTAACGTTTCTTTTACTACTGCGGTAGACATTATCAAAGGCGATGATAACGGTCGCAATGCTCGAGTTGTAAATTAATTCATTAATTAAGAGAATATACCACATCGCCTTTGATAACTTTACCGCAGTAGTAGACGGAACGTCAGACATAAAAATCTGCAGACCACGGCCAAAAATCCGTTATTTCCGGCCGTGAAACTTTACATTCTTTAATTTATGAGTATGTTGAGCAAAGGCATCTTTTGCCAAAACTTGATTAGATAAATGAATAATTCTGGCAAAACAGATAGATTTTAAAAAAACATTTATAATACAATATTACTTCTAGGAAAACAAGTAATTTATAAGTACGTGCAATAATGATGAGTAAATAACATCTTGTTGGTCATTCAAAAGAAAATTTGAATGTTTGCATCGGTTGATTTCCAGAGATTCTAGCTGGTTTAATTTTTGTCCTTAATTTTTGTTTGTAATATGTTGTAGTCCATGTTGAAATCATAGTTGTTTTCTAAAGGGGGCAACTCTACAAACTTTTGGGCAAAATCTACCTGTTTACCAGAATTATTAATGTAAGTATCTAATTAAGTTTTGTACTTACCTACTGTTATACAGTTATAGAATAGTTTGATGTACTAGTGAAAATAATATAATTATTATCATGGATAGTGTTATTAACTTTCTGCAAGTAACAATAGTATACGTGTACCTGAATATTTTAGTATTAATGTAACTCACAAAAAATCGAAACAACCTTTCTCTACTGGAAAATAGTTAGAAATTTTATTTTAAATTTCTGAAGTATTTCATTGTGATGTAAGGCTATTGCCTTTTCAAATATTTTTTTCAATCCAATATTTCAAATGGTCCTATTTAATTTTTTCTTCTAGGTGAAAGATGTCGCTGCACGGTCTTCCTCCACTGCCAAAAAGTCTAAGCAGCTTCATGATATCAGAAGCAACTCCAACTCCCCCAACGCCATTGAGGAGCAGTTCAATTCGTCCAGGTACTGGCATCAAACAGCCAACAGGATATTCGTCTCACATAAAAGTTGGTGGCAGTCCAGAGCCGAGTTTTCGAACGTCTTCTGCTGGCAGCTCTACAAGAAAGTCAACCAGTCTTGATACGAAGCTGGCTATTCTTGGACAAGAAATGGTAAGGTGTTGGCAATCCTGAGAACTGAGATGTTATTTTACAAGTTCCCGGGATCAAAATAGATTTTTAATAACAAAAACATTGTTAATTTTTTTATAAAAGATGACTTCAATTATTTACTTCTTTAATATTTGTGGAATATCAATCAGGGTAGATAACGTCTATTCGCTCTTCATTTAATATTACAATGGATGTAGGCTCAGAAAAAACGCACAGATTCATTACTGTGGATGTATGTGTCTGTATGTGTATGTGTCTGTCTTCTTGAAACTCTGCATTTTAACTCCTCTTTGGGAAAAATTTTGTTATTGATAGCAAAATTATAAATATATACAAATGGTTCTATGAAAAATTGAGAACACCCTTTAACTCATTTCTTTTAAAATTATGTTATGGAGTTTTGCTGCGGCATCCTCTTCCTCTGTAAAAATGATATTAATGCTCCAGTCGGTGACACTTCACGCTGCCATGGGGTTCATATTCTACTCCAAGAAATCTAGGACAAAGTAACTTTTGAATTTGATCCAGCGTCGTACTTGGATTCAATCTTGTTACATATAAAGTCACTAATTTTGAGGCTGTATCTTCGCTATAACCACCGACGAGAAAAACGCGATCTTTTTTGTGACTTCCACCCATCAACTGAGTCAATGTGATTTTGTAATTCGTTCGTTTTATTTTGCATCACTGCATTATTTATGGCAGCTTCTATTTCGTGTAGGTTTATATTCAATTACTTGAAGGAATGACAGTTCTTCTTATTGTATTTATCTGTTTTTTGCTTGATGTTGTCTGATGTTGACCCTCATCAACTTTCGTTACTGATTTCATGTTTTTTTTTCAATAAATCACAATTTTTTTAAAGCAAACAGTTGTTATATTCTAAATTTATCTTCCAATTTTTGAATTATTCTTCCGAGAAGAAGTTTGAGTGTATTTCTCACTGCTCAGTTGAAATATTGCTGAGATTAGGATTTTTATTGCCCCTTCCAAAGCAAATTGAAAAGTTTTCAATGACAAATTCATGTTTTTTCACTTTAACACAACTAATAGTGAAACGATTCACCACAATTTATGCACTGAATATTGTTAGTTGCTTCAGTTTTACAGCATTTCAACACACTCTAAATTCTTGTAATCTTCAGAAGGCACCATATTTTTATAGAATATCACTTATAGGTGACAATGATTAAAAAGAAGCATAATTGAACCCAATCTTTGAATTTGAATAACAACACCACTAGTTGAATCAATCAATGGTTTATAACAATATTTACCCAAACCCAAAATTCCATTATTTGCTAAAGATGTCTTTTACTTATGTTATAGTTCAATCTTCGACAACTCGACCTTACTGTTCTCTCCCAGCTATGGACTCTGAACGAGTCAATTCAAGAATTCCGCAACATTCTACAAGAACAAGAAGATCGTGTTCTTTCACCTCCATCAATTTCTCCCACACCCTCCTCCGGAGAAGAAGTAGATGCTGATGAATTTTACCTATCAACAACTTCTTTGAATTTCAGAACTGTAGTGACACATCCAGAACACCGACAAAGTGTTTCATCGAATACATCAAGTGTTGGATAGACCAAATGAAGGATTATATGAAGGGATTCTATGACCTTCAATGTTTCGAAATAAAGAATAGTTGTTACCATCTTGTAAAAGACATTTACAGTCTCCTTCAAGTACCATATAATAATATTTCCATTGTTATGTTTTTACAATGCCTCTATATATATTCCAAATTTCTTTTTCATGTTAGCTTGGACACTGAAAAAACAATCTCAGAATCGAATAGTGTTTATCATTTTCTGATGATATTATGAATAGGTAATTAGCCTTAGGTGCGGAAAAGTTTTAAAAAAATTAGTGTTCAGATATCTACTCTAGTGATGAAAAAATAAATACTTCAAAATAAAATTTGGAAAATTAATCTCTCCCAACTATCTACATACTAGGTTCTGGTATTAGCCGGAAAACAACTACTTCCCTGTAATACCACGCTGGACATTTGACAGATATTTATGCAAGATACCTCACAGAGGTTAGTCTCGCAGATGTTTCTCCATCATCCAGCAGCAGGACCAAGCTAAAATTATTCGAGTAGATCACCTACAAACCGGTTTCGAGGTATTACCTCTCATCAGTGTAGGACAGATCTGACCCAAAGAGTTAAGTAACATCTTAGAATAATTAAATATCAGTTTGTGAACATTTTCAGAAAATTGACATTATTAAATTTACACCTGACATTTGTTACTAATAATGTATGTCAGCTTGTATGTATAAGGGCTGGATAGTTTTCTAGAAGTAGTTGTAAATTTCCATATTTAGTAGCTTATTATATTCACTCACTGACAAAGATTGAAAATTCATGAATACACTGACTTGTTACTGATGAAAATTAATAACTATCAGTTTGTAGGTAAAACTGGAACATTTGGCGTAAAATGAATATGAAGACAAGACTTTTCCCACACAAAACAAAAAAACAATGAGTTTTTGATTTTTTTTAAACATTTGTTTTTAAATTTCTATTAGCAAATTTCAAAGTATAATGAATTCTTACCCTTGTGAAAAGAGAAAATAAATAATCCTAAGGAAATGTTGATTTTTAAAAACATTGTTTTGAACTGGTTCCTATGCAATCAGTGGCACATAAATTATAAAAATTATAAGGATATTATGTCTCTCTAGATGAATGATACTTTGTTAAAATGAGTCTGGAGGCATAAATAAATTTCCAAAATGTTTGGCTTCTGTATCACTGCTACATTTCAGCAGATGAGGAGTATCAAAAAAGTAAAATAGTTTTCCCTCATCAACAAAGAAATATGGCTGCTCTATAGACACTTTGACATCTTTTCTGGCAAGTGTATAAAAATTAAAACCTGAATCTGAAATGATACCTACCCCTAACTCTTAATCCAATTTTTGATAATTGCCTAACAGCTTCAATCAGAATAGTTTTTATATCCAGTATTGATGTGGATGAATTGGTAAAAAAGTATGCAACAGTAGTCTCCAAAAAAGGTTATTTGAATATACATTTGATATTTTGGTTTTGCAGAGATTTCAGTGGAAGTAATATTTTTCATACAGATACATACCAGCTAAATCAAAAAATGTGGTTCAACAATTATTTTCCTTTATGTATTTCCAGTGGAACTCCGATTGTTTTGTCATTTTATATCATTACTTGTAAGGCATATACTATTAGTAAATTTCAATTTCATCAAATTAATTTCATAAAAAAAGCCTGCACATATATAGTCTATAACAATTTATTTTATAATTGAATAGAACTGGCCGATACTTGATGAAAATCCATATTAAAAAACTAATTAATACAGTTTATTGTATGATTTTCACTATTCAGTATTTTAGTGAAAATCATATAATAAACTGTATCGATTAGTTTTTTAATTTATTTTATGAATTTCGTTATATGTTCATTCCTTCAATCCTACATAATGAATACTAGAAAAACACATTCGAATGGAAATCAAAAAAACTTAATGCTGATATCACCCTGCAAATTATAGCAACCCACAGCACGACACTTGTTTATTTTGAAACTAGACACGAATACAAAACTACCACTTACAACGACTCAGTCTGTAATAATATTCCATGCCTCAACTTGGCTCTTGGTAAACCCATCAGATTCAGTCAGTTGCGCATGAAATTCGAGATGGGGAATCTTGACCCAAATATGGCGGAGAGTGAACTTACTTGTGTTTACTCCTATACCGTGTTAGTGTGAAAATGGTTTAATTATCATCATAAATACTGGCAACATTTATTATGTTCCAGAAATTCATATTATTACGATAAAAAAAAGCCATATAATTCGTTTGATTTCTCCAATGAATGATTTCAAAAACTAGTGATTTTTAACTTAACGTTTCATTAAGACAAATTTCACCAAAAAAATATTGAAATTATTTCAGATATATATTTTCTTCCGGTATTCAGTCAATGTTCAATCTAAAATATGCAGCATCATGAGTTTTCATCATTTTTTGTTATGATTGAAATGATAATTTGAAAATGCAGTAAAGTTTCGAATGACTTTGTATCAATTCTTTATACAATCATATTTTTAGTAAAAACACAATAACCATAATAAATGAAAGTTCATATTCTTTCTTACCTATATGCTGATACAACTTTCACCTTATTACTGCATAAAACCTTCCTTTATGAGGGAGGGCACAATGCATTACAAGGTCGGGTATATTTTTCCCTCGGACTTTTAATACTCAGTTTGTACTTCAAACGATTTTAACGGGTATTTTTTAGATTTCTATATTGAGAAATACCATAACCATTCATCTGTTGATATTATGTAACAACTGTAAGAATGTTTATCAGGGATGATGAAATAAATGAATATTAGATATGGAAACAGTGATTTTCTGACAAGAATTAAGTATAGTCGAATTTTATTCAAAATATTTTTTAGGTACGGATACAACCACTGTCCTCTTCGACTGCTTCAATAAAACACCTAAATTTGTAATGAATATTTATTTCCACCCGAAATCAGCTGATTCAACATTTCTTCCATAAAACCTAAAAATAAATATATGCAAAGGGACAGACAATCCCAAAACATTAGGAATACTTTGGTAACAGCACACTACATCAGTAGATAAAATATGAATATCACATTTACAATAATGAATATACAGCGAGGAATTGAATGATCTCTTTCTAAACAAACATACTGAACTTTCATTCAATCAACATCCTTAAATGAAAGATTAAAAAAATAACTTCGTGTTTTCAGTTGGAATTTACTTCATTATTGAGCGAAAGTTTATATCAACCACTTGTTACAATATTTGAAAGTGAAATTATTCAATTTTTATGAAATTGGAAAAGTATCGAGCACATAAATAATTCTGAAACGGATGAAGTAGGCAAGAAACAACATACTTCAACAAGATATTACACACCCTGTACTTGAAATTGGTGCAAAAACTTTTCTGAGGTTTTTTTACAAAGTAACAATTATGGCCACTTCTATTTGTTTTTGTACTAAATGAAAAAACCGTTGTGAATTTTGATAAAAAAAGCCCCAGCATACCAATCATCAGATGTAGTTTGTCATCCTCTTCGAACCCCTGCAGAAGAGAGACCATGCACCTCAATTTTATACATTCACTATGCTATAACTAAGGGCTCGTCATCTGAAAATCCTCTAATCTGGGGACTCTCGTCATCTTCCAAAGTGCGGTCATCAAAGGTGGCCGCATCAGATCTACTATCATAGTGGGAGTTAGAAAATCGAGTGAAATTGCTCTGCAACCTTCGGTTTCTTATAACTAGGAATACAATGACCATGATCAATACTATGAGCACGAGTATACTTGGTACGATTACTGCAGTCATGTTTATTGGCTGCACTATGTACGTGCTCTCCTTGCTAACCAGCTCGGAAGCTTGTGAATGTAGACCTTTTCCCGTTCGGATTCTGACCGCGAAAGTATAGGTTTGGTGAGAGGAGTTGGTGTAGAAGAAAGGGGGTTTATCTACAACAAACTTCTGGGCATACGTTTCATTCAAGCTGTTACCTTCTTGCACTAAAACTTCATAAAAATACTTTCCGATGTTATTGGGCAGTTTTCTCTCTAGCCAGCTGACTTTATAACTGCCGTTATTTTCTAGAGACACGCTAGTTTCGAACGGTGGCAAGATAGGTGGCGCTTCATATGTTACAGGCTTCGAATAAGTAGCACCTGGATAATCTGTGGCTACCCTAACATTGTAAATTCCGCCATAAGAGACGTTGAACACACGATAAGAAAGACTGTTTCCACTGACGCGGCGGTGCCAGGTTTGGGTGGTGGATTTTTCATAGATCTCAATCTGGAAAGTAAATGAAATATATAATTGAAATGGCATTACCTGAATTAGATGAAATATGAATTTATTTATAAATAAAAATCGACATTAAAAATTTAGAAAACACAAAAAATACTCAAATAGATCTTCATAAATAAATACCTACCTACTTAATCAAATAACTATTTGTAAAATTATAAAATAATTATATCATTTTTTATGGCAATAAGTGGGATATGAATTAAATAATAATTATTCGAAAGAGAAGTAACTTTAAGAAACCCTTGGACAGTCATATATAACGAATGGCATAAAAAAATCCATTTTTCCGTTAACCACCTATCCCTTCTCACGAACAACAACCAGAATGACAACTCAGATGCCCAAACTTGTAAGAACAGAGTATTAACGAGGTCTTGATTTCTGACGTGTGATTCGTGTGAAGGAAACTTTTTAATGAATGAGTACTATTTCAATTATCCATAATTTGATTTAAATTTAAGAGCCACCAGTATACACCTGTTTCAGATGTTAGGCATCTTCAGTAGTGGGCAGGCAGTTCTTGATAGCAGACAAACTGTGAAAAACTAAGAGTACTTTATGAAAATTACTGCGTAAACACAACCGAGATATAAGTGGAACATCCAAGTTTGCTTGCAAAGTTTACATGTTTTGTTTCCTATAATTTTTTGAACATAAAAGTCAGTTTGAACATCAGAAGCCTCAATCCAATTATTGTACAAGGAATACTTTTCACCATTATCATTATCATGGAAAAATTGCTCTCTATAGTTGTATGAAATTTCATGATAGACTCCGTAGCAATGCAAGAAATTGAACCCTACTCATATTACGAATTATAAAAGTAGTTAAACATTTATCTAATAAATGTGAACAACTTCTAAATAAAAACTGAAAATAAAAACAAAAAACAGTATATTGTCAAAGAATTGTTGCCAGATAAATTCAAATATCGATTTACTTTTTTGTATTACTAGGGGGATTCCGTCGTAATGAATTGACTTTTTTCAAAATTAGCTTTATTTTTTCTCAAGGTCTCAGAATGATTATGAAGATGACATGTTTCATTAAAAATAAGTTAGTTGATATTTTCATTTTATTTTTGATATAATGAATAAAACAGCAAATTTTTAATTCATAAAGAGAATTAAGATCCATTATACTATTGGGTTTATATGAATTTACTGTTGATTCAAAATACTTTACAAACAGTATAATTTACATCCTAACCCCAACATTCAATCTATTTTTAATGCAATTGTGGGTGCTTTGGCTATATTGAAAAAAAAAAACGTAAAAAGAAAAGAATTATTAGTTACATATTTCAATAATAATGATTATCTGCATCTCCTTACTCACAACAAAAAAATTACTTTCAACTCTAAGCACCATCATTACAACAATTTTACAATTCTTGACTGTATTTCTTTGGGCTGACATGTGTACTAAGAGTGCAATATATTTTGATTGTCCTTTTCAATTGAGATATCACTCAACCCTCTTGGAGATAACACCCCGTTTAGAGGGTTGAATATTTTTCAATGTTTTTTTTTTTTGGTCAAAACTTGTATATCTTACATATGATTTTGAAAGTTTCTGTATTTTTGTGAAAATTTCATTTTCTGGCAGTTATGCCTTCTGGTATGTTTTCAATGGTTCATCCTGTATATTGTGTTGTAACTGCAAATTACTGTAAACTTTAGGCAAAACCATTTCATGAAACTGTTATATGTTGATTGATATACAAGGAACAGGCAGCTTTTGCATTTATAATTTCACGAAACAATGCTTTCATTGTTTTATGTACCAGAGGAATAGATAACAACTCTCTTATTCTGTACTAACAAACGTCCTAAGATGTATCAAATAAATTGACAAAAATAATACTCACTATGTAAAAATCTGGCGTGGTGGAAGGACATGACGGCTCCCACTGCACCTTCATCCTGAGTCGGTCACCTCCATCTGGACTAACTACAATTTTTTTTGGTGGGGCTTTAATATGTCCCGCAGTTGTAATCTGTTTGAGATTTCTAGAGAGTGGTCCGTATCCTAACGGCCCAATCAAACCAACAGCCACAATATACACCTCACAGGAGTCAAGGTTAGTGATACTTGCAGTTAGGTTACTGGTAGTGTATCGTGGTTCTAAAAAAAAATTAAATGTTAATCAGTCCTTCTATTACGGGTCCCAATCTTACTTTCAAACAGTTGATCCAATGTTAAGCCATAATAAACTCCATATACCCAGTTGACTTTTTTCGAATACTTGGGACGATCCCAGCTGAGTTTAACAGTGGTGCCAATTTCTTTCAGCACAATAGACTGTGTTATATTCACCTCGGGAAGAACCTTACCGGATTTTCTTAAAGATATTACTGCAGATGGGCCAATGAAGTCTTTTTTGAAGGCATTCACCTATAAACAAATGAGATATATTGTAGTTATGGAATGGACAGATATTATATTTCCAAAAAGAGTATAATAATTGAATATTTTGCTATTTATTATACAGTAGACCCGCGGTAACCCGGACCTGTCTAATCCGGCGCCCCCTGCAATCTGAAGTGCCAATCGCATGTGCATCAATTTGTGAATAAATCATGTCATTTACAATCCTTCGAGATTCATGACTTCAATTCTTTCATAATATTGGAGTGATTGGGAACATCCCTAGTACAATATATTTTATATGCACAAAACCCCAAAAAAATATTTCGAACTTTTTTTAGTATGACTGAACATGATATCAAGCTGACCAAATAATTGATGCATCTTCCAAGGGAGTGACAATAAGACCCAAGTGAACCATTTTAATAGAAGGGACTGAGAAATGTTTACAAATTTTGATTACAAAGCCTAATAATCTAGAGGACTTGACTGAAATGTTTTTTGTACTATGAATGTTAGTTATTCGACTATAATAACGTCTACAACAACGGATAATCCCCAATTTTTATACAATATATTAACCTTAGAAAGTTAACTATTCTAGTATCTAATAAATCAACCTACATAGAGAGAATTAAAATGAAATTGTGATTAAAAAATAGTCTTTTAAATCTATACCACATAGTATCTAAGAGTGCTCTGAGAGATGTGAAAAAAATCAATATTGATCTCATTGGCATTTGATAGAATTCCGGACAAAGAAGAATGTTTTCCATAATTACACCTATGAAAGTAGAGACTGAAAGTTTGAACTTGAATGAACTGATTGAATGGCACTTATCGATATAATGCTTTCCACACATCATTAAGCTAGATCAGGGGTCTCCAAACTTTGAAGCCTTCGGGCCATAATGATTTTTTCAGTTTGTTCCAAGGGCCCATTTCTGCCCTGAACTATATTTCTAGACTAGAATAGTCGCAAAGTGCGTGACCTAAGCAAACTTCGCCTTTTTGCATTTCAATTGTTATTGTGTATTGTGACACTTAACGACATCTAGTGGCGAGTAGTGGTACTATGTACTATCTTTTTCAGCTACCCGCTAGGTGGCATTAGGCATAATTAAATATTTGGAATTACCGCGATGGTTCGAGAAAGTTCTGGTTCTAGCTAGTGTATTCCGATCACCTCGAGATGGCAGTAATAATTGCATATAAAATGGCTAGCGGCGCAACTGCGAGTTAGTCTGCGTAGGAAAGGCGAAGGAAGCCAGACCGATGACAGTAAATCATTGGCTGTCGCGGGCCGTAGTTTGGAAACCCCTGAGCTAGATTATCAACATACTCTTGAAGAAGCATTTAATCATCCTTCGATTTTATGGTTGCAAAAATGTTCAAGTCATAAATAATCACAATGTTTGAAATAATTTTTGGCAACGTTCATATACAAATTGAAAAGAAATGGTGCATAGTAGTTTATAACATCTTCATTATATATTGCAGTTAATTCATATGCATTTCTGTTCTCCAGTTTCACTGAAAAATTCATTGTACCAGTTGCTTTAACTTGTTCAGACATAATAAAGGAATATCTGACCTATGCTATAAGAATGATCAAGATCAATGATCAAAAAAATTTAATCACTTGAAACCAATCAGTACAGATGGCTGAAAGTATGAATTATATAATGATATGCAATACTCCTCCATAAAAAAAATGTCTTTCAAAGAATATTTATAAATTCTGATTTTGAATTTTCTTACCTCAATGCGGTAGTTTGCACCAGGTGCCAACCTTAAAGTAATATTATTTGTTTTCGTAACTCGCGAAGGGAAATTGGGGTAAGGACGTTCTGCTGCTGTAACCACATTATATCCATCAGCTTGACCATCGTACGTCCAAGAAAGAGAAATGACATCTTCCACTTCTGTTACGGTAAGGTTTTTGATGACAGTGACATTTGTGTGACCATCAAAAACTAATGTAACTGGTTCCGATTTATTGCTGGAATATTTTTTGTTATAAGCCACAACCTGAAAAACGAATAATTAAAAAAAGCCACTAATGTATTCTAAATAGCTCACCGAAAACGTGTAGGTTGTACCATGTTCAAAGTCGGTAGACAGTAAATGGGATGTTTCATTGCCGGTCAGCTTCAAAGTTGTTTCCAGAGATGTTTCGGAACTCCAATATATTTCATAGTATTCAATTACACCGCTAGGTTTGAGAGGCTCGTTCCACGAAACCAAAATATGTGAACCATTTCTCTGTTTGGCAGTAACATTCCAAGGTTCACTGGGAACGCCTTCACGTGTCCATGAAACAAGGAATACTGCAGGTGGAAATACCATACTGCTGTTTTTCACTCGGACATACACGGTCATGTTATATTTCGTAAACGGTTCCAAACTTGTGAATTGGTGTTCTCGACTTTGAGTCCAACTATCATTTTTCCATTTTCCATCACCGGCTTTCACAATAGATGGTTGGAATTCCAGTTCCACATCTACGTGACTCTGGATCTGCCAGTATAGGTAAATAGATGTATCGTTCGTATTTCTGAAAGCAAGAAAAATACTTAGATTATGTATAACCTATACATACTACTATTAGTGTTGAAAGTTTTCTATAATGTAATCTTCAACTGACAGACAGGTTTATCTGTGCCATAAATATTTGTTAACACAAGTCGTCAGAATAACATATGCTAGTTATTACAAATAACTAATAAAGGCTATCTATCTATCTTTCTATCTAGTGGTAATTCTGTGAGATCATGTTGAAATTAAAACTATCTTGATTTTTAACACCTAAAACCCAGACATATTTCTGAAGAAAAATATGTCTATTTACTTATACTGAATACAAACAGATTTAAACAATTACGTGTATACAGTGAAGTTGTGATTAGGGTGATAAAACAGTAAAGCAGAATACCTACACTAACGATAACAGTTATTGAGGCAAAGTAGCAGTTAGAGTAATGAAATATACGCTGTCTGATCAAAAAATAAGGTGAATTTTCATTTTTCTCAAAAAATATTTATTTATCCATCAATTTCTATTCTACCCCTTTCAAAGTAGTCCCCCAAATACAATATACTTGTGCCAAAAAAATTACAAAACAAGCATCCACAATATCGAATGTTTTCTTTGTATTGCTTCTCCCAACGGCGCATAACTTCAAGACGATTGGGCTTTGGTTTCGATGCCATAACCATATATATCCATGATTCGTTACCAATTATGACGCCGTCCCAATGAAAGATGGTTTTACGGTCAATAAGAAGTATTATCTTTAAGTTATGCGCCACTTGCTAGAAGCAATACAAAGAAAAAGTATTGTGGAAAAACAATCTATGGCTTTTGGTTAAAAACAACATCCCAATCATGCCTCAGCCAACATATTAACCAGATTTGGCTACTTTCGACTTTTTCCTGTCCCCAAGATTGAGGAAACCCATGAGAGAATGGCGTTTTGCGACGATTAAAGAGATAAAAATCGAATCGTTGAGAGAGCTCAAGAACATACCAAAAAGTTCATATCAGAAAAGCTTTGAGGATAGGAAAAAACGCTGGCACAAGTATATTATATCTGAGGGGGACTACTTTGATGGGGAGAAAATAGAAATTGATGAATAAATAAATAAATATTTTTTGATAAATATGAAAATTCACCTTGTTTTTTGAACAGAGTAGTAAAATTGTGGAGATGATATTGCATTTTTTCACACAAAATCCCAATCCACTATTCACTATATAAAAAAAGACGTTTCACTTATAAAAAGCATTCAAGTGAGCAGTCGTCATATCTTACCTTTCTTCAACAGCCATCCGCATAACCTGATAAATTCTGGATTTATCAGTACAATTGAACTCGTCGTACATATCTTTGCAGTCTACTTTTCCATCACATAGCAATGCAAGAGGATAGCAAGTCCCATCACAGGGGAATAGTCCCCTATTACAGCTGGGAGTGGCTGGTGCTTCAGGAAGATTTTTTTCACAAAAACTTTCGTCTGTTTCGTCTGGACAATCTGGGCGACCATCACATACAGAAGATGCCTAGAAAGAATTATCACTGATTAAATGGGAAGAACACTGATTTTTGAGATTACTAACAATAGCTGAGGGTTTACAGAGATGTCCTATTCATTTGTTTGCTTGTGCTACATCATCAACATCATCATTATATAACGTCATAAAGCATATTTACATCTTATGTAATAATAATAATAATAGCATTTATTAACCAACAGTTAAAAACCATTTAACTAAGTATGTTAAAAAAATTATATCGATCCTTATAATTACAAAGTTACAATTTGAGGAAATGAATGAATATTATAATATAATAAAATAAAATAGAAAAAAAAACTATACCAGAAAATTAAAAATTCTCCATGAAATACTGAGATGCAGTGTCAACAATATATTTTAGGGAATCATAATTGATATCACACAAATTTGAAATTAAATTGAAATTATTGCAAATGCTAAAGATAGGTGACTTGAGATACAAATTAGTTCTGGCCAGTCGGCTGTAAAAAGTTTTTGTACTTCTAGTTCTGAAATGAGGCACACAGAAAGTTATAAAAGATAACACCTCCATAGCATCCACATTGTTGTGCAGTAATTTATACAGAAAAATTATTCCAGCAAGTTTTCTGCGTAATTCAAGACTTTCAATATTGAATGTTATGGTAAGAGATTCATATGGAATTCTTCTATCAGAATAGATACCATAAGATTTGAAGTAAATAAATTCCAGGAAACGACGTTGACCTTATTGGCCTTAATAAGCTACTAGGCTTTTTTGAATCGTACCTTTTTAACCGTAACCAAATAGTTTATTATAACAGATACAAATCAAACACAATAATTGCTAAGTCTGGCATACCCCAAGGATCGACTTTGGGACCGCTGTTGTTTTTGATATTTATCAATGATTTAGGCACACAAATAAATTCTATGAAAGTTTTTTTTTCTGATGATCTGAAAATACTGAATTCTATCCAAAATGTGAATGATTGCATAACACTTCAGGAAGATATAGATAATGTGCAGGCTTGGTGTGAAATTAATAACCTACATCTGAATATAGGTAAATGTAAAGTCATATCACATACTAGAAAACATAGACATATTGAACATCCATACAATGTTCAAGGTAGTTTGCTAACCCGTTGTGTGGAGACTAAGGATTTAGGTGTATTTTTTGACTCTAAAATGGCATTTGCCAATCACATAAACAAAAAAGTTTCCGAAGCCAATAAAACGATAGGATTTATCACACGAAATTGTTAAAACTTAACAAACACAAACGCCTTGAAGATATTATATTTCTCATATGTCAGTTCCAAGCTTGAATACTGCTCAATTATTTGGAGCCCCTACTATTTCTGTCATGAGTACTCAATTGAAAAAGTTCAAAGAAAATTTATGAAATTCTTGTACTTCAAAAACACTGGAATTTATCCAGCTAGGGATTCTGACCACTATAGTCTTCTCAATCACTTTCAATTAATTTCTTTAGAAAAAAGGAGATGTGCTTCAATAACCTTTTTGCGTAAACTACTGCACAGCCAAGTAGACTGCCATTTGCTCCTGTTAGAACTGAACTTTAGGGTGCCAAGAGCTCAGTCACGACTGAATCTCACATTTTACTGCTCTGCAGCACGAACAAACATAATATCGCATTCTCCAATTAAATATATGTGTGAAAACTACAACTCGATATGCAGCTTTTGCGATATTAATACTTGCTCGGCGAATCATATAAAAAAAGTTGCAATGGAAATCTTAAAGTGATATCAAAACTGTTTTTTCTTTTTTGTGTTGTGAGAGAGTCAGTTATTATAATCACTCTTACCAAGTAGCGCAAAGAATAGTTATACTATCAGTTTTTCGTTTGTTTTAGTTTTCTTTCTTTTGTTTTCTATTCGATGTTATATATCATTGTTATGTTATATTCATATAGCATGTTAAGAATGAACATGATTTGTTAATTTATTTTTTCTACACCCGTACTCTAACAATACACTTATATGACCATAATCCGTTTCATAATGATATCCATTATGATACAGATTTTTCATAACGATACAGATTATCAACCATTAGAAACCCATAATTTTTCAATCAAGAATCCTGTTCCTTTATTTGTCCTAGATTCTAACCTAAGTAACTAATTGCTTTATTTGTCAAAATCAGTTTTCATATTACCTACCTATATTATCAAAATGTCTGAAAACAGCGATATAGAAGGAATACCATCGACTCCAATATTTTTAAAAGATCAGATTAATTACAGTTGTTATATTCAATATAAATATAATTAGAATCTTTATAGTTTTCATATATCCATGATAATACCATTAAGTTTGTGTTTTAAAAAAAAAATGAGTTAATTACTGTAAATGTGTTCAATACAAATATAATATTTATGGTTTTTCATTATTTATCAGGTTTAGAAAAAATAGCGTATGCAACTCTCATGTAATGGTTATTAATACACTCGCATATACCATACAAAACTCGCCTTCGGCTCGTTTCGTATCCCGGTTAATGCTCGTGTCTTAATAACCATCATTACATGATCGTTGCATAATATACTATTATCTATTATCAGTACTGATGTATTTAATTATGTCCTGAAATTGGGTGTTACTTGTTGGGCAATAAATGATATTATTATTATTATTAGATACAAACTGTTCGCGTTGAAGTAAGTAGGATTTAATGAAAAGTGCTGCTGAATTATGGAAACCAAATTGGGTTGAGTTTTTGTAGAAGGATCATGTGATCCTTCAAACAAAGTAGATATTTCCAGGTATCAACAAGGTTTTAGAAATCAAAAAACATGAACATTAAAATAACTAGCAAATGAAGAATACCTACTCAGAAAATCATATGAAAACCTTAACAGTGCTTTTGAAATTCATCAAAATGAATCTCTTTTAAGCTCTAGTATGATCAGTTATATAACGGAGCCTTTTCGAACCGTTTGTTGTGATCAATATCTTTTATATATCAATGATGGACTGGTTGGGCAAAAGATCAAAACATATGCCGACGTTTCGAACTTTATTTGGTTCGTCCTCAGGACTCGACCTGTTGCTTGTTTTGTCGTCATACGAGGGTGGTACCAGAAGAACCCTGCCCAACAAAGAATACAGTGAAAATTTTGGGAAAAAAATCATTTATTTTTCAATATAATCTTCTTGCAGCTCTATTATACACCTCCCCAGCAACGTTCAATAAGTTTAATACCGTTTTTATAATAAGAGCTGTCTTGCTCCTCAAAATAGCCACTAACTGCTGACATCACTCCTTCAACGCAGGATTTCTCTGAAAACTTCACGTCTCACATTTTCTTAACTGTTCTATCGATCTAAAATATTTTCGGCATTGCGGCGTTTCCACTTCTATCAAAAAGTACTAGCGACTTTATTTTTTTAAATAGAATACTTCGTATATTAACACATTTTTCCAGAAAAGTCTGGTCTACCACCGACCGCGAGTCACGTTGTATATAACTGATTTCAACATGAAAATAACAGAGTTTGAGTCCTGAGGGTGAACTCAATAAGTTCGAAACGTCAGAGAAAAACAGATTACTTCATTTTAAAGAGTTTATCACCCTGTAAAATTTTTGCAGTGTGGAATGGATGCTTTTCCAAATGCAGAGCACCTAAACCTGCCATTCTACAAAACTCGAATTTTTTATTGAAATTAAAGATTATGCGTCAAAATAAAAAAATGCTTTTTTGTTAAAAAAAAAGGCCGTAACACGTCACTTCAGCATGAAACCGGTTTTTTTATTGCATGACACCCAATTTGTAATTTTAATTTTTTATAATTGCCTATAATACTGTCAAATATGGAAAATAATCATGAAATAATTCAAATTCATTTAAGCGAATACATGAATTGAAAGATGTTCCAGCCTCAACTTCAATATTCTAAAACAAAAACACTCACTATTCGGAATTCCATCTTTTAATATTCTAAGTTCATAGACATCAAAATTGATACGATCACAGGATATAGAAATACAAAACAATCTCCAAATACGCAAACTTTGCATAGATTGCATGCCGAGCATTTTACCTTAGTACAGTGACCACATCAAAGTTGCAATGTCAGCGTATAAATCTTCCTAAATATTGAGGGAGGTCAAGATCATGAAAACACAGTATTGAGAAATTCATTCAGTATCTATTGATCTTCAAAAAAAGGTTCTAGTAATGCAGAACATCTCCTTTTCTTCGATCCTGCTGGGTGGCAGTATAATGTAAGTTTTTGATGATTTATTGTATTTTTGATTAACATTTTAGTGTAAGTTTATTCCTGAAGTATTTTTACCGTTTACAATAAAAATTTAGTTTTTAAATGAGTTCTTTCATTATTTGGATAAATGATGAATGGGTGAAACATCGAATAAAGTCCTCTATTAATAAACCAAGAGAGTACTGAGTTGCGACAATACGTAGTCGATAACTTGTCTGACATTTTTCAGTCCCACTTTTTCAGTCTGACAACCCAAATATGTCAGTTATGATAGGTTACAAATTGCGATTACAAACGTGATAATCTTAATTTTTTTTCACTTTGGAATAAAATATGTGTATCAAGGTCTTACCGAAATGCAGCTACCATCCGATCGGCATTTGAACTGATTTGTGGAACAATTACTGGAAGTACTGCAATTATTTTCATCTTCACCATCATGGCAGTCAAATCTTCCATCGCAAACCCAAGCGGACAGTATACATTCACCTGTGGCACACTGGAATTGGTTTTTGTCGCATAATGTGGGTGGTCTGTATGTAGTTACTCGGTCACCAATAGGATATAGAAAATCGGAGCAACCTAGTTCGTCACTGTTATCGCCACAATCATCGACACCATCACATTTCCACCAGAACGGAATGCAACGAAAGTTCTTGCAAACGAACATCCAACTTTGGCAAGTACCATTCTGATAAAAGAAATATTTTCTTTTTTATGAATTAGAAAAACAATTTATGATTAATGCCAATGAAATGGGATTGCCAATAAACATTATTATTATTATTATTATATCTCCCTTTCTTAAAGTTAATTTGTCTTCAACTGAAAGTATATTTATCAACTCTCATAACAGACGACTGAGAACTACCGCTAAATATTATCATATGAATTCTCAACAATTTTTGGATGCTTTCTATACAATTACGAAATTAGCTTTGTGGGAAATTATTTGATAGCAACATCTCAACAAGGACTAAAAAATCTAAAGAAACACCCTCCTAATAATTTTGGCATTCTTGTTGAGATATAAGTTATAGTCTGAGATCCTATAGTACAATTCCATAATAGTAGGCACTAAATTCTCAGAAACATTATTGCATTAAAACAAAAACATTGTTGTCAAGGTTGTGAATCCATATATTTCATCATCATCTGCAAGAGACAGATTAAGGCGAAAACGTCAGTCATTTCTGAGAGTTTAGTGCATTCTATTTTGGATTTATAGGATAAATAGAATCAACTTTACATATCTTGAACAATAAAAATTATTTTATATGAAATTTATTTATTTATTCATTAATGTCAGTAAAAGAATATCAAAGTACCTATTCTTTATCCAACCTCAGAAATTTGTTTGGTACTTTCCCAATCCTAGAAATATCTGTTCGATGTAGAAGACTCAATATTCCACAATTACATTTTAACTCTGAGCATACCAAAGGACAATACAATATTATAAAAGTATTCTTGATTGTATTCGTTTCCCAAAGCATTCACAGAGATATGATAACGATTGAAGTTAAGAGAAGCTTTAGTTAGTTCAACTTCAATGAACTATTTTCAAATTACATATATGTACACTCTCTTTCATCAGAGGGAACAGTTCGTTCAGACCACTTTGTCACATCTCTTATTCTAATAAAAATTTTGACTTTCAAAGCACCCTAACAGTCATTCAGGGCAAATTTTTCGCAACCAATCTATATAAATGTGATCACAACAATATAAGATTTATTTATTAAACACATGGGTGCAAAATATTAGTATCGAATTACCTGATTATACCTATCAACCCAACAGTTACATATGGAAAAAATAACCAAAGCAAAGTTTGCAAATTCAATAGGCTTGTTACTTTCAATTGATTCAAAATTTGTTAGTTAAACTAAGGAAACTAAGGAATGTAATGTTCTACTATTATGTTGTAATACCAACTTCACTATAGCTTTCAAATGACTAAATACCAAGCTCTTTTTCGAAAAGTTCAGCTATTTAATGTTTCAAATCTACATTCAGAAGTCTATTTGTCAAAACAAAGAGCATTTATCAGAAAGATGTATAATCACTTCAGGAGTCCCTCAGGGATCTTTTTTAGGCCTTCTAATTTTATTATTTTCTACAAATATTCTTCCTCGACACAAAACTGAGAAAAATAATAGACATCCCCAAAGACAGCGTTGGAACTGTCAAGGAACTTTAGAAAAGTGGTGTCAAAGAAATCGTCTTATTGTCAAAAACAAACAAAATGGTCTACTTAAACTTCCACATTATGTTTTGCTATATTGCTTGGTACTTACTATGCAAATCTTGGGATGAAATCTGTATTGGACAAAAAAGGCTCCACAAGTTTACTATAATTCATCAAATGAAGTGGCAACTTGAAAGTCAGCAACAGAATATAAGATACTGTTTACGTCTCGATATGAATAAAAGAAATATCAGATTTGGAGTATGCAAAATCTTGTAGACCTGAGTTCAAAGAACATCAAATTCTACCTTTCGTTCAATTTTCGTTTTGAAATGTGTGACTTACGTAAAATGTGAAATTTGAAAAATCGCTAATCTATAAATGTTCATCTCATTTTAATAAATTAATTGCCACAGTTTTTAAAAGATATAAATATAATCAATACAAGCAAAATAAAAGCATATTTACTATTTTTATTCTATAGATAATAATCATTAATTATTATTGATGAATGGGAAAATAACTTCGAAGGAAAATTACACTAATAGAATTTTGTTAGTGAATTACTTATGTAATCTTCTTGAGATTGAACTCCTAGAACCCAGAGAGAGAGAGGAGAAATAAAAAAGATGAGTCATTGTGTCATTTCTATAGAACATCGATAAAACTTACCACACCACCAAAATGAGTTGTTTTTTTTGGCGATTCGGGCGTAGGTGTAGTGCAATTAACTTCGTCTCTACCATCGCTGCAGTCACTTTCGCCATCGCAAATCCAGTTTTTATAAATACATTGATTATTGGGCGGTCCACAGGAAATTTGGTCTTCTGAACATGTATTATTTGCACAATCCAATTCATCAGAATTATCACCGCAGTCACTGTCTGTGTCACATTTCCAAGTTAATGGTATACAAGGTATGGAACCACTTTTACAGTGGAATTCATCACCTGAAAGATTTGCAAGAATGATAATACATATAAAAAAAAGAATATGAATTACATGTTTTAACTCTTATGCCTCTCACCAACAAACAAAACATGCTAACCAGCTGAAACTGTGAACATATGTTCGAGACGAGTGTACGAACATAAAAAAAACGCTAATCGAATGTATGTAGCCCGCAAAATTTAAACATTCACCTTATTTTTTGAACAGGCCTCGTTAATTCAACACCCTGACTTGGTTTGGAATCTTTTGATTTTATATTTTATATTTTTTAATTTTCGTTTCTTGTTAATAATTTTTCAACCCTGACATATTTGATGAAAAAAAAAAACTTACTTTTGCATTGGACAGGACTTTCTGGGTTACAATTTCTTTCATCTGAGCCATCTCGGCAATCATTCTCACCATCACATTTCCAGTTCATCTGGATACATCTTCCATTTTCACAAGAGAATTGATTAATGGTGCAATTGTGTTTGGGACATCCAATCTCATCTGATCCGTCCGGACAATCTTTATCATAGTCACATCTTGAATAAATAATTTGGGGTATAGAATATAGGACAATATGAAGTTCAGAGGTGATAAGAGAAACCAAAATAGTGTAGAAAGTAAAAAAGAAAATAATAATGTGTAAGAAGTAAAAAGATTTTTATTTGTTACTTTATCTTTCAGAGATATATTAAAAATATTTCTGGTGGCATAGATATGTTCACTATATTCAATATCTTATTTGTTATTGAATATAAAAATAATAATTAAATATTCAAACGAAGAAAACTATTCAATCACAACCCTTAAGTATATAATACTGAGAGTTTCATGAATTTGAAAATCATTATTGGTTGTGATAGGACCTAAATTTGGCAATATATTTTGTTTTAAATTTTTTTTGCAATGAAATCATCATCAAACCACTTTTTGATTATTTTCAAGCCTATTTGTACAAATTTTTCTAAATCATTCTTGTTTAGAAAGTTGTAGGTTATAGCCATCGTAGTATTAATGCTTTGTAGATCATTCAAATGAAAACTGAACAAAAATGGTTCTAATATACTACCTTGTGAAACCCCACATCAAAAATCATCTGAATATGAATGTTAGTTATTATGTTCCCTTATCAAAATATGATATCTTACCTCCAATAATTGGGAAGACACTTTCCATCTCCACACATAAAGAACGAAGTAGGACAGGTTTGGGAAAAGCAGTGCTTCTCATCAGAACCATCACCACAATCATCCTCCCCATCACATTTCCATCCTTTAGGTATACAGACGTTGTTGCTGCATGTGAAATGTTCAGAGCTGCAGGTATTCTCACTAGCCTGACATGTTAGATTTGCGTACGGAGTTATATTCCCAGGACACATGCATTTACCGTCCTTCATTGTCAATCCATCGGGACACAGACAAGCAAAGTTATTTTTAGGTAAACCAACGCAAATGTATGGACAAGACGAGTTACTGCATTTATTCGTACCGATCTGTATGCCGTGGGCGAACACTTTTAAATCCATCAGCCCTGGCATTTGCTGAAGTACTACTTCGACACCTTTGAAGTTATCTTTATCAGCGCTGAATATGGAGTTTCTTTCCCAGTCGTCCCAGTACATGTCATTCTTAAAGACTGCAATAGCAAAAGGATGAAATACAAACTTGTTTTCGGCAACTACTTTTACGAAACCGTCTCCATGTAAGTCACTGCTACCAATATAGTCCTTTTTGGCGTCAACCCAGTAAATTCTGTTGGCGATGTAATCAATTGTTATACCATTGGGCCACTCGACTTTATCTCTTCCGAACAATGTCTTGCTTTTGCTTCCGTCCAAGTTAGCTCTGTTTATGGATGGATTCTCCGCTGACCAATCAGTCCAAAACATGTATCCAGCCTGAGGGTGTAGCGCTATTCCTCTAGGCTTCCGCAAAACTGAAGAGTTCAATATTGTTCTTCGCATATGTCCGCTGTGATTGATATTCGTCCTGATCAACTCTATTTTAACACGAAATCCATCAACGAGGTAAAGCGTTTTGGATATCCAGTCCAAAGCCATTCCCTCAATAGATGACAAGTCAGTCGACACAAGTATTTCCATTGAGCTGCCGTTATTGAAACATTGCCTGCCGATGGTATCCTCTGCTATATCAGCCCAGTATACACAATTAGAAGACATATCAAAGTCAATAGCAATAACGTTTTTCAAATCCTTAATTGGAAGTTCTTCTAACCTCTTTGTAACAAAGTTATATCGGGAAATATTTTCACGCTGAGCAAAAAGAAGGAAATCATCCACTTCCTTGATTGGACACGGTACAGAATCGGGCAAATAGTGTGATTCAAAACCACCAATGCAAACGTCTCCAGATATTTTTTGGTAGCCTTTGGTTCTGTTGTAAAATTTACCGGGAGAGCAATCAGACGGAATTTTATAGGGATCGTAATTTTCCAGTGCTTTATCACGAATACATCGAGATGGGGATCCAGTTGATATGAATCCAAAATCACTTGAAATAAAAGTTTTTTTTGAATTATTGATGTTGACATGTTATTTCTAGTAATGAAGTTTGGAACTTGACACCTGATCCAATAAAAAAATTAAAGTGACAATTTTAATATGCAGATGACTTACCATTCATAATCTAAAACATCACAATCACAAGATTGTTTTGAAACAACTCGAACATAATCTAAACCATTCAAACAATAGGCATGAGGCATTCTTCGTTCGTACGTTACTTGCTGTCCAAGAATACAAGGTATATAGCTTCTGCTTTCTGTATTTTGACTGGGAGACCACATCTTATAGTCAGGCTACAAAAATATTCATTATCACTATTGTCACTCAAGTCAGTAGTTAAAATGACAGTTGAAACAACATGGGCTTCATACATATATATAATCTGCTTTTCGAAAAAAACATTCTTGTGAAACAGCACTACAGTTATCATTAAATAAATTTACTAATGAAACAGATAAAGGTAAATATGTTGTAGCTGTCTTTTTAGATTTCAAAAGGGCCTTTGAAACGATTGATAGAAGTATTTTGCTTCAGAAGCTGAGAAGATATGGGATTGAGGGGTTGGTTTATGAATGGATAAGTAATTATTTATCAAATAGGAAACAGAGAGTACATGTGAACGATTATTTCTCATCATATATAACAAATCACACAGGAGTGCCACAAGGTAGTGTGCTTGGTCCCCTATTATTCATTCTATACCTGAATGATATTCAATTATTTACAGACTGTGAGTTCATCAACTCATTTGCAGATGATACCTTATTGGCCTGTACTGGAGTAAATTTAGAAGAAACTGTTGACAGAATGAATAGAGTTCTAGAGAAAGAAGAAAAATATCTGAAACTTAACGTTAAAAAAACAAAAGCAATGATAATTACTACTAAATTCGAATATAATCAAATAAATACAAACAACATAAATTTAAAAATTGAAGATGAACGTATAGAAATAGTAACATCAGTGAAGTATTTGGTATTTCAACTTGATAATTACTTATCATTCGACGACCACTTCAAATATATTGAAAAAAAGATTGCAAAAAAATTATATTTTTTCTCAAGAATCGCCAATAACTTATTAATAGATACAAAAATTATGGTATATAAATCAATAATCCAACCACATTTTGACTACTGTGCATCTATTTTATTCTCTTTTAATTTGAACAAAGTGCAACAAATACAAAAACTACAAATTCGAGGAATGAGAATGATTTTAAAATGTAATAGGTATACACCAATTTCTACCATGCTATCTGCTCTACAATGGCTCTCAGTATCCAAAAGATTATTCTATTGTTCCATGGTTTTAATTTATAAAATAAAAAACACAAGACATCAAGCTGATAGTTATATATTATTGTTAGAGAACATATGTGTGAATTTATTATTTTGTAGAAAAATTTGCAATGCCACAAATAAATAAATATACCCAATTGAATGTGTAATAAATTGAATATCCAGTATGTGTATTGAAAGACAATTTCTAAAAATTGGCTTGTAGAGATTCTTCAAGAAAATAGAAGTAATCGTTGAGGAAGTACTGCTTTATTTTTTCTTCGAAGGACCATACACACAATAGATGGGTTTTGTGGCTTCGGTCAAATTAAGGTGAACTCTGGAAAATTATAGTTCTCATTGAGTTGAACATTAGTCTGAGCTCGAAGCTCCAAGCCCCACAGATTATAAAATATGACCAGCAGAATCCTAGAAACCACCCCTACCACAAATGAGAAGACTTACCTAACCTCCTACCTCCTTAGAAACCACCCCTTCCAAACCATTAGTAGTCTAGAGAAGGTACGAAATTCTTCAGGAAGAACTCTAATGATGCCCTGCAAGTAATTCATGTTCATACCAATCAACCCCCCTGACTATGAGAACAGCAAGGTTGTCAAATTCAAGGAACACTTAATTGTGAGATTTTCAACAGTTTAAAAAAAAACGCAACACGTGTTTCGCTATACAAGAGCTTCTTTAGGCCTGTCAGAAGTATATAGACGCCAAGCAATATTTTTTTTCAACGCTAGAAATAAACTGAACTCTATAAATCCACAAGAGGTCTTTAATCGAACTGAATGAAAATTAAATCTATCCTCAATTTTTTTTCGAAATTCAATTGATACCTATCTTGTAATTGAAGAAAAACGTTCTTTGATTGTATTTTTTTCCGTGTCGGATTTTCACAGTAGACCCATCCCATGACATATCTTCAGACAACAGAAATCTTCACTAAGGAAGCAAATATCTTCCACCATCACATTACTGATATATATTAAGGTTAGCTCGCTCATGGTTTGGTAGGGATTGTTTCCAGCGGTTAGGTGAACTAGGGGGTTTGTTGTTAGGTGGGTTAGTCCACTTGTGGTGTGGAATTTGATTAAGTCAAGAAAAATGAACGATTAAACTTGCTGTTCCTACATTTAGGTGGTTTAATCTAGTGATGGTAAGGGCTAGGTGAGTTAACCTCCTTATGGTGTGGAATTTGATAATTTTGAAAAAATAAACAACTGAGCTCACTGTTATTAGGATTAAATGCATTAGCATGCTAGGTAAGGGTGGTTTCTCGGGTTTCAGCTGGTCTTATCTTGGAACCAGTGTGGTTAGCTGCTTTGCGTCCATTCAGACTTTTGTTTTACTCAATGACAACTACCATTTCCCAGAGTTTCACGAAATTTCATCGAAGCTGGAGTTCTTCACTCAAACTAAACTTTTTCACTTGCTGGAACAGTGTGTTGTACATATTGAGAGTCAATGAATTTTCCTGAGATTCGGAATGTTTGAATTTGCATAGTACCTCTAGAGAAGTAGTTGTGAATATCACTCCAGGTCCTGTGGGTATTAGGGGATTTGTGGACAACTTGTGAAACATTAAAAATGAACAGAGTTGACAGAAGCATTATACCGTGTGCAACAAAGGTTAGCAATGTTTATTACAATATAGTTTTTAAATGTTGATGCATCGATAATGTTCTTAAGCTGTCTGAAAACCTAGTTTTTCATCCAATATAATGCCTAGTAACTTTACGCCAGTCCAGGTTTGATAGTAGTTACGTGTAGACATTATTATTTTTATAAATTCAAAAGGTATATCATTAGGAGAGAATACTTTTTGGGAAAGAAAGTTTTTGACCTTCTACTTCTCCATCTTGATACAAAAAATGTGGGAATCTTCTAAAGAAAGGAAGGAAGCAATCAATTACAAAAATTAACTCTATATAAAGATGTGTAGATCATGCAAAGAAGTAACTTTCAGACACAAACTGAAAGAAAAAGCCCTTTCGAAACAGCTATTTTCATATAAACATTGAATTACATAAAACAAAAATACTTTCAAAACTAAATACTTTCATATGAACGTTGAATTATAAGAAAAACATTTTTCTCTGTTCCTTTTGTATTCCAAACATTCATAATGGGATCGAATCAGATATTCACAGGATTCCTACTCAATATAATTAATGAAAGGAGTAAAATTTCACAAGAATTCTATTTGAGTTGGTTTTTCTGAAACCAATTGTTATTTATCCTCTAAACAGAGTCTTCAATGAGTTCATGATACTGTTCTCCGGAGCTGATTCAAATCAGCAAATAAGATATTTATTGGTATTCAAAAACTGAAATTATAATATATATTTAGAGGTAATATCACCATAACAGACTTCAGTTCCTCTAAAGCTATAGTAAGATAACTTTACAAGAAGAATGTACCTACTATACAAGTATAAATACGAGAGCCTTTTTTGCTTTGAAAAGAGGAAATCAACTTCGATTTCAGTAAGACAATTTACTAAATTTCACCGGTTTGGAGAATCCGATTGTCAGCTTTTTTCTAAGATGTCTGTGGAAGAGTTGGGCGATTTTCATTTGTTAAAATTAATTGATCACAAAAGTTGTATCGAATTTAATTCAACCAAATATTCATATGGTTTTAGAACTAGAACTTCCTAAAGATTTGCTTTTAGCAGAATCACTAATTCTTTTATCCATATAGATAAAAATGGAATATTGGAGTTGCTGATTATAAAAGCACGGAATGTGAAATAAGCCAGTGAGCCAGTTAATTTTTTGAATATTGTGTTATATAGTTTGAAGTTTTGAGATTAGTGAAATAAATTCACATTTTTGTTGTTATTAATCCTAGATCCCACATGAAATACAAAACAATATTCTATAAATAAATACCTTAAACAGAAAGCTCCTACTTCTTTTGAAAATCGTATTTAATGCAATTTATGTTCAATTGTCAGCAATTAAAAGTAGAAAAATAGAATAAGTTCAAAAACTCACTATTAAAAATTTGATCAGAGCACTATGACAAATTTCAAGCAAAATGGGATGATTTAGGAATTTTCAAGTATGAATATCAAAAGCGAAATATAAGAGAATCAAATTATTTTGACAGTAACGAAACACTGACTAAATTTTATTATTAAAGCGGCCACAGAGAAAATATTCTGAATACACAAGTATGAACGAATGGATCTGAAAAAAGTACAAAAATTTCATTGTCAATACTGAATATATCAAATTTTCTAACATTCCCAAGAAAGTATATCATAATACATGAATATCCAACCAAAAACGTTTTATATTGAATGAAGAAATTCCTACCTTTGAACATGTCCTATTGAAAACCCCTTTCAAATCAATTTTCACAATTATCCACTCATGTTTAGCAGGAAGAGAACCGAACATGGTGAAAACAGTTGTATTTTCACCAGGTTCAGTCATAAGCCCATACAATCTGAGCCCTTCATCATGAAAACTAATTTCCTTCCATTGTTCTCCTTCATCAATTGAATATTTTATATTTCTGGTTGCTTCTTTACTTTTGAAATATTCAACAGCAGCTAAAATACCTCCGTGATCCCCCATATTGAAGAGGTTGAGATCGTGTAAAGTCTGATGCCAAGTCAGACCAGCATCTAAACTAATGTACACACCGTAGTGACCTTTCAAACTTTTTCCTAGGACACCAGTAGCCATGATAATTCCTGGAGCAGATTTACTAGAGAGAATGCTGATCGTTCTTGTATCAGGAAAGATTTGATTGAATTTCTGACTCAAATGTAAAGAACAATTTCTGGACAGCACACAGCCTGTCGACTGTCCCAAAATGTCTGTTGCCGGTGCGGGTATAAGACGCCATGTGGATCCATAATCGAATGTAATAAGAGATCCCAGATGTTGCGGTTTCAAAGAGTTATTTTCCGGCTGGTAAATCAGTTTTGAAGCAATGTAAATTCCTGTAATTCCTTCAACCTTATAAATGTCCACGAAGGCTTCTTCCGATACATGCCTAAAAATGAATCTAGTGATTATCAAATATTTTCACCAGGGGTTTGTATACAAAATTTTCAGGTTTACACAGACCCTAACATTGAAAAATGTAATAATTACACTATATATTGAAATGAATTAAAAACAGACCTTAACATTTTGAAAAGTATAACTGGAGTATTTTTTTTTTTGAGAAAAGGAAATTATTATATTGAAATAAATTAGATGGGGTAACATAGATGTTTGAAAGTAGTTCAACACTGAAATCTCTAGATTGATGTATTTGGAACTGTGGAAATTGGATAAAAAATAAACAGGCAATTAGTGGTCACATGCAGAAAATGCACTTTTAAGCAACCGCCAGGGAATTACCCATTTTCCGGGAAGGCTGTGAAGGTACACACCGTTGTCATTGTAAATATGAAAATATTGTTACTTATGTGTAATACTTCAAAAAAATTCAAAATAATAAACTTTACCAACTACCTACACGGTAGGGTCTGGTAAATGTCTGTCAGAAAACCACGCTGGATATCGAATTATGCACCTGATCATTACCACATCAGCAAAATAATTATTGACAGCTATTTGACACGAAATTAGTTGACATTTTGATATTTGAAAGTTTGCATAATTTTGTTTGCAATTATCGCAATAAACTATGGAAAGCAGCAGTGATAGTGAGTTTGAAAATGTGCCTTACGAAATTTCCAATACACCTAAAACTGTCCAATACTGTACCTTGTGGAGCGTGTACTCTATGTTGAAAAGTACCATTTAAGTGAAGAAAAATGTAAACACGGCCACTTTTCCAAAGGTTATCATATTCCTTAAAAGGAAGAATGCTGGTTATAGAGCAAAGAAATCAGATGTCTTCAACAGCGAGCAGATCAGTGATTTCATTAGGGAAGCAAATAAAATATATCTAATGCTGAAGGTAATTTTAACAAAATATTACAATAGAAGGATATAAAAGTATCAACTTAATTTGCTTTATTTTTAGGTAGCAACAATTATTGGGTTAGCCAGTGAGTGTAGAAGGGAAGAACTAACAAAAATGTTAATTCATCTTATACACGACAAGACAATGAAAGACATGTTGCTTGTGAAAATACCAGATTCCAAAACACGTATTGAGAAAACTTTTGTAGTAATTTGGCAAGAAAACTGCTATTGTATAGGCGACATTTATGTTTACGGCCTCCCATAACATCACAAATTTGAAGAGAATCAGTGACTGAAAGTCTACCAATGTCGTTCAAGGATATACCTATAGACAATTCACTTACAAACAAAATTAAAATTGTCAAAACCATTGAAAAATTATCAGATGAAAACAATTAATGTGAAACGGAAAGTTTACCTTCTTGTTCTGACTTCAACAAAGGGCATTTAAATATACCAAGTATTTCAAACAATTTGAATCCCTTTAATATTAGCAATTGCTCGAATTTTCATATAAATATTAATATAAATAAGAATTAGAATGTTTCTGTTTGTACCTATCTTCTGTTCAAATTTCAATATTTATTACAAATAAGAATCAAAATGTTCGAAATTTAGTTCTACGAAGAAATATAATAAAAAAATGTGTCAAATTGATTTGTTATTTTACAAGGTTGCCAAAAAAAGTATGCAACACGTCAAAAAACAGTTTTTTTTTGACTTGCATACTTCTTGCTTAAGCTCATCCTAGAATTTTGTCTACTTGTCCAAAAAAACCGTATTTTAACTATATCTATTTAGAAAATGTTTTACTTGGTAATCAGAAGATCAGTTTGAAAACCGTTTGAACTTTCAGAAAAATATTTCTTGTAATCCTAAATATCTCTGAATCTACTTGCTTTACGAAAAAATCTCAACTAATCAGAACTATTCCAAATTCAATGCTCTATTAAATGCACCATTTTTGAAATTTCAAGCCGCATCGCCATCTCTAATATCAAATAATTCGAATTGACTCTTACATGTCAAGTTGCAGTTATCATTCCTGTTAACCCACTAGTGTTTGCAGACTTGAAACATGTTCTTTAGTTCCGAGGATATTCCCTCTGGAAATTTTAGGTAATAAGCTCTGTGAAGTGCCAAAAAATTGAATTCCTCTATCAAAGCTCCTTTACATAACTTGTTTGATGAAGCATATAAATAATTTCCTTTTAATCTATTTAAATATTCAATTATACTTACGTTAACCAAGTGTTTTGCCAGGTAACAGAGGGGAAAAAAGCAAAAATATTCTCCAACGATAACATAAACCGCAATTCACCATCAGTGCCTCCTAAACCTTCAGAAACATATAACGATGAAGATGTATTTGAATGGCTCACAGCAATAAGAGCTCTACTATCTGTTACATCTACTATGAAATAGCTCAGAAATTTTTGAGCAGAATCAAACAAACATAGGAGCTGTTTGCCCAACTTATAAGATGCATATAAGACTAATTCACCCTAAAAATAAAAATAAGTATAGGTTATAAATAGAAACTAACAGAGACTTGCTGCTACCTTGTCGAGAGGTTTATAACAGATATTAAGCAGAATATTGATCACACAACACATCTAAAAACTGCCAGAAGATGTAATACAAACTTACAATATTTTTTAACAAAAATATTCTGCAGAGGATAAATTATGAAAAAACCATTCCCTAATCATGCCACTAAATTTTCAGAAATCTTTGTATATGTTTATATGAAAAATATCTATATTAATTGATATTATTTTTGCCATTTATTTATGTATTTTGAATTGTATAATCTATAATTTTGTTTATATTAGAACTTTAACTTTAGTCTTTTCTTTAATTTTTAAATTCTGTTAAATATGTTAAAATCTGTATATGAATATTTATTATAATTGATGCTTGAACTATTATAAAAGGGGTTATCCTGTGCAGTAAATAAATAATTAAATAATAAAATTCCATGATCTTGTTACAGCTCAACTGTGACAAATGTCAAGACTTCCATGACTGAAACAAGCTAATTTTTTGGTATATCCCAGGTGATGTTCAAGAAATCACTCTCTACATACACATGATCTCTTAAATAGTTTGTATAACTAGGTTATTAGTTTTCGGATCCTAATAGTTATTTGTTGTACACACATCCATTCAAACATTTAGTTATTGTGAAGTGGTGAATCCTGTTAAATGAAATTAATAAATAAATAAACTTACCTTAGCATTAAACTTGGTTGTAAATACATAATCTCCTTTGAAGAATAAATCTTTGACACTAGTACTATAAATCTGAGCTCTGCTCCTGAATAAATTCCTAGAATAAATCACTGAACTGAGATTATTTGGCTCCATTCGTTGTACAATCAATTGGTAGTTTTCACTAGTATCCTTCATCCAATAAAATGATTTGACAAATTCATGAGCTACCCTAAATGTTTTTCCAAAGTCCTCAGTTACCCAAAGCTGAAAAAAATACATATATAAATATGAGAACCTGAAATTGTCATTTATTACAGATTTTTATATTGAGGCAACTGATTTTTGACCTTTCTGTTATGTTGGAAAAGTTTCAAGATATTCAATAGAAAATAATTCTGAGATCCACATAACTGTAATATGATGCTTGCACCGTCATCGGCGCTCAAAAATTTCTTTAGAAATTGAAATGAAAAAATTAGATACATTTAGCAGAGGAACATTTCATATTAGTTAAAAATAGGGAAAAAAAACCATTGAAATATTATACATACTAACCTGATTATTTGTGTCATTTTTGTCCAAAACCAAGAATATAGAAGGCTTTGTTTCATGAAAAGAAACTTCACTTGGGGTAAAATTCAATCGTCGTGTCTCAAATGTTTTTCCATGATCGGTCGTCAAATACATCAAATTGTAATTTGTGTCAGTGAATACAAACTAAAAAAAGAAAAGGACAATATTATCTTTCCCATTTTAGGTAAGTAAATTCAAAACGATAAATCCTGCTTTTAAATAATACAATTCAAAACTATAAATTATTTAAAAAAACACGATTTCAAGTATGAGTGAAGTTATTTAAAAAAAGCAGCACCTTCTCGTGACCCCCTTGAATTTGGGTGTCCTACTATATGGGAGTTTACAATTGAAATTTTAGACCTCAAAAATAATTTTGATTGAGTTAGAGCAATTTTTGTTTCTGATTTAAGGATTTTGGTTTTGCTTGTAATTGCTATATCTCAGCAAATATTCGAAACTGTATGTATATTATTCTCAGTCAATAAATCGATCAATCAATATGCTTTATTGTCGGAAGATTAGTATCTTATTGACAAAGTCTTGTAAAAAAATCAAATGAATGTCATAAGATATAAAAAATATAAAATACAATACATGACATAAAATATAAGTAATACAAACATAGCAATTTCAAAATAAAACATACATGACATAAAATATAAAAAATACAGACATAGCAATTTCACAAATAAAACATTGAGAAGACAGATGAGTTTAGGTGAACATTATAGGTTATCATTGTAGAATTCATGGATCGAATAATAAGCTTTTTTGATTAAAAGATCTTTAACTGTATTTCAGAACTTTTTGATATCTGTGCTATTTATTATAATGGTAGAGGTGATTATACACGGTGTAACTAAATAAGTGTAAAACATATAAGGAGGTGATTTCTCATCGAAAAAAAGATAGGATCTTTCATATAAAGAAATATCATCAGAGCATCACTTGTTAAGATACAGCCCCTTAAAAGGGGTACATAAAATTTGTATAACAATGTTTTTCACAAGCACTAAAAAAGTTACAATATTGAAATTAACCTGAAGTTTTGTACTACCAAAAAGACACTTAGCCAGAAATGTATTTGGTTTACCCTATGGTTGTAAGGGGAGGAAAACGCAACCCCTAAAATTTATTTCCAATGTAACTTTTTGTCTTATTATTTGTTTACCATTTAAACATTTATTTTCGATAGTCTGTTTCATTCTAAACAAAAAATGTCTCTTGGGTTTTTTGCCCAAAATGAACCAGTTCGCAACAAAAATTATTTTACGAACAACCACAGATATAAAATGTGGACAGATTTTCAATATGTCTGCGAATAAAGAAGATATAGGCAAAAAAATAATTTGGGATTTTTTGGTTTTTCCTGTATATCTTCAGAACCAAAAGAGCTATATTCGATTCTTTTACATCGTTGAATAGGTCTCTAAAATACACAACTTTGCCACAATTTAACCGACACTCTATCTCTTATCGTTTAAGAGATCCCAAGGGACAGAAACGAATTTGAATAGCCATGTATATGTGTTAGGAATCTCACGTTAAAAGGTAAGACCTCGTTAGTTCTTAGCTTGTACAAGTTTCTCAACTTCTGAGAGTTGTCGTTCGTATGTGGGCGACAGCTGATTAACGAAAAAACAGATTTTAAACAGATGTACGAGACGAGTGTACCAACATAAAAAAATCGAATAGACGTAGCCCGCGAAATTAGAACATTCACCTTATTTTTTCAACAGTCCACGTATGTTACACATTCGCCTAGTTTGCATGAATGTGACCAATCAGACTGTAACATTCTATTTACTATTTCTTGGTAAATATACATATTCATATTTGTTTGGTATTATCGACTAAAGGAATCTTTCATTTATTTATATACAGAAACAAATATGTACATAATTATGAGTGCACATGATAAAATATCTGGAGAAAATTCCTTCTTGTAGTTTGCCTCCAATTTCTTTACGTTTTTGATAACACAGATTTATAACAACTGTGAACAGATTATAATGCGTACCAAGTTTATAGTCTTACAGTTAGCGGTGAATTGGCGCAGTGGTATTGCACTCAACTCACGATCAAAAGGTTGCGAGTTCGATCCCAACCTCGACTAGATATTTTTCTTAATAGACTGTATCTAGTTGAAGTTTGGATGGATTACATGTCTGATGGACTGCGAATAGCCATGGTGCTCCTTAGGTGGCTCGGTGTGTTATCAACATTGTCTACCCAGAACACGAGGATAATGACCAAGCAGTCGATGTTAACAACCAAGAAAAAAGTCTTTCGATATCAATAATTTTCACTATGTAAAAAATTAATAATCGGAAATTTCGAGTGTATACCTTCAAAAGGTTTCATTACTTCTTCATTAACCCTCTATTTAGATTATTTTATTTAATCTGAAACTCCTATCACTAACAGTTAATCAGTGATTCGTCCTTAACATGTCACTTAGTTTTCAAAAATAACACAATAAATCAACTCCAAACTATACTTACATGTGTGTGGAATTTCGGATGGTTATAAAATTTATCCAATGTGGCGTACTTTCCGTTAGGCATCTTGAAGTTTTCGGTTTTGTTTTCATAATGATCTCCATCATCATAAGATATAAAAACAGTTGATGGAGAATTTACACTGATTCCTGGAACGATTGGACCTGGATCCCGGGCCAGACAAATGACTACTCTACTTTTTTCGCCAACCCAATAGACCATCAGATGTTTGTGGGAATCATTCAAGGTGTTGATTACCTGAAAAAAGTAATTCTTCTTGAAGTTTGGTTGAAACAAAATTGTATAAATTATTGTTAACCCAAAGCCAGCAAACTATGATAATTAAGTCGATTGCAAATAAGTTAACCTTGACAAGCAACTGAAGTATTCTAGATAAGGAAAAAAATAAATTTTCAGTTATTATCAATATTGAAATTCAAGGGGAACACAATGTAAACAAATTATTTCCTCATTTCAACAGATTTTTTTTAACAAATTGCTACACAATATTCTGTATGATAGCGGTTATGTTATGAAAGTAGCCAGGTGGCTATTGATTTTTTAATAGGGATTCATAACCACAATAGGAAAAACCTCAAGACTTTCAAGAACTATGCTTGTATTAGGGTCAATTTACATTACATTTGAATCGCTGTAGATTTATTCATCCCAAAAGAATGGCGTTTTTAAAATGAAAAAGTTCTCTGTACTGGTTTTCAGTTTGTACGGTTTCAGATCATCCAAAATCAGTCCAGTTTACGCTTCATTTTGGGAGTAGGATAATCCTAATACAGGGTGTTTCAAATTCGATCCTCACCATTGGGATCTCGGAAACTATGAGAGATACGAAGATTGTTAAATTGAGTCAAAGTTGCGCATTTACCTGACTAACAATATGTCGTCGAGAAAGTTCTGAAATTCTGAGTGTATCGGGAGATATCCGGAAAAACCAGAAATTTCGGAAAATGGTTTTTATTTTTTTCTGGCTATATTTTTCGAATGATTCGAAAATAAGTTGCACTTCCACATTGCCACTTTTTCCCTGCTACATAATGGTGTTTTCAGATTTGCTATCCGATGTTTCGTCTTCCGGCCACCATCATCAATTTTATTTCTTCTTATGGGCGCTACATTCGATTCTTTCTGTTTTTAGTAGAACCAGATTTTACCTTTACAATGATGTATCATAAGTTATCATTCTTTTTAGAAAAATTGGAGATATTGAAAAAAAAATCCTAATCATAATAGGCTTTGACTTTCAATTTGTTACACTCAATGACATTTTGTTATTGTACAAGTCATTGAATTTTTGGCGAAAAATAGCTTTCACGAATGAAGAGATATGACACAAATTTATTACAAATACGATAGAAACAGTGTTAGGACATCGGAAATGTATATAAACTTGTATTCCGAAAGACGATAACCACATCGAATTATGTTCAAGTTATTAGATCAAAATCTCACCGAGTTTGGTTCATTTGAAAAGCCGAGGAAAAAATATGGAGACGGAATCAACAATCAAAATTTGATAAATGAGGTGTGTATGAGGTAAATTAGTCATTGTGTCATTTTCAATGAAAATAGAACTTTTAACAAATAACAATAATTAACTAAAATGTAAAGACGAAAGTAAATCACAGCAAATGCTCAAAATGCTGGCCTTGTTCATGAAAACACAACTGTGACCCTCTTCGAATATTATTCACTACACGATTAATTTCCCTCCTCCTTAATCTTTCGAACTCTCTAACAATGCTGTGTTGAAGGTTCTCAATATTTTGATATTCCCTCTGACCATAAACTCTATTTTTCAGTGTACCCCATAAAAATGTGTCCATAACATTTAAGTCTGGAGACCTTGCTGGCCAGATCACCGGCCACCAAACCTTTCAGTCAGGTAATTAGATACTTGTCAGGTAGTGTACGGTGGAGCACCATCATGTTGAAACCAGATTTTATAGTTAGCCAAAGGTAGATCATCCAAATAGCCTTCGAAAATCGACATTAAAAACTAGTGATAGGTTTCTCCATTCAGAATTCCGTCAAACAAATGAGTACCCAAAATTCTATCTTTGTAAATTCCTGCCCACAAGTTAATACTGAATCGCACTTGAGGTCGAATTTCTCGGAACTGCCTGGGGTTGTTTATGCTCCAAATGATTTCGTTATTTCGGTTGAATATCCACAATTCGTAAAAGTGCTTTCATCTGTCCAAATTACATTTTCCAGAAAAACAAGGAAATCTGGTCTTCTTATTAGCCAATTACAAAATTATAATCGCCTTTCGGGATCACCTGGATGCAATTTTTGAGATATGTGTATTTTATAACATTTTAAACCGCTTTTTTTGAGATGTCTCCAAGCACATGTATGAAAAATATTCATTTCGGAGGAAATTTGACGTGTAGATTTTTCCGGGGTTCATGTTTATCTGTAAATTATTAATTTTTATTGAAAAGGACACAATGTCTAACTCAACTCCTACATATCTCATTTATCAAATTTTCTTTAGTTTCCTGGTCTATTCTGTCTCCGTATTTTTTCCTCGACTTTTCAAATTAACCAAACTCGGTGAGATTTTGATCTAATAACTTGAACATAGTTCGATGTGGTTGTCGTCTTTTGGGATACAAGTTTAAATACATTTCCGATGTCCTAACACTGTTTCTATCGTTTTTGTAATAAATTTGTATCATATCTCTTTTTTCTTCATTCGTGAAAGCCATTTTTCGCCAAAAAATCAATGACTTGTACAATAATAAAATGTCATTGAATGTAACAAATTTTAAGTCAAATTTAGAAACATCAAAGTCAAATCCTATTATGATAAGAATTACTTTTTTTCAATATCTCCAATTTTTCGAAAAGGAATGATAACTTATGATACATCATTGAAAAGCTAAAATGTGTTTCTATTCAAAACAGAAAGAATCCATTGTAGCGCCCATTAGAAAAAATAAAGTTGATGATGGTGGCCGGAAGACGAAACGTTGGATAACAGATATGAAAACACCATTAAGCAGCAGGGAAAAAGTGGCAATGTGGAAGTGCAAATTATTTTTGAATCCTTCGAAAAATAAAGCCAGAAAAAAATAAAAACCATTTTCGGATATCTCCGGATATACTCGGAATTACAGAACGACATATTGTTAGTCAGGTAGATGCGCAACTTTGCCCCAATTTAACTGACTTCTTATCTCTCATAGTTTCCGAGATCCTAATGGTGAGGATCGAATTTGAAACACCATGTATACATACAGTTTCAATATTGCCAAATAAGTAGAAATAAATATTTCTCCAAAAAATAAATAAATAAAACTAAGTATAGTATAGATGCACTCATACACGTATATCAAAATTTATTATCTTCTTTGATAACGTTTGAAAGTGTGAATACTTGTGTTGTTTCTCAAAGTACCAGGCAGTTTGTTACATTCCACTAGTCCTCTGGAAAACAGACTGTTCATTGCTGACCTGGATTGCACCCAATTCAAATTTTTCATTTTTGTATAATGCTATTATTTCAGTTGATATCTAATCTTTATCAAGTTCAAGAAAGTGAGTCAGAGAAATGGTTAATTGGACAAAGGTCAGCAGTTGATTCATTTCCTGACACAACCACATATGGCTGATTAAATGATATATATATATGATGAATTTCTAATGATTTTGAAACCAATGCTGCTTTCCACTAGCCACTTTTTTCTAGGAAGTAATTACCAACAAAAATTCATTCAGTATAAATATCGAATCTGGATGCAAACTATGGATTCTTATTCAGATTATTAATGAAATAGTTTTCAATTTCTGAATTTTCTATTAAATGATATGGAAAAATCGACTCTACTTTTTTTGTTTCCGGAACCAAAAATTTCAAAATTCTATTTTTTGTAGTATCTTTCTTATTTGCATAGATATTGAAAATCTATTTACACTTTTATATATGGGGTGCCGTCAGACTTAGACAACCCTCACATTAAAATTTCAAATATGAGCCTCTATTGGTAATGTTCATATAATTTTGTAAAATCAAAGTTTTTTCAATATTCCCAAGAGTTTCGGCATTTTAATGATTATAAACTAAACTATCATTTTTTTTATTATGGTTCTGATAATCACTTTAATAGGAGAAATTTTTACTTTTTTTGTGAACCACAGTTTATTCTCAAAAACTACAGAGTACCTAATGAAATGTGTTCATACTATTGTGCTAATGAAGTTATTTTGCAATAGACCTCCTTTGGAACCGTTGTTTACCTCAGATAAGCAATTAATAAATGATCTGTCAATCCCATAGATGTCGTTTTGTAAAAGGGAGATGTCCATGCCTACATCTACTCAGGCTTGTTTTTAAAGTACCTTTGAGTGCAACAAAGTATTTGTGGTTCAGCCTAGCACCACTGATGATACTATTGCAGTTTGAAACAGCGGAAATTTTGTATATTATTTGAGAATATCACCAAAATGAAAGAAAACAGCAAAAGTAGATACCCAAGATTATTTTTCCGGTACCTTCGATACCAAGAACTTGTCCGCACTTTTTTCATTGGTTTCTAGAATATACAACTTCTCTGATAACTTCATATGAGCTTTGAATCAGGAGAGATAAATTCAATAACAGTTTGAGGTCAATACCAGCTTACTTTTTCGAAACAATTACTCATAATTTATATTACAGATTCATTTCCATTGGACTTTTTTTCAGAGCCATAAAGGTAGTTTCCATTTTTTATCACACAATAGTACCCGAAAATATTCAATTTCGCCACAACTTAATCGAGTCTCTAGCTCTCTCTTTACGAGATTCCCATGCATTTACCTGAATTTGAATAGCCTTGTATATGTTAAAAAATGTACGACCATAATATCTGATTACCATAGAATAACTTTGAAAAAATTGAATGTTACTCGGTGATATTTGAGAATCCATATCAAAAGTTAGTAATATTTTTTACTGTGAATTTCACTGTGAAAGGTTCACAAAACTAAGACACGTGTATCGCGGTTTGAACTCGATTTTTGGATTATTTTTTTCAGAACTACTGGGTATAGAACTGCATTAAGGCCGAGATTACAGCACTGAATTTACTACAAAAAAGTTCCAATGGGCTGAAGTTGTACAATCCACAATTTCCAAAATAACAAAACCTGTGAGAAATTATTATTAACGAATGTGTTTGATTGATCACTACTGAAAACAAAATGGTGTTTTCACTTCTATCAGTCACCCCGTATATCAATATTATCAAGTGTTAATGTGATGTCAACAAAATATCAGGAATGAATATTTATAACTCTATTTACAATGAACAAAATATCTAGATAAATAATAATAAATATCAATGTTTTTTCATATTCTACCTTTATTATATGTAAAAATAAAATTCTTTTCAATAATAGTATTTTTTTAAATTGTGACTAGTAAATCAAAGTCGTTAAATTAATCTGTTCAAAGTAACCATGATTAATAAAAGTCCGTACTTTGTGATATTGATAATGTTACCTTAAACTTTTGTATCGTTATACTGATAACCTTTTCGTAGACTAAGAATAACAGATTTTAAATACATAGGATTCTGGATAATCAAACCAATCAGCTTTAAATACAGTGTGGACTTTTGATAGGGACAAGATATTAAAGTAGGACTAAATTTAAGTTGAAATGTGAAAGTTGTCATACTTTTTATTTAAAGATTATTTAATTTGCCATGTATGTATGTTGAAGTCACTCCCAAGATTACTAGTTTTTTATGCAACCCTGTGATTTGGTAACAAATCTAAAACCTATTGCACGATTGGAGTCATTTCTCAATAAAAATCACTTGCCATGCAACTGTCAATTTGGATTCCAATAATCTAAGAGCACACATGATGCTTTATCTGCTGAGGCAGTAATAACAATGTTTTGTGACCTGGCAAATGAGTTTGATTATGTGGTCTTTCCTATAAATTAAATATATATGGTTTTAGTGACCCGGATATGACACCTCTAGAGATTTTTGCGACATCTGAAGTTCATGATACACAGCTGTAGTTCATTTTAAAATCCATAAAAAAATTATCCCAGGAACATTCCTAAACATAAGGAATTCATTTGTAAATTGACTTCTTTACAATCAGGAAGTGTACGGTAAACATTTTTAACATTCATTAAGATATTTATTCACCTCCAAAAATTTTCACAGAAAAACAGTATGTTATAGTAGTCACACACAACTGTTTTTTGTTTAGGTATGTCACAAACTACAAAAATATTTAATAATAAAAAAATATGTTAGTTTATGAAAAATTTGATATACTGATATAAAATCAGTCACATTTATACATATATGAACAGTGTTAACTTTAGAGGCACACGGATGGAAAACACAGAAACATTTATCACAGAATATGTAGTCCACACTCTTGAAGCAAAAATATAAGTATTTAGACCCATGAATGAAGAGAAATTTCATTTATATTATATAGTGGATTCAGCAGCAATTATTGTTTTAGTTGGTATTTTAATTTTTTAGTTGTGTAATACTTCCATTCCACTGGTATTTGGTTGTACAGTTTCATTGGCAAATATTCGGTTTGTATTTTTGTTTTTTCCTTATTTACTTTTGACATTCTATATTGATTTTTATTTGTGTATCATATCCATGAAGATCTGTTCCCTATAGCTTTTTTTGAGTTTCATTTATATGTACTTTCCAATTCAGTTTAGCATCAACATGAAAACCCAATAGCTTAACCGTTGTTTCATCGTCAAGCGCTTGCCTATTTTTTGTGAAAGTTATGTTCTTTGTTTTATTTTTGTTTAGGGACATAACGTTTGAATTTGAAAAGATTTCCATTTTCAATAATGTTTTCTCTGACTTACGTTCTATCACGCTTAAGTTTTTGTCCTGTAACAAAAGAGTAGAGTCATCTGCACACATAAAAACATCAGCAGTATCAATAAATGTTGTTAAGTTGTTAATGTAAATGATGAACAATAGGGGACCTAGCACTGAGCCCTGAGGTACCCCATGTTTGACTTCTATAGTTTTTGATGTCCTTTTTATTATTATTTAGTGATACATATTGCTGTCTGTCTTTTAGGTATGACTTGATGAGATCTAATGCTGTTCCGTGTATTCCATATTTGTGGAGTTTTTTCAACAAAATATCATGAGAAACACTATCATATGCCTTTGACAGGTCACATAAGATTGCATGTGTATGTATCCCTACATCTTGATTTTTGACTATCGTGTGCACTATATCGGTGACAGCTTGAGAGGTTGGTCTGAGAGAACTAGGACGAACTAGAGTGATTTTTAACACATTTTTTCTTGAAATTAGGATATTTATCCTTTTCAGATTCTTGAAACGAATGTAAAACTGTTAATTACTTAGGAAAAGCTGATATGATTTCCAAAAATGAAAGTGTTGGATAAAGAATTGAAATGTCTGTCAAATGGGAGATCACAAGCCCCCTTTTCATTTGAAAAAAAGTTGGTGGTGTCTTTTCGAAGACATGTGATGTAACACTATCACCTTTTTCATATAAAATTACTGAAAATGATACCTTTATACATAAATTTTATCCGACTTTGATACTTTCGTTCAGAAGTTCACATTGTATTTCTCAATCTGTCATGCCGATAAATTAGACAGACTCGCCATAATTAATTTTTGATGAACTGGTTAAATTCTTAAACTCTTGATTGAAATTTCATAAACTACACCTTATTATCCTATCTTCACAAACTTTATTTTCAAAAAATATATCAAGACATGTTTCGCTATCACAGTAGCTTTTTCACTGCAAAAAATCTATTGTGGTAGAGAAACATGTGACTTATTTTCTGAAAATAAAGTTTGTGGATATCAAATCGTAAGATGAAATTTATGAAAACTATGGATCTTCATCAAGTAACGGCCGAATCAATCAGAAAAAAATCTGAATTGAAAGATAATCGCTGTTGAATTTAATTATCTCTGGTCGTAAAGTAATTTCCATGTAGGAAACTGAAAGTCATGTTAAATATCAACTGAACTTTCGCAATAGTAATATGACACTTTCTTGAAATTATTCATATATGACAATCTACTGAACAATCCCACACTGCTCACTGTGAAATAGTGTTGAGTTGCATTATTATATTGCATAAATATTGAATCAGCAGTTTACACACTCTGTTATCACATTGAAAATAATATGTGATCAGCTTAGAAATAAACTGTTCATTCAGTACATAATAGAAATATTCTAGATTTGACTGATGTTGAGAGTAGGCTGAATTGCTTTGCTGAAATGTTTTGGAACATTTAAAAAAAAAATCTTAATAAAAGCTACACGGGACTTTCACTGTGTTCTCAGTAAGAGGAACATTAAACTTATACTTTGACTTATACTTTGAAGACATTAAGTGGGTAGGAATTAGAAAGAAAATGTTCTGAAGAAATATGCATTATTTTGCAGAAAACATTGATTTCAATTGAAACAAGTCATAGAGAATTAGTTGACGATTTATTTCCTACATTGAATGTTATGAAAATTAATTTTTGACAATTTTCAATATTTTCTTGGCGAACAAAAAATGTGAAATAGAACTGTTTGATGCTTTCAGAGCTTCTTAAGTTGCTAACACAATTGCACACAATCAATAAACTAATAATATACATTTTCCTATCATCCTGAGGACTTTCTGTTAATATTTTTCTTTTATATTTGCAGAAACCTCACACATATAGTATTGTAAATGAGGATCTTATCAACACCTGCTGGATATTTATAGAAAGTTTTTCATTCAATGTAATCACTACCTTTTGGGTGTGGTATAGTACTGATTTAATGCTATGATTTGTTTTTCGCTTAATTAATATTACCCAATAAGTTGATAACTTATAAATATTGAAATCTTAGAAGAACCAGGGAAACCACAGAAAAACCATGGGAAACTCTAGAATAATTGACACGGATCCCAGAAGAATTGAGGGAATCCCAGAAGAATCAGGGGAATCCCAGGAGATTCTAGCTGTTCACAAAATATTTTTAGAAATCTGAAAACAAAAATACCCCAGAATATTCAATAACTCTTAAAAAAATAAAAAAAAGCTCAATGAGTACTTAATGCATTGACAATCCACAATAGAGTTGATAAATACAATTTTCTATAGGAATAACCATAAAATTGCTAAAAACTGTTTTTTAACATTAGCAAGGACTTGAAACTTTGTATTTCAGATTGGTATTGGTAATGTTTTTCCTGAGAAATCAGAATATAATGTAGGTACACTGTATTTAGAATTTTTAATACGTAAGTATTGGAATGAACTTCTGAAAACCTTTTCCTTATGATTTAAACAAGTTCAACAGTGAGAAACATTTGAAATTTACCAAGACATGATACCATAGTCAGTTGCATGGCAACCAGTAATATGCAGGAAAAAATTACCAAGAATAACTACTTAATTTGGTTTTTATTAACGGAAATGGACGCTTTTATAATTATCAGTGACAACTGGACAGTACCTTTTTTACTCCATCCACATTTTCTGATTGTACTTCTCGTTTTTTTCGATGTTGAGTACCAGGTAAGCCCTCGAACTCTGATGAATCAACGATGAAAGGGGTTCTTGTTTTATCCGGGTAGTCCAAATTTCCGAGTAATGTTCTTAATTCATTATTTGATTTGCCATATGCGGGATTATAACTGCACACACAAAGTAATAGGAGAAATGGTTTATACATTGTTTTCCAGAAAAAACATCAATCGCAGTATACTTGTAAACAGACTGGAACACAATGAAGATTATAATTTGCGATGAAAACCGTCAGTCAAATATCGAACAATGATGATAACGTAAATGACTCACAACACTGACTATGATTTTTCAAGATCATAACAACAATAATTACAATCATTCTGTCATTTTCGGCAGCGAGTCAAATCCAGTGAATAATAATAAGGACTGGTCATCGAAGAGAAAACACTAACTCCAACAACTAAAAAAGGATGGAAAGATCCATGTTTTGGCATTACGCATACATTTCAACCCTTTTTCAACGTCAGATTCGACTTACGATGTTTTACGTGTTGCATATTTGTAACGGAGTTTTGTTCGAGTATTTCTGTATTTTTTGACTTTTTTATTGTGGTGGTTTTTCAATGATTATGATTTGCTTATACGGATTGTTTGGGTATCGGAGTTCTGAATAAACGTTCATCTCCAGTGTGTGATCAATTAAGTTTCTTTAGTAATGATGATTTTTTATATTTCAGTTTCTGTGGGCCATTTAGACTATTATAATTAACATTTTTCATTATTTCCTTTCGTGACTTTTCTTGTTTCATTTTATAATATACTTTTCAATCATGACGATTTCGTGGGCTGCTTTTAATTGTACAGTTAGGTACAAAGAAAAGAAACGTGGTATATCATTCCATAGGTGAGATACACTTCAAAGAATTCATGTAATATGGAGTTTACTGGCTCCAAGAGATACATACCTACCTATAAGAACATAAACATTTTGAAATAAAATCTCGAAATATTGTTTCCCAGCTTACCTTCACAATAGGTTCTGGTAAATGCCTGTCGTAAAACAACTACTTTCCTGGCTAGTACCACGGTGGATATTGAATTATATCCGACATACATTTATGCAAGATACCTCACAGACGTTCGTCTCGCAGATGTTTCTCGTTCATTCAGCAGCAGGACCATGTTGAAACTATTTGAGTAGATCACCTACAGACTTGTTTCGAGGTATTACCTCTCATCAGTGCAGAAAAGATCCGACCCAAACAGCCAAGTGTCTGGGACTCGATTAATTTTAATGCAACTCGACTGCATTTAGGACTTTATTCTTTGGATGAAGTGTATATGCGTAATTTACTTTTGGGAGGTAACTATTTTGGAATTAGCACCGTCAAACATTAGCCTTTTCTTGAAATAAATACCATTTAATAAGTATAGAATGCTGAGTGAAAAATGAAAATGCTGTTATTCAGTACACTAAGAGCTCTTTTTCAGCAGTAGATGCTCAACAGCTGAATTGAGGTCAAATGATTTAAAATTTTCAGAGCTTTCCCATAACTTATTGCTAGATATTGAGGTTAATGGTATTCTTGGAAAATACACCCTATCGATTGAATTGAGTTTATGAGCATGTTATTACCCCTAGTTACATAGTCCTTATGTCTGCTATACATATGTAGATTGGTAGATATTTCAATGAGACGAGAGTAGATATAGCTTGCACATAGTCATTATTTCTAAGTAAAAAATTGAATATAATTATTTAGATACACCAGTAACGTGAACCAGTAAATAATTACATGAAATTTGAGAATAATATCTCTTACAAACAATGCAAGTTTATCTTTGCACATATTTTACATCAAAAGGGTTTTTTTTGACATCTCCATATTGATTCATTTCATAAACTTCCACGCACCATGCCGAGAAAAAAAATCCACTGGATTTACACTAAAACGGTTTTTATCGAGTATGAGTTCTTTCATGAACTCTCAAAGCACTACTATTTGTGTAAGATTTTGGACAGATTTTACACTGAAATGGCCTGTCTCCAGTATGACTTCTTTCGTGAACCTTCAAATGATCACTTCGAGTGTAAGTTTTTGAACAGATTTTGCACTGGAAAGGTCTTTCTCCTGAATGACTTCTTTCATGAACTTTTAAATCACTACTTTGAGTGAAAGATTTTGGACAGATTGCACACTGAAATGGTCTTTTTTCAGTATGATTTGTTTCATGAACTTTCAAAGTACCACGATGTGTGAAAGTTTTTGAACAGATTCTACACTTAAATGGCTTCTCTCCGGTATGACTTCTTTTATGAACCTTGAAAATACCACTTTGAGTGAAAGATTTTGAACATATATTGCACTGAAATGGTTTTTCTTCAGCACAATGTTTTTCTTCAACTTTTAAAGTTCTACTCTGAATGAAGGATTCTTGATAGATTTTACATTGAAATGGTTTGTCTTCAGTATGACTTCTTTTGTGAACTTTCAAATGATAACGTACAGCGAAAGATTTTGAACAGATTTTACACTGGAAAGGTCTTTCACCAGTTTGACTTCTTTCATGAATCTTTAAATCACTACTTTGAGTGAAACATTTTGGACAGATTGTACATTGAAACAGTCTTTCCTCTTCTACAGTATGACCTCCTGTGTGAACCTTCAAAGTTCTATTTCGAATAAAAGATTTTAAACAGATTTTGCACTGAAATGATTTCTCTCCTGTATGACTCCTCATGTGAACTTTCAAAGCACTATTATTATTGAAAGATTTTGTACAGATTGTGCATTGAAACGTTTTTGGTCCATTATGAGTTTTTTCATGGACTTTCAAAGTATAAATATTGGAGAGATATTTTAAACATATTTTACACTGAAATAACTTTTTTCTAATGTATTTTTTCTTATTGTAATATGCAACAGAATCTGGGAAAAGGGGCTTCACATCTTGAATCATGTCCTCATTTTGGATATCGTCGAGCACATTTTCCTCATCCAAAATCTCAGTTTTAATATTTTCATAGACAATGTCCATTTCACCTTCATTTTTAATTTTTTTCTCTTCACCAATGAGATTGGTATCATCATTGCAATCTATAGAGATGGACTCAGTAAAGGAATCACTATCAAGCATTTCACATTCACCAAACCTCTCAACTTCATGTGGCTCAAGTTTCACTAAATTCAAATCAAGAATATCTTCATCTGAAATAGAATCCATGTTGTCCTCAATGGTCACTCCACATTCACCGCTAGCCATTGTCAAACACAGATAATTTTTAAAAGAGCAGTTAGTGAATAAATTCGACTGTAGTTGGTATTGATAAACAAAAAAATATATAGATCTGTAGTACAAACATAGATAGAAACTTCACTTCATTCAAAGTTCTTGGCCTTTGCTTCCCTATAGGCGCATTTAGCCAGCTCGATTCGGATGGTTACAGTTTGGTCTGATTGTGAATCATGCTGTAATCCAAGACTTGTTTTTTTAATTAGATTTGGTGTTTACTGGTCCGTTATCTCTTCTCGTGCTAGATAGAAATACAAACAAAGGTTAGAACGAAAATAGTAAAAGGAATGGATGAACATCATAATTTAATTTTGTTCTGTTCTATAGATAGAAACTTATCTGCGATGAATATTTGGCCAGTGCGACAGTGGACAGCCGACAGCAGTGATATTTAGAAATTTTCCCCAAATACTGCCAACCACAGAACTATAACTAAGTTATAGTTCTTCTCATTTGGGACAGAACCTATTTCTATTAACTTTCATTATTATCGTAATATATTTATTTCTACTGGATAGGTATGTTTGAATACTGAACGAAAGTCATCCTTTGTGGAAGAAAATCAGTTTTTATCGAACTTCTTCGTATATTTTTATCTCCTACGATCTGAAAAATATGAAAATTGTAATGGAGAACTTTATACCCGTGTGGAAAGAGCACCTCAATAAGTTACTGTGTACATTCAAAGTATTTTTCAATAGAGGAATGTTCTATTTATCAGTAAATCAGTAACAGTAAATTTTATCTATCAAAAAAGAGCTAAGAAATTATACAATACTTATCTTAATGTATCGGAGGATAAAGTCTACCTTCGTCTTCGGAATTGGACAGGAATTTGAGTTTATAAACAGTTTTTTCTTCGCTGATTTTTATTTCTCAACTTCCTCGACATATGTCAAAGGAGTTTCGAAATGAAAGGCATTCATTGATATCATACTGTTGCTATTTTGCCACTATCCATATTTTTCTTCAAGATTGGTAGCCAAGAACGATCTATTTCTGACGAGCTGTTCGAAATAGAGTTTTCTCTCTAGATATAAGAATACACGCTGATCTTTCAAGTTTACGTCTCTTAGAGTGGGGTTTATTGGCAATCATTGTCGTCTTATTTCATGCAACTCAATCTTCACCGTCTGATTTCAAAATATGTTCTGATCATTTTGATCCTGTTGATTGTCTATTTCTGACGTTATCTTGATATTCTTTCTCATGTATCTCGTACCTTAAATGGTCTTGAAATTCCACCAATATACCTTTTACAACAAGAACAAGGTATCTCATAAATGCAAGTGTGTTGTTGGGTTTGATATCTGTAAGTATAGATCTCAGTGCATTTATTGTTTTTTAAGAAGTTCTGACATCATATCTATTTCCAATTCATCTCATAATTCAAATAGTCCTGAAATGTAAGGTATAACGTTAGTTGTAGAAGGTGTCGGTGGTTGTTGAGTCGGTAATTGTGGAGTTGGTGGTTGTCGAATTTGTGATGTTGACTATTTTTTATTGCATTCATCGCGGAATCTATAAACGAATCTGGATATTTATTTTTTAGAACATATTGTGGAAGGTTAAAATACCCAAAGAAGGTTTAAAAAAATGGATTTGTTTATTACGTTGTTATGCCGAAGTATAATCTATTATGTTTTCATAATTCGATTATTCTGATCATTTTGCCATTTTTTACCGTTGCCAGAGTCAGAAGTTGGACCTTCTAAACTTTGAACAGACACTCTTTGAGATGTAGTTATTTCCTGATGTAGAGAGAGTTCAGTCGATGGTTCAGCCCTTGATGATGATGTCTATGAATCTATGAAAGATCTGAAAATTCATTAGATGAATTGTTAATACGATTCTCTATATGTGCAAGTATTGTTTAGTTACAATCAATATTTTAGAAAGCAGTACTCATGGTACGACTTTTATTTGTTTTTTCATTATCATTTTTTTGCTCTTAGTGTTTTATATACATCTACAATTAATTACTAATCAACACTCTGTTAGGTGTTATTGGAGAGTGTTATCAAAATATCGTTTAACTTTCTCGTAGAGAAGTTGAGGATCAACAATGTTGAACTCCTCTCCTTTTTGCCCTCATATTTATAGAAATAAGATATTTATGTATGTGATATGATTGTAATAAACTATTTGAGTGAATTAATTATTATTATTTTTTTTCTTGGTGTCATCGGCATCGACTATATAGGTCATTAGCCTCGTGTCCTGGGTAGGCAATGTTAATAACTCCCCGAGCCACCTAGGGAGTATCATGGCTATTCGCAGTCCGTCAGCCATGTAACGTTGCAGAATCATCCCAACTTCAACTAGATAAATTCTTTCGAGAAAAATATCTGGTCGAGGTTGGGATCGAACTCACTACCTTCCAGCCGTGAATCGGGCGCATTACCACTGCGCCAATTCACCGCGAAATAATAATAATAATAATTATGGATCATATTGATTTGAATGTATCATATAATTTCATTTTATTGCCTGTCCGTTTTTTACTTTACTCATTCAACAAAATATGAAGTGTGTTTTTCAAAATAATGTAATGTGAAACATAAAACGAATATACATTTGAGTAAACATTTATTCAGCTAATCAATGGATATTTGCATTTGGAAACTTTGTAGAGATACAGAAAACAACACATAGCACATGACAATATTGAGATCAAAAAGTACACAACTAGTTGTGTACTTTTTGATTGAGATTTTGAATTTGAAATGACAACTGAAGTTCCATTCTTAGCACGGAACAAAAACCTTGTGTGAATTAGTTTCTTCCAAAATAAAATAAAATATGGAATTATAATATGTCAAAGGTAAGAACAAAATTGTGCAAATTTTTGCATATTTTTATGTCCTGGTACCCACATTTCCGAATTGTGCCTATTTTGCCCCAATTGTTTCCAAATAACAACACTGGTCAAGTGTCACACACGGCAAAGAATACAGAAGAGGCACTCATTTGGCGGAACTTTGATGATTGGATGTCAAGTTTCTGTGACATGTATTCTGTGTTGGAGGCAGAAAACTGAGACCCAGTGTGGTTGGGGGTGTTATTTTCGTTTAAGAGGCAAATTCAATTTATTTGCAACTTCGTCGATACATATTCAGTTGAAGTTGATAAATTATTATGATGTTTTTTCGGCAGCTTTTCAAGCCAACATTTCAACCAATGAATTCATTATAATACCACGTTAACATGCATAACAATTCGACGAAATTTTTTGTTTTGTCTCTTCTTTACGGTGCTTACGGCATGTTTTTTTTAGCGTATATAGTTACCCAGTTGCCTAGTGGAGTGAAGTTCATTATTCAGATATGTATATTTATTGAAAATATTAGAACTAAGTAGAGCGGTAAAACAAAAACAAAGTCCTGTCAGATATCTTTGAAAATCATTACAGAAAGAACATATGAATGACACTTTACACAAACTTTCCCTCCATTAGTATCACCACTTATAATCACAATGAATATCATCTGCATAAGAAATATACAAAAGTAAATCAAAACAACACAAGAACACATAAACGTACTTGAACTCAAATCGTAACAAGTAATGAAAAAAAAAAAGAACAATCCCTTATTGCGGAAGCGCAGAAGGGCAACATATTTTCATAATTTGTTTCTTGGAAATTTCGATTTTAATCTTGAAATTTCAACTTCAAACTCGAAATTTCGAAAATAAATCACGATTTTTCCAAAATGAAAAGAGACATCAGCGCTGTCTGTTGTTGAATCATAAATGCGTTTTGTTTGGGCTCTAGTTTACAACTAGCTGCCTCTCAGTGAAAGTTGCAGTGAAAGACAAAGGACGAATCTCGTTGGCGGTCGATGTTGAAGCTTGGCTTTGCAACTGAACGCCTTGAGGAGCCTCGTTTAACTTTGATATTCGAGTACTGAGTTCTGTGTCGATCCCATCACCTTCTCTCGAAATTACGATTTAAACTCGAAACTTCGACTTCAATCTAAAAATTTCGAAATTACATTCGAAATTTTGTGATTTAGGTCGAAAAATATGTGGCCCTTCTGCGCTTTCGTAATACCTTGTATATGACACCAAAATTTTGAATGAAAATTCTATGAATCCTAATGGGATGGCTCATCAACCCGATAATAGGGTGCTGATAAATTTTGCCAATAGAGACACATTAACAAACAATAGTGGACAATCTTCCCCAAAAATATGATTATCAGTTTATAGTGATAGAAATAGGAAATTTACATTCAATAAATATGTATAATACTTTGAATAATACTCTTTTAGGCATTGAATGAAAGTCATTTTTTTGGAGAAACTTCTTCGTATATTTTCACCTTCTACAATCTGAAGAATATGACAATTGTAATGGAGAACTTTATGAAAGATCGATATCTGGTTGGATGGAAGAGCAATGTCTGCCTTGATTTATCATGTGCAAATGTTGAATTTTGCCATTCGTTAGATGAGGTTAGTGTCTCTTGTACTGAGTAATTTTTCAATAAAAGCATTTGTTAATTTTTACCGAAGTTTGCGCTGGTCAGGCCCTATTCCCCGAAGTGCGCCAGCATTATCAACTAATGACCACTTCCCACACCGTGGTGTGGGAATTTGAAAAAATATACCGTAATTAGAAAATCACATTGCAGCTAAACAGATTTTTTTTTTTAATTTCTGAGAAGAACTACAGGATTGCAAATGTTTTGTGCTCCTTTGAGTAGAGAGTTCGATATTTTCTGTATGCGGAGTGTGCATGAAAAATCCACAAACAAAAAAACTATCATTCCAGGTACAGATTGTAATATTGCAAAGTGTATCTTAAAAAATCTAACCGTACGCCGATATTTATCCAGATTTTGAACCATTTCACATTGACGAAATATCTAATAGTTCGAGATCAAACAAAAATACAGTATCAGGGCGGAATACTATTTCTTATAATATGTTTTTTGAACTTTCAGAAGTATGTTATCCATGATAATAATTATAAGAATTTTCACAAGGAATTTTATTCAAAACGCGTTTCGTTACACGGTGAACATTTTTGAATGTGTTTTTCCATATTATTCATTGCTTTTGTATTTCATCAGTTCGGACTTCCATTGTTTAATATAATATAAATTTATTTCTCTAATGAGGGTCAAACTTGCAGTGAGCTATCAACAAATTATGAACGGACTATAATATAATATAAATTGATCTGAAAACCCTAAAAAAACAATATAAAAGCTGAAAAATAAAAATTGAAAATTATTATTAACAAAAAATGAAAAATTAAAAGATTTCAAACCAAGTTATGTCACGACGTTTCGATTGTTAGTATCCACAATCGTCTTCGGGTGATAATTGTTATCATCCGAAAGTTATCACCCGGCAACTTTCGGGTAAGTACCTGCCTATTTCAGTAACTGGCAAAAATGGGGTGTTATGACCTCCAAGAATCAGTTATAGTGCATAGAAAAACGTGAGTATTACTTCCATTCCATGAAAAATTAAATCAGATGCAAACAGAAAATACAGGACCGTTTTAAAAAATTCAAAGATGTGGGTGGCCCAAGTCAGATGACATTCCGTATAGAAGTTGTAACAGCATATTCTGTTAGTTAAATTCTGATAGTTAAGTTACAGGTAAAAATTGAATTTGTGATTTTTCTGTTTTTGTTGCATATCTCCGAAACCGAGAGGACAACTCTTTATCTTTTACCGTTTTCGAGTCATAGAGAGAAATTGATTTGAACAGTTTTGTGTAGGTAACCATTTTTGCACATTTATAAAATATAAAAATTGCAGTAAGAGATGAATTATAAAAATTTATAATTATCATATTCCATAATTGAGTAAAGTGGCCATTTTAACTTCCATTAGTCTCAAATACACGGTGATTTATGGTGGTACACTCTTCTTCATCGCTATTGTCAGCACAATCGTTAGCACCATCACATTTCCACCAGAGAGGAATACAGCGTTTGTTTTTGCACGGAAACATCCAGTAGTAACAGGACTTTTTCTGAAACAACAATTCCATGACTTATTTGAAATATGGTTGAAATTAGCACATATGTAAGTGTTTGTGTTGGCACATTTTTAGAATAGGTACTGTAATACATTGGCATGTGTTTTTGTTTCTGTAAATGTAAAAAAACATCTTTGTTGAAATATTTTGGTAGCAGAAAATACAATCCGTTGTCTTAGGATAGATGAAGGTTCTTTGAAAAACATTTTTTTGTGAAGGAGTAGATATTTTTTACTGTATTTGGGTATTCAATTATGACACGTGTTTTTTCCGAAACGTCATCATTCTAAAAAAAAACTAAGCATGAAAATGTAATTATTTTTGTTGATTATTTAATTTGCAGACAAAATTCATGAATACAAGTTACTAACTATTTGAACAGTTGTTCCAATGATATTCGAGATAATTTGACGCAAAAAAGTCACTCTATTTTTTACTACGCTTGAAAAACTATTCCACAGCCAACAAAATTGATGCTGTAGAAAAGCAGCCTTCAATTTTTCTATATCTAAAGAAAATTAAACACGAATTTTTACTTGAAATTGACTGCATCCCGATACATACAAACAGAGAGTAGTTGTAGTGTTACGAGCCTACTCCATCCCCTGAAGACGCCAACTTGTTGGTTGGTTATACGTGCGTTGAGAAGAGTGTTGTAGTTCTGGTGACTGTTTTTGAGAATAAACTGGTTAGTGTCCAGATCAGGTACTAAACTTACATAACGTTCTATAACTTAGGATAACATACCAATCTTTCATATCATAGTCCAATATTCATAATGTAGATACCTCGATGGAACTCCCGGCGAATATTCCACCGACTTCGATGGAATGTTCCAGCGCCTTCGATTGCCAAATAAAAGCGCCATCCACTTGCCCATCGACACATCGGAGCGATATTCCTAGACGTTTCCAAGGCGTTTGACAGAGTTTGGCATGACGGACTATGAGCAATTTTGGCTACTCGATGCAAATGGTAAGATTAATCGAATCTTTTTTAGCTGACAGGCGATGCCGCTGAAGAGTAGGACAAGAACTCTCAACCATGCGATTACTGGAAGCAGGGGCCCCACAAGGTGCAGTCCTTTCGCCGTACCTCTTCTCGGTATACACAGCAGACGTGCCCAAGCCAGAGAACAACTTTAACAAACTGGCACTATACGCGGACGACACAGCTCTGCTGGCGAGATCAACAAACGTGCGTGCGATCCACCGTAAACACTACAAGATATTATACTGAAGACACCGTATAGAAGTAATCACAAGCAAGTTCACTCTCCGCCATATTTGGGTCAAGATTCCCCACCTCGAATTTTATGCGCGGCTGAACTACCGCGCAACCGACTGAATCTGAGGTGTTTACCAAGCGAGCCAATTTGAGGTATAGAATATTATTACAGAGTGAGTCGTTGTAAGTGGTGGTTTTGTATTTGTGAAAAAATTGTGTCTAGTTTCAAAATGAGCAAGTCTCGAGCTGTGGGTTGCTGTAATTTGCAGGGTCGGTATTCACTTTTTTCGATTTCCAATTTACGAAAAGAGGTATGTTTTTCTATTATTTGTATGTAAGATTGAAGTAATGAACATATAACGAAAATCATAAAATAAATTGTTATATACCATATATAGTGGAGTCATTAATATGCAGACTTTTCATTATGAATTTAATTTGATGAAATTGAACTTTACGAATAGTATATGCCTCCAGTTCCTATGGAATGCCGTTTTACTTTTTATTGTTACAAATATTCATTCCTCAATTTATTCAACTAACAATTTATTTGTTTGACACTTGACACTTGATTTGAAATATTACAGGAATAAAATTATTATTTGAATAAAGAAGACTAATGAAATAACTTGAAGCTTTTATTGATTCCGAAGAAAAATATTGTTTCAGAGTATTGGAAAATGCAACGCCAATTTACTATATATTATGCTTTTACTTTCATTTGTATTTTTCAATTGACCAAGAACCTTACTATAAACACTAAATGTTTCTTGGGGCCAATAAAGATTATTGTTATTTATATATTCTCTAGATGCATGCAGTGGAAGAAATTCGTGGAGTTTGTTGGTGATGTTCCTCCTGAAAAATGTCACAAAAACATGAGATTGTGTCATCTTCACTTTGATGAGAAATTCGGTAGCTACAGCGATGAAAACCTATGCCAGTTTCAATCACATACCATCAGCAGCAATAGGAACGGCTACATTCATTGAAAAAATGGATAAAGTGTTTGATATTTTAAATTCAAATAGATTTGATGCTGTAAAATATTTCAATAAACCCTTTTTTTGGAACATCAAAACAAATTGATTTTCTGAAAGAAATCAACATATTTTTCAGCAAATTAACTGTAATATAAATAAAAAGACTGGACAAATGAGATTCATTGAGGGGTGGCAGATAACAGTTTCGGCATTTCTGCAACTTTGGGAAAACCTAGTGTGAAGGACACACTTGTATGGAAAATTATTTTGGTCAACTTAGAAATACTTGTGGAAATGACAGAAACCCAATAACTCTTCAAATTACAAGAGCTTTCAAAAACACATTTACTCTTCAGTATTTCACACAGGCAGAAGGAACAAACTGTCTAGAAGATATTAGTGAGATTCTATATAGTAATACAGATGCAGACATAAATAGAATGACGATTCTTGTGAAAGTTCCAAAAAATCCCTATAAACCTTTGAGAGTAGAGACAAATGATTATAGAACTCTAGCCACTCCAGAAAGCAACAGCTTGGGCTATGTTTGTGGATATCTTTTGAAACAATGTTCAAGAAAACATTCATGAAACAAATGTATATAGTAATTTCAAGGCATATAGTAATACAGTAGCCAAACGGTTTTGAAGTTTACATATACCTCCAGATTCATTTTTACAATGTATCATTCATCTAGGGACGGAATTTATTAATTATTTCAACAATTTATGTGCCACTGATTGCATAGGCAACCAGCTCAAAACAATGTTTTCAAAAATCAACATTTCTCACCCTTGTGATCATTTTCCTTTAGATTATTTATTTTCTCTTTTCACAAGGGTAAGAATTTATTATACTTTGAAATTTGCCAATAGAAATTTGAAAACAAATGAAAAAAAAAAATCAACAACTCATCATTCTGAAAAACCTTTAGAATAGATTAGCATAAGTTTTTGACCTAAACTGTAAAATCTTACTATATGAAATATACGTTTATTTCACCACCTTGTCTTATTAATTATCAATTCCTAAACAGTTCACAATCATATGAGACATTTATTGGGAGTTCCTCGTAGCAATGATGAAGTGAGATCATGCTCACATATTTTTTGATCGAACCTCGTGCAGTGGTGCACAATAGCTCTCAGTCTACACCCTCCTGCCCCGCCACATGCCAGCAAAAAATAAAATCTCGACCCGAAACATCAAAGAGACCGACGAGAGTGAATTTACTTCTGTTTACTTATATACGCTGCCGAAGAGATATATATTCCGGGACCTGGATCTGAACATACATTACGTAGACGCGTATATGAGAGCACACGCAGATAACGTGTTCGACAGAATCTGATCGCACACCAATCCAGCACTACGCGACCTACACGAAGCACTGAGTAGGGATGACCCCAGATTCCGAAAAAGAGACAAACATAGAAGGCCAACGAAGCAGAATCAGAGAACAACCTCGAGAGTCGCCATCAGGCGGTTTCAGTAAGTATACAAATTTTTAACCATATTTCAAAATCACTTCTTTTTCAAATTCACTAGGAAACACTTGCTCGCGATACAAAGACACTCGTCTCCGGTTAGTTTTTGGGGACCCCATATATTAAATTTCATTCAAGTAGAGTTAGATTTAATAAAATAGTAGATTAGAAAGTAAAAGCACCTAAAGGCTGGCTTTCGACTGGTAGGTCAGATGTCAATCTTGCTGAAGGGCTTATCAGTAGGTAGGTTGAGATCCCCACTCTTGGTGTATGGAAGGGATGGGATGTTCTGCACACAGTAACCGTGTGGGGAATATTTCATCTCAGGACACTTAACCCGGGAGATGATGTATTCTAAATGTTTATATTATTTGTTGGAAGAATGATATTGAAGATGGACAGTTCTCATATTACTACCCTGTATATCACTTATGCATTCAACTTACCAAACGATACGTCGTCGTTTCGGTAGGATTCGTTGTTGATTCGTTCGGTTTCTTCGTCGTTGTTGAACAATTGACTTCATCTCTGCCATTTGCGCATTGCTGGATACCATCACAAATCATAGTTTTATGAACGCATTGATTGCTAATATTTTGATGAGGTCCGCAAGAAAACTGCCCCTCAGAACAAGTTTCATTCCAGCAATCTGCTTCATCGGAATAATCACCGCAGTCATTTTGCCGGTCGCATTTAGCTGATAATGATACATAACGTCCATTTTTACAAGGAAACTCGTTAACTGAAAAATAATACTTAAATGTTATTAGCAAACATATCTTTCTTACAGAATTTCCAACACTAGAAAACATCAGTTCAAGGATGTTCTCTGAATTTTTGTTTCAGGAGATAGAAAAACACTTTTTAGTTTTTAACTGCAAAAGAAAAGACGCAAACCGGCTCAGAAGGGACCACTTTGCCTCCGTTATTACACAAAGACATTTTCTTAGCTTCTGGACTTCTGATTTCTGGTAACATATAATATAATTTGAAGACCTTGATTTATTCAAGAATCCGACCATTCCTTCCTCAAATCAGGTTGCCTGAAGATGGCTGACGTTGAAGGCTGATAGTTTCATCGTCGTCTGCCTCTGTGCTTCCAATACTCTCGTCTACGTCATTTGAGTATTTAGGTTTCTGACATAAGGTGCAGATGTCACTAGTGCAGATAAGAGATGCATTTATCTTCAGCATGTTTAATACATACGGTCTCAGCAAATTCGACATTAATATTAATAAAATAAGTAAAAAATGTGTTAAATTGTTTTCTTAAAAAAAAAGATGTTAGTGATGTATTTGATGTACTAAAAACTGAAAATAATTCCTAGGGAGCAGTCATCATACCCCTCCCCTCAACAGTTTACGGTATTGATCAGATAACCTGAGTAAATACGTAAATACTATGCCCAACGATTTTATTAATGTTTTATCTGATCAATACCGTAGATTGATGAAGAGAGTTGTGTGATGACTGCTACCTAGGACCTTCCAAATTATTTTTTAGTTCATTATCTACATCATTGTTTTGACCCACGATTGTTTTATCGTGAGTATGAATGCTCAATGCACACAAGAATTACAATAACTCTTCTGAAAAGGTAGGATAAGAAAAATAACTGTTGAGATGTACTGTAGACAAGGCAAGATTTAATTCTAACTGTACTCTTTCAAGGTTTGAATCGCAATGAATGATTTTTTCACCAATGCAATGTTTCACATCGATAGAGAAGGGGTCAGATTGGTCATTGGAGGGATATAAACAAAGGTTTGGATAAAACATAGGTAGGAGAGATCATAATAATTCCCTAGATAAGGGATACAAGGAATAATTAAGGAATTAAAAATGTACGGGTTGCTTGAGGAAAGATATTTGGGAATATTGAATTTTATGAGCATAAGTGGATACGAAATACCCATAAATTTGAGACTAACTGGAAAACCCCGATTATGAGTAATGGAAAATTAAATAACTTAAACAAGATTAGTTAACAATACATAAATATAAATGATTCCATAAAACAATCTGTTTTGTTGTACAAATTTTAGAGCTGGCAACTCTAGGCTAAATACTAAAAAATTAAGATTCACTTGAAAAACATAATAATTTCGATAGTGAGATTTTGAAACCGAACAATCATTATTATCTTTTTTTTCAATAAAACTGTTTAGCATGAAAGATTCTTTTTACTTATTTTATTTTCAAGTTTTCAGTTTTGTTACTCAATTCTTCTCATTCTGTTTTGTTTATTTAGAGCCTCAGTATTACAAAGTAATATGTAATCCGCCCTTTCGTAGCTGCGGCCATCTTGAATTTGCATCTTTTTCAAATAGCACTACTAAACTACTATAGTCAAGCCATGTCATTTTATATCCATATTGAGGTAGTTGTGAAAACATATAATCCGCTATTTTGTAGCTGCGGCCAACTTTGATTTACAATGATACAGAATTTATTAAATTGTATTGTTACAAAAAACAAAATGTGTGTACCAAATATCAGATCAATCTGTCAACAAGAAGGGGGTCAAATTTCAATAACCGTTTTTTGACGGTTGATGTGGCATTTTCGTTTTGTGTTATCAAGTAAAAAAAACTTCCCTCTTTCAACATTAAAATTGATAGTTGTGAATCTTCTTGTGATTGAGTGCATGTTGTATGGGGTATACGGTTTCTCTTAAGGGACTTGATATTATATTGTTTTATTATAGTTGAGGTCGACGGATCTTGTTTTATATATTTCTACCATTGGGTATTCCCATCACAAAAATTCTTTGAATAAGTATTACAGAAAATTCTACACCATTCAAGAATAATCTGGAAAGCACTCGAATGTTCTGGACTGTTTTATAACTTTCTAGAGGGCAAAATTTTTAGCCCTTATATCTTCAAAAGCACGTCCTTCACGAGAAAAAGATTTAGGGTAATTCCGGGGGAGACGGCCGTAGGGAGAGATGGCTAATAGAAAAAAGTTCAAGTAATAATTAATAGATGGCACTAGTCATCGTTTAGTTTGGTTCGCAACGGCACGGGTAACAACTGTCAGTGTTTTTTCTGTTGAAAAAATACTGAAACGGTGAGTAATTTGACATTGTTTTTTTTTATTATGCATACGAGTTAAGTACTGGGGTTAACATATTGAGTGATCACAAAAATATTTTGAAAGTTATGTCCGTTTTCGTGCTTTCCCAGTGAAGTAATAAACTTCTCCGGTGTTCCAACCTCAAAATTACCCACTAACATGAGAAATGGCTTTAATTACCTAATGTGGCCATCTCGCCCGGACAATTAGGAGACATGGCCATAGTATTTACGGGAGAGATAGCCATGAAATTTTATGTCATAATTTTGATTCATTTTTAATCTTCAATTTTCTACAGATGCCGAACCAATATGTACGGAAGGTGGCTGCTGGTCGAGGTGAATGGAGCGAAGAAGATTTAAAAAATGTTATGGAAGAACTACAAAATTGAGGGATGATGATTTATAGGGCCTCTTTCATCTACAAAATACCAAAAAAAAACTTTAAAGAAGTGTGAATGACAGCACTAAAGGACCTATGGGACCGTCATTTACCTTCGGTACAGATAATGAAGAAATACTGAGCAAGCATATAAAAGACATGCAGTCAAGAGGCTTTTATTTGACAAATGATTTAAGAATAATTGCATTCAAGTTTGCTGTGCAATTAGGAATTGAACATAGATTCTGTAAAACATCTGAAAAGGCGGGCTATGATTGGGTGAAAATGTTTCCGAAAAGAAATTCCGATATTTCTTTGAGGAAATCAGAAGGGGTGTTATACGCTATAAGTCAAGGGATGATTAAATCAGATGTAAACGCCTATTTTAAAATGCTCGAGAAAACTCTCAGTAATAATGACCTAATAAATAAACCTGGCCATATTTACAACATGGACGAGTCCGGGTTGCAGTGAAATAATCGACCAGATCATGTTTTGGCTGAAAAAGGTTCGCAGGCTGTAGCCATGTCAACCTCTACAGAAAAAGGAGAGCCAATAACGGTTGTTGTAATGCTGAGGGTAATTTTATTCCTCCAGCGTGCATTATGAAAGGACAACGAAAGAAAAGAATTCGAAGATGAACTGCCTCCATCAGATTCGGTAGTTTATATGTCACAAAAATCCGCCTATATAACCTCCGATATAATTACGGAATAGATGAAATCGCATTTCTTGCCTCGAAAACCAGATGGCAAAGTGCTCCTTTTGCTGGACGGTCATTCTATACACTGTAATTGAGTTGAAATGCTGGATTTTGCTAATGATAATGACATCATCTTACTCTCAATGCCGTCACGCACACATCCCATTACCTTCAGCCGCTGGGTGTTGCTGTTTTCAAGTCTCTCAAAGCTTACTTTTATGAATATTGCAGGTTATGGAAGAAACAGCACCTTGGACGTCGTCTTACAAGACAATTTGGCTTCTTACTAATTTAAGCCTGGGGAAAATCAGCGACAAGTGGAAATGCAATATCAGGATTTAGGACAGCAGGAGTTTTTCCTCTGAATCCAGCTATTCCGGAGTACGCCTTTAGTGAGAACATTGACCAACCCGTTGAAAGAAATATCGGACATGCAGCGCAGGCCCAATCAATTTCAGATCCAGGCCCAAGTACATCTATTCAGACGTTGGATCAACCAACACCAACATGATTACTTACCGAAGTGTCTCCACTGCCTGTGAAACTACACGAAGTTCGCAAATGAGCGAAACAAGTAAGCATTCTTTTGACATCTGAAGAGTATATTGAAAAACGGAAAATAAAAGAAAGTGAAAAAGAATATAGAGAACAAAATTTAAAAAAAAACAAAAATAATAAAAACAAACACTAAGACTGATAAACCTGAGGAAAAAAAGGCTATTAAGAAACGAAAGGTAATTCGTAGGTTATCTGATAGCAGCTGTGAAAAAATTTCCATCGTTTTCAATGATACCTCTTAAAGTGAAACTGAAGACAGAGAGGAAGATAACTGCAGAGATTGTGGTGATGATTATTATAATACACTACTGATAGAAGATTGGATACAAAGTAATATTTGCATGTTCTGGGTGCATGAAAATTGCACCGAGTTTGAGGACATGTGTTCATACTGTGGTAATAGGAAAAAAAAGGAGCTGAAAGATCTCAAGGGCAAAGGGAAAGGCCAAAAAAGTATTGGACATCTCTCTCCAACTGCTATGGCTATCACTTCCGGACATCCTGGGAGAGATGGCCAGTCCTAATTTTTTTTATAAGTTTAAAATTACGTTATTGCATTTGTAAAAGTGATTTATCACGAGCGAGAGTGAATTTGGATGAAATAAAAAAAAAATCATTCTTGAAAAAATGTTATTGGAAATAAGTAACAGGTTACTTCACATTTGAAGGATTGTTTTTTTTTTTTTTTCGTTGGTATACCTACTAAAAGCATCAGCTAGAAATGCATAGTGAAATTTAAACGAAAGCTTGTCTTGAAATCATTTTATTCAGTTTCGAAATTAATGTACATTATGATTGAATTGAGAATATATATTTATCGAGGCGGTACTTATAAAATATTGAAATAAATATTTCATTTTTGATAGTGTCTGCAAATTTTCGACCTATTCGAATTCAAAACTTAGTTAGAAAACTAAGAGGGTTTTTGTATAGATTCAAGTATTTGAAAGATTTTTTAGACATAAAACACCTAAAAATAGTATATTATGCTCTGGTTCATTCAATATTGTCTTATGGAATCATAGGATGGGGAGGTGTGAGTGATTATCACCTTAACAATTTAAATGTTATCCAAAAGTTGATACTGAAAATAATTTATGGAAAAAAAGCCACATACTCGAGTGACAACATATTCAAAGAGTCTCAAGTACTGGATGTTAGGCAGATTTTCTGTTTCAATATCTTAATTAATGTACAAAAACAAAAAATTTCAACTGAATCTGTCGAGCACAAATATGATATGAGGAGGAGACAAAATAAACTACCCAGATCGAAAAAAACAATAGGCCAACGATGTGCAAACTATCTTGGACCTCGACTTCACAACATGGTACCTGAAACAATCAAAAAAATATATTCTCCTACTTCATATAAAAATAAAATAAAACTTTGGATTGTGCTCAGTGAAAGAAAACTTTTCCATGATGCGGTGAATCAAAAATTACAAAAATACTGAACTTGGAAAACAAAAAATTACAAGACACTACCCCTATTGCGATTATGAAAATACACCCAACTATGACAACATACCCAACTATGACAACATACCCAACTATGACAATACCCCCGACTATGATAATACACCCTACTATGATAATACACCCTACTATGTCAACACCAAATATGGTTCATATCTCAATAATATATACGTGACGTGACGTGACGTACACATCAATAAAATTGTATGATTTGTACTATTAAATTAAATTTTGTCTTGAAACTACAATAATATTATATTTAGGTAAATAAATCACATACAAGCAACGGTCTCACCACTGACGCTTCGTGATTTTGTATTCTCGTTTATTCGTTTTATTTGATGATTTTCATATTTGTATCGGTTATTTGAATAAACTTATATTATATTATTATATTATTATTATTATTATTATTATTCAAAATTTATAGGTATTACAAAATCTGCGAGATATGGGATCCATGAAATGAAGTAAAAAGTGAAACTCTCTGGCATTTGAGAGAACACTTGATTGTCTTATTGTATGTATTGTCAACCAATATTCTATTTGTCTTTTTTATTCTATTGGTATATCGATATAATTTTTTTAATGTTGTATTAATGAATCGTCACCATACGTCTATCGTTGATTTTATTTTAATATTTCAAAGTTTGCCTAGCCTTCTATAGATTACCTATCTATTCTTTATTGAATCCATTCCGATTATTTTGTAGATTATTACGTATAAAGCAATTCTGAATATATCAAAAATATGCAAAATGTTAGATGGTACACTGATTTCATCGTGAAATATTATTCGTACAATCCATGAAACTTATTGTACCACCTTACCAATTTGTTTTTTCGGCACTTTAGTTGTACTTGTAGTTGCAGTACAATTAACTTCGTCGCTACCATCCCTGCAGTCTTTTTCGCCATCACAAACCCAACCTTCATAAATACAATGATAGTGAGGATGCCCACAAGGAAATTCAAATGAAGAACATCTATGAACCTCGCAACCCATCTCGTCAGAATTGTCAGGACAGTCCTTCTCCATATCACATTTCCAACGTAACGGTATACAGGTACCACTTGTGCAATGGAATTGATCAGCTGGAATAAAAAAATACTTCGAATTCACAAAAAGCAGCTAATGTAAATACATTATAATCAATTTGAATTGAAGGGGTTATATTTTTAGGAGTGATTAATTTTTTGATACAAAAAAAGGAAGGAAATAATCAATTTGAAAATAAGTAACTCTATACATGGATGTGTAGATCATGCAAAGAAGTAACTTTCAGACACAAACTGGAAGAAGAAGCTCTCCTGAAAGTTACTTGTTTGCATGATCTACACATCCATGTATAGAGTTACTTATTTTCAAATTGATTACTTTCTTCCTTTCTTTGGAAGATTCCCACATTTTAATTTTTTTTGTATCAAGATGGAGTAGTAGAAAGCCAAAAACTTTCTTTTCCATTAAAATCAAGTTCTTCTACAGTGATAAATACACAATTAGTACAAAACATGAAGTAACTTGGTGAAATGTTCTTCCTAAATAGTGAAAATCACACAAAATTGTGTCGAAACATGTCTATACAAAGTGCGAATGATAAGAAACCTCAATACCAGACTTTTTTCATATCTGAGCTAAAGACTCTGATTAGGATTTGTCTTTATCCAGAAAAATGTGCTCATGGACATGAAATGAACAGAAAACAAAAACTCCGCCAAAATTAACCAAGACGATCATCATACGCCACCTTCTGGTACAAATACAAATGGAAAATGGCTGGATTGAAATACTTCATAAAAAAACTCATACACAAATGCTAAACACGAAATAATGGTTGAAGAAACGAAGCAACAAAAAGTAAATGTAAACACGAAATGATTGCTGAAAAAAATAAAGCAACAAAAAGTAAATGGAAATTTCCTCACAAAAAAACAACCGCAAAAAATCGGTTGAAATCTGTCAAAATTTGTTTCTCCGTTAATCATCCTCTCTACGAAAAACAACCCTCAGAAGTCGAAACTTGTGCGAGCTAAGGAATAACGAGATCTTAACTTTCAGCGAAGCCTAAAATAATATGAATATTCACAGTGGAAAATCTTCCTATAAATTTTATTGAAAATGCAGAAATGATTATGGGTCGAAAGGTTCAAATGGAGTCGTTGATTTCTGAATTTCTACAATGAGCCATGTACACTTATTTACAGTGAGAAAATATTCCGGGTAATATTTAAATTAGACTTCTTCCACATCGTTCTGGAAACATATAATGAGAGAGAGCTATAGTAGCTTTACCGAATGAACAGATTTCAAAAAGACCGGCCTTCGTGCGATCGGCACGAATTGCCTAACATTCAAAATTTGATGTGGAGAAATCCGCATCTAGCACGGAACATTTATTACACTGGCGACAGCTAAGTGGGATTTTACAAGGATTTCTTGGTTTAGAAATCTAATTCCACTGTTCAGACTTTTTTGTACGTTCTTACAATATCCATGTCATATTATTAACCTACCTTTACACGCCTCAGGACCTCTAGATTCACAATTTTTTTCATCAGACTCATCAAAGCAATCATTATCACCATCACATAGCCATGTGTCCCAAATACACCTTGTATTATCACAAAAAAATTGATCGGCGGTGCAATTATTGTAACTTGGACATCCAACTTCATCTGATCCATCAGAACAATCTTCGTAAAAGTCACACCTTAAATGAATAATTTGTTGGATGAAATGAGTAAAATAGAATATCTTTTGTCTGAATAGGTGATTGCTTCAGACGATGAAAGCAAAATCAAATCAGAAACAAAACACTAAGGGAAATTCAATGAGATTTATTTAACTAATCTTCTTTCTTTTCTATCACTATGTAGTGTATCAGAAAAGATAGACGTTCCAACGAAGATATAACAGATATGTGATTGATCACAGTAGTGATCAACTATGTCCAAAACAACTTTCGAAAGTTGGAGGCTTTACCTTATCGCATGGTATGCAATCAAATGCATATCATGACTTCAAGTCAACAAGGGACTCAAAAGTAAGATATTCTGTGTTTGTTTTGCAAAAAAACCAAGCCAAGACACTACTACAGTGTTAGGCCCAGATGGGCCCACTTATAACTGTGGGCGATACAAAACTAACGTGCTGTATTCTGCACTGCTCAGGAACGTCTCTTTGTCCTGTGAAATTTACACTCTATCGGAACTGGACTCGGACCATAATCCAGTCATCTGAGTCTGGTACGAAGGCCTTCTTCACAAGTTACTAGAGGCCGGTCTGCTCCAGTGAATCTGTTTTTTTCTGAAGGAAAGAACCGTTCAGGTCAAAATAGAGGACTCCCTGTCTGATAGCAGGAAAATTCTCGCTGGAGTGCCCTAGGAGGCCGTGCCCTCTCCCACGTTGTATTCCTTGTACAACAGCGACCTTCCCATCGTAGCGTCAATAATAACTTCCGTTTTCAAAATATTTCATAAAATGATATTTTTTTCAAATGAGGCATCCTATATTTCATCATGCATTTCGATTCGTAATAATATTCCCAACAACAAAGCTCATATTACCTTCCTTTCGAAAGTTGAAAATGAGCGACTTTTGTGGAATTATTTATTTATTTCTCTAGTACAAAAAGTTCAATGTTTTGGCGAATAAAGAGCTTTAAAATATCGAGTAAATATTCAAAAACACCGCCTTCTTGTTGAACACATATTTGGGCCCTTCTCTTGGCACTACGTGTTGCTTTCAACACAATTCGGCCATCAATCCTAATAATTATAGTTTCAATATAATTTTTCATTTCATCTACTTTATTATGTTTTATTTTGTACACCTCATTTTTCAGAAATCCCCTAGAGGTGTTATGTCTAGTGAAGGAGGAGGCCACTTAACAGGACCATTTGTAGCAATCCATCTGTTTCCAAAATAGTCTCGCAACATTCTTTTCACGCCACTAAAATTAGGTGCTGGTGCACCATCCTGCTGTCAATAGATCATCTGACGGGGCTCCAGATCAAGATTATCGAAAAACTCTTCCAACACTCCTGTTGGTGAATTAATGTAACGGGGTTTGTTCAAAGAACCATGGTAGAAAAATGGACCGATAATTCTGCCTCTAAATAGACCACACCAAACATTAATACTACATCGTTCTTGCGGATTGTGGGGATGGACTAGAAATGGATTATGTCTACTCCAATAATGAAAATTATTGTCTGCATTGCATTGGATCTTGTCTGCATTTATTCATAAACCACCGACACCAGGCTCTAGTGTTTGCACTGCTCGTAACTTCTGTATCTGTATCCTCCCGAAGAGTTGTCCTCCTAGGCCAGTGACCTGTCCATCCTGTCCTTTCCAGGAAGGTGGACAGGTCACTGGGAGACATCTCCTTTATATCGGTAGGTGTAGGCCAAGACTCGCCGAACACACACTCTCTTTTTGATGATAACTAAGGGCACTCGCGTAGGACATGCCTGACAGACTCATCTTTCTGTTCACACATTCTGCATAGAGGTGTGTCCACTAGCCCCATATTATGGAGGTGTTTCCTTAGTTGACAGTGTCCAGTCAGAAATCCTACTGTTAAGCGTAAATTTTTCCTGGTCATCGCCAGATATTTTTTCGCCGCCAGATTCCCAGGGTCGCTCAAGGTGATCCTGGCAAGATTGCATCCATTGATTGCATCCCATCTCTTTAAAAATTGAGCATGGGTGTAACATCTGGCTAGTTCCACAATTGCCGAAGTCATCAGGCTGTAGGTTCCACTGGGTCCTAAAATTCTTAGTCCAGCCGCTTCCTTGGTTTAAGAGTCGGCAATGTGATTTTCTTTACTCCTGTCGTACCCTTCAAGCCACTTCAGGATAATTTCTTTATCTACCTAGGCTAAATCCTCTTGACACCCTAGTACTAGCCCTGGGGTTATACGTTGTCTGTTCAAGGCTAATAGGGCTTGTCTGCTATCATTAAAGATTGTTATGTTTTTGTCAGAAATTCCTTTCCTGGTTATTTCTTTTGAGGCTTTAGCTAAATCCTGGTGACACTCTAGTACTAGCCCTGAGGTTATACGTTGTCTGTTCAAGGCTAATAGGGCTTGTCTGCTATCATTAAAGATTGTTATGTTTTTGCCAGAAATCCTGGTTATTTCTTTTGTGGCGATTGAGCTACCAGCCAGTTCTGTTTGGACAACGCTGGTATTTTTTCCCATTCCGCACTCAATCCATAGGCTTAGTGATCTGGAGTACACTCCACATCCTGAGCCTTCTTTGGTTTTTGAGCCGTCTGTATATATGCGTATTGCATTTGTAGCATGACTCAGTGTCCTGTTTCATTTGTATTTTGTAGGGTTTATTAAACACAAACCTGGGTTCAATTGCATTACTGGTTGCCTGCAGCAGAGGTTGCGCAGTAAGGGCTTCACGCCATAGGCTCGATTGACCCATTTCTACCTCTAGGTTTACACCAACCGTGCGCAATCGTACCTTGGCCATTAACGCAACCTCCTTAACGTACAGGTCCAGAGGGGTCAGACCCGTAATTAATTCCATTGCCGCGGTTGGTGTTGTTCTCATGGCTCTTATGATTTATAAAAAAGCCAATCGCTGTATTTGATATAATTTTTGGATGGCCGTTGCTTGTAGCACTTTCTATCCCCATGCAATGGCTGTCTACGTTAACATAGTTCTTTATTGCAGTGTAGATCCAGGTGACCATACGGGGTGAAAGATTCCATGCACGTCCCACTGTCCTCCGACATTGTTCATAAGCTACATATGCTCATTTTGCTCTACTCTGTAGGTGAGAGTTCCGTGTTAGTTCCCGTCGAGGATAGTACCAAGGTATTTCATCTCTTCCGAGAAGTTTAGTTTGCTTTTGAAGATTTCGGGAGGTTTTAAGCCCGATAAACTTCTTTTCCTGGTGAAAAGGACCATCTCAGTCTTCTTGGGATTGATCGACAGTGAGTGTTCCTTACACCATGTTTCTATCAATTTGAGCCCATCCTGCGCTCTATCGCACAGTGTGTTCACAAATTCGCCGGTCTGCTATGTCATCTGCATATGCAATTGTGTAGAATCCATTTTTGTTGAGGTGATTTATCAGGGTATCCAGAACTATGTTCCAGAGAAGGGGTGATAAGACCCCTCCCTGTGGACATCCCATCATGACCAGTCCTTTCATTGTGATGTCTTGAGCATCTTGAGTATCCATTCTCCAACTACCAGGGGTATATTCCTGGAGTGTAGTTGCTGGGTAATTAATTGTTGGAAAAACGCTCCCTCGATATCTATGAATATACCCAGGGTGGATTCTTTCTTGTCCAATGATCTCTCGATTTTGCCAACCACATGGTGAAGGGCCGAATCAGTAGACTTTTCCGGAGTATATGCATGTTGATTTGGATGAAGTGGGTCCTAACTTATCAGGAGAAATCTTATGTTTCTTTAGAATTCGTTGAATAACAGACAGTGGAACAGCTATTTCTCTAGATAAATATCAGATGGAATTATTTGGATTCACCTCAAAGTAGGTTAAAACGTCAATTTCTGTATCTTAATATATTACAAAACGTTTTCTAGTTTTCCTCTTCTCAAAAACTTTTTCATTGTTCCTGAATCGATGATAAAGCACAGTAAAAAAAAGCCGATTAGGTAATTCACGATCGGAAAACGAAGTGCTGTAGTGCTGGAGAGCTCTTACGCTGTTTTACTGGCAAACCAAATAGGATTCTAACATATCACATTTTTCTTTATGGGAAAATGGCATTTCAAAAAATATGTCGTGATATACTTGAGAATATTTGACAAATTGTATTTCAACAGAACTTCAAGGCAAATTGATTACTCATAATAATTCTGTTTTATCGAATCAAACACATTTTTTTCCAACCGCATTAATATGAGGCTCCAGTATTTTCTGTTCTGTACCAAAACGGTTTCAATGTTATCATTATAGGAGACATATTTTGATTCACAAAATAAATACGGCTAGTGGAATTGATTTAAGATAAAAATTATCATGAAGAAAAGAGATTTGAAACTATCTATGTTTTTCACCACTTTTATTTGTAACTAACGTTACTGCAGTCGCATCATTTTATGAAATATTTTGAAAACACAACTGTCAATTTTTTTTTTTTCGGCACCAAGAAGGCCATTAAAAATGTTACTAGTCTGCCCATTCAACCGAATTCGTAGCATCAATAATAATGAAGTTGGCAATGGTGCCGACTTAATTTGGAGCACCCGGTATATGTATTTTTTAATTTCTATAAGTTATTATACATAGGTTATATAATCTATTTCTAGTTTCAATATTGATGACCTCCTCAATAAAATACCCTCTTAGAAAATAAAGTATGTTTATGCCTATTGAAAATTTGTAAGCTACATTGGAATACTAAAACAAGTTACTGTTCTTTATGAATGGCTAACATAATGAGCTGAATGATGGTAATGACTACTATTTGTGTTTCATTTGCATCCAGATGAGTCATTTCCGCCAAAAGTTATTCGCTATCTCTACTTGATGTATTTTGATCGGGCAGAGAGTGAATTATTTTCGTCAGGAATAAATTTGGAATAAATTTTTTTCGAAAAAACGCACCTACTGTGACCCTTTGCAACAAATTTTTTTCCAGGGTCACTCGTATTATAGTATTTCTTAGGGTTGAACAAGGAATTTCTTCAGTAATATATGAAGTTGCACTGTGCAAAATTGAAATTACCAATTTGAATTATATCTATCGAAGGAAAAAAGTGTGAATAATAATATCATGCGCTAGTTTTCACTTATGGCTTCAACCTACAAAAATAATAATACGAAAACTCACCTCTGGTTCATGGGAATACATTTTCTATCATTGCAAAGAAAATACGAATCCCGGCAGGTGATTACTTCGCATTGTTCCTCATCAGAACTATCCTCACAATCGCTAATTCCATCACATTTCAAAATTTTAGGTACACATCTGAAGTTCCCGCATGTAAAATGTTTCTTATTAGGGCACACGCATTTTCCCTCTTCCAATACCAGTCCATCCGGACACAAGCAAGCGAAATTGTTGTTGGGTAAACTTACGCAAATGTAGGGACACGAGGAATTGCTACATCCATTCATACCTGTTTGAATATTACTAGAGATAGCTTTCAGGCTCATTATATCCGGTATTTGTTCTAGTACAGTTTCTACACTTTTGAAGGAGATTTTGTCTGCTTTTAAAATAGAATTATTTTTTCGGTGATTCCAGTAGAGACTGTTGTTCAAAACCGCTATAGAAACTGGATACGATACGAATTCGTTATCTGAAACAATTTTCAAGAAACCATAACCTTGCAAATCACTGCTACCAATATATTCTCTTCGAGCATCTACCCAGTAAAGTCTATTGGCGACATAATCAATTGTTAAACTACTGGGCATTTCGACCTTATCTCTACCAAATAATGTTTTCACGTTACTTCCATCTGAGTCAGCTCTGTTGATTGTTGCATTGTTAACCGACCAATCACCCCAAAATATATAACCAGCTATGGGGTGAACTACAATGCCTCTTGGTCTTCGTAAAACAGTAGAGTTTAATAAAGTAGTTACACCCCTGATGGTAAAGTTTACTCTGATCACTTGTATTTCAATACTATTTCCATCCACTATATAAAAAAGCGTTTTCGATATCCAGTCCAGAGATGTTCCTGAGACGTAATTCAAGCCTCTATAAACCAATGTTTTTGTAGTATTGTCATATCCTAAACATTGCTTTTCTACACCTATTGTATCATCTGTCCAGTAGGCACAATTAGATGTTATATCGAAATCAACAGAGGAAACATTTTTCAAATATTGGGTAGAAAATTGTTCTAATGTTTTAGAGGAGAAGTTGTATCGTAAAATACTTTCCTTTTGACCGAGAAGAAGAAATTCTTTTTCATCTTTTAATGGACAAGGGACTTTGTCAGGCAAGTAGAGTTTTTCGAAACCGCCACTGCAAAAATCTCCAGCTATTTTTCGATATCCTCTTGTTCGGTTATAAAACTGACCTGGTTTGCAATCTGGTGGAGTCTTATACGGATTGTAACTGTCCAGTGGTTTGGTAAGGAAACATAGAAGGGGAATGCCTGCAGATGAAAATCCAGCATCGCTAAAAATAAAGTGTTGACTGATGAATAATGTTACTAGAAAATGTCAAAGAATTCTAAACTGATCTTATAAAAATAGGTTTTGGAATTGTGGATATTGATTTTTTGAAGTACACTACGCTAAGAATTAGTCAGCAATATTAATTTTGTTTTTATTGAATTCATTCAATACGTTGAAAACAACGACCAATAATGGAAGTGAGATTCAAGTGTCATCTCGTTCCAAAGGTCATTCATCTCTATTCACGACTTTGTTCACTTTTTTCATTTGGTACAGCAGATATAAAAAAAACGTTACCAATAAGTTAACAACAAATCAGAGTGAAAGAGGTTATGTTCATTGATCTTTGAAACAAATTCTTTGTGATGCCAGTTTTGTAGGAAAAAGAGTTAATCCAAGGACGAATTTAAGGTTTCGACCTCACCAAGGAAAGGGAATGAAAAATTAATGTTGAAAATTGGTCCACTTAAAAACTATCGATGAATTATTTCAATTTTAATTTTTTATATTACGTGAAATCAGAATCAGCCTTCAAAGTTTTAGCTCCTGCACGTAATTTCTGATTATTACGGACTTTTTGAAGGAATTATTTTTCTTTTTATTATAATTTATTTAGAATAAACATGAATGAAAAAAGAAATTATTTGTTGTTGTATTGAGATATTCCATCAACATGGTATTTGTCGAATAAACTGCTGTTGAAAGGCATTATTTTTGACTACTTGAAATTGTTCTTGAATCATCAATAAGACTAACCCATCAATATACTCTGCTACCACAAATATATCATGGAAGTCACTATGTATATGTGATTGTAGAATTGAATGATCTACATTTTCAAACAAATTTTGCAGAAAAAACTAATAAACCTTTTTTTATAATTGCTGTTCCCTAATTTTTTGTTGTTTTATATGGAGTACATGTTACCTCATACTCTTCAATTTTATCATCATTATACCCAACGAAAGCAACTTTAGCGTTGGTGCCATAATTATTACATGAATATCTTTTGTACTGTTGCTATATTAATATAGGGAGAATTTTTTCGAAAAAAAAGCCATGCAAACTGAATTTTTATATAAAACAGCTTCGTTTCCCATTGCTTTATTTGAAGTGTTCCTTTTTTGAATTGGCAATTATCCTCTCTCCCTAAATTTAGCTACGAGTTCGTTGAACAGTTATGCTGTAATAATAGTGCAACTTACGTTTTCACAATAACATTCAGTTACCGATATTCGTTCCATAATTGAATGAACAACTGTTAGTCAAATAATAAGCCAAAATAGTCATCGTCAAAATAATGAGAGATGCTGAGTGTAAATAATTGAAAGTTCATTTTTTTAATTCATTGCATCGTGTTTCTTGAAACATATTTTAAAAAAGTAGAACAACTATTCATGAAACCGTACTAAACACGAGATGAAATATATTTCTTGAGAGTGAAATAATTGTACCATGGCAGATATTCTTTTTAATGTTTTTTTTGATAACTACTTTATCAAATTGAAAAAGTAAAAATCATCGAAAAGATAAATAGATGACCTTTCAAACGAGGTATTGCTTGATCTCTACCCATTTAGTTTTGAAGGTTCGACTTTTACCAGAGGGAATGAAAGTGTCAATGTTGAAAATATGCTCGAAATAAAAATTGACAAAAATGAGAGATTCTTTATTTCAATTTCATTAGTCTACTTTGTTGGTCGGCACTTGAAGAAGACTCATGATAAATATATTCGTATTCTATGAATAAACAATTTACAAGTAGCATTGAATACGTTTCGATATGTATAAATGTTTTGAAAAGTATCACTATCTATTAAAATAAACAGTCGCCCTGGAGGTAGAAATGGAAACCTACAGGAACAGAGCTAATCAAAGAAAGGATGAATATATTGTTATACAGTGGTTGGTGAGTAGAGACGTACCTATACTTTCAATAATAATAATAATCTTTATTCATCCTTTAAGATCATATACATGATATAGGACAAGTCATAAAATGTATATAGACAGACATATATAAGTACACATATATATACATATACATACGATAAACATATAACTATATTACTTTAAACATATCGTCCATACAAACAAGCAAGCAACAAATGAAAAAAAAACTAGGAATTAGCAAAATATTCACTAATGTCGTAAAAGCAGGACTCCACTAAATATTTTTTCAAACTTGTTTTGAATTTATTAATATTTTTTTAATAATAATAATAATAATAATAAATGCTTTTATTGAAAGGTTACTCAGTACAAGGGATACTAATCTAACCTAACAAATGGCAGAATTCAACGTCTGCGCATGAAGAATCAAGGCAGAAATTGCTCGAATAAATGAAAATTATATGTTCTATGTGTGGAAAATCATGTTACAAATATGATGATAAATTTGATGATTTCTTCATATTTATTGTAAAAACATATGTATAGGTGTCAACTGATAACTGTTATAAAAGAAGAGAACCGGATTGTAGCATGAATCTCTTCAAATTTTTCTTGAAACTAAGTGGTGATAGGGATTTGAATTCAATGTTTTTGATATCACTTGGGAGATGATTGAAAAATCGTATTCCATTATATTTAGGACTGCTTTCGTAAAGTGATGTACAATGCTTTATACTTCTAAATAAGTCACCATGCCTCGTAGCATAGTCATGAGAGTCAGAATTTTTTGAGAAGCTCTTGATGTTGAGTTTAACATATGTTACAGTTTTATAAATGTAGATCGATGGTACTGTCAGTAATTTAAACAATGGTTCCATCTTGTATGAATTCATCATACTTGAGCTCTTTTCTGAATCTTTTTGTGGAATAGTATAATAGCTATACGCTGCACCAAAGACTGAAGACAGGGCAGTAGCGAAAAGAAAAACCAGGGGGGGAGGGAATCCAAATTTTCCCAACTCCACCAGCAAAATTTCCCAACTTTCAAAGAAATGAAAGCCGAGGGATTAGTTACTACTATAATATATTAATTTTCTTACTTAGCTATCTAAAGATTGGCTGAATGCTTATGCCGGTGATTATAAATATAATAATGGGAATTATTCTACTTTGGACCAAGGTCCTTGATCTGCCACCATATCCACCATTTATAGAAACATTCAATACAAATGAAAGGAAACAACACTTGAATAATATTGTGCTTATTGCTTTCTAATATTATTTTTTCTATCTTCACGGCCTGAAATTTTCCAACTTTTCCAAGTCGGAAAAACAGCAAAAAGTTGGGAATTTTGTAAAATTGTCTGTTCAAAATTTGTGGACTATTCAGGACTGTTTTCTTACTTGGGAGAAATTAAACTCTTTTGAAAATTTCAAACAACTCAGAATTCTCTTCAAGTTATACATGTCGGGAAATCCCAACCTTGTCCTGGTTCTTTCCCTTTTCCCAAGTCGAAAAAGCAGGGGAAGAGGCTCCCCCCACTCCCATGGCTCCCCCCGTTCCCATGGCGACGGCCCTGACTGAAGATATAAGAGTTAACCTATTTCATTTGGGGGTCTTACAAAGATTTTGTATTCGAAAAGCAATTGATCGTCAGTTGCTTCCTCCCATTTCTGATTTTTACAGTTCCACCGGTCATAGCCAATATATACATCAGGTCGGTCGGTAGCCGGTCGGTTCGACGTGGGTGCTTTGTTCACTCACTCAAATCGACAGCCGTGTTGGTCGGTGGTTCAAGCCCCAGGCTGGACGATCGATTTTCAGTTGCTATCGTCCAACTCGTGTTAGGAATCACATCACACGTTAAAAGGCAAGCCCTCGTTAGTCCTTAGCTCGTACAAGTTTCGACTTCTGAGGGTTGTCGTTCGTAGGGTTACAACAGCTGGTTAATGGAAAAACATATTTTGAACATATTTTTTAAAATTGTTTGAAACCGTGTCTATGGAGAAATATCAAGTGTGGATGAGATAAGTACGTTCAAATTCAAAACGAAAGAAAATTCCAAATGAATTATCGTATCCATACGTGGCAGTACATTCACTTTTTCGAAAATTGGAGCCCATACGTCAGTATATTTTAATTTGTATGAAAGAGTTTTGAGTCTTCGTCTATATGAAGAGTCGAGGATTCACAAAGATACTCTCTGAATTTTCTCTTCCCAATCAACTTATCCACCATGTTTCGAGGATATCCGTTACTTTCAGCTATGTCACTGATACATTTTTTTTCTTATTAGTCAGTGGGCTATGCTTGAAGACTGGCAGTAAACAAATCTAAAGAAATGAGCTTTGAACGTTCAAGCCAGTCTCGAATATACCTTTACAGTAGGTTGAATGGACTGACGCCTATCAGAAAACAACTACTCCCCTGGCTTATACCACGAAGGGCGTTGGATTATATCCGACAGGCGACAGTGTAGGAATCTTCACATGAATTTTCTTGCATATGCAATTAGCAATACAACTGAAAGAGTCGACCTTCAATTTTGGAACTCGCATACTTGCAGACCGGTTTCGGGCCAGTCTTCAAGCATAGCCCACTGACTAATAAGAAAGTTTTTCTTTCTTATTCAGAGGAATCGGGCACATTTCGAATATGCAGTTGGTTAGAACCTCGTTCACTAGATGGGGTGACATTTTGTTGTTCGTTCCAACTTAGGAGGAGGAATGAAATACTCTGAAAGAATTCCAATTTTCAATTAGGGAATATCATTGACTTTAGGTCGATGATGGCCACTATCTTGCACTGACGAGTGGCTAATGAGCCCGACTCCGGTCTGCAAGTGTGCCCGTTCCAAAATTGAAGGTCGACTCTTTCAGTTGTATTGCCAATTGCATATGCAGAAAATTTTCTGTGAAGAAGAAATTTTCTGCACTGACGCCTGTCGAATACAATTCAACGCCCTTCGTACTATTAGCCAGGGGAGTAGTTGTTTTCTGATAGGCGTCAGTCTATTTAACCTACTGTGTAGGTATATTCGAGACTGGCCCTAACTAACCCATTCCCCTGCAACGTCTGTTGCAGGGGAATGGCTTAGAAGCTTCTAAAAAATATGCTGAAATGTATCCTCAACGGCAGCATCCTTCACATAGAATATTTGCTCGACTTCATCAACGATTACAAGAATATGGTTCATTCGACAAAAGAACGCAGGATTGTGGTCGCCATCGAGAAGTACGAACACCACAGCTTGAGGAAGCAGTACTTAATTTGATTATAGAACAACCTACTACCAGTACTAGAAAGATTACTTTCCAGCTAAATGTTGATCATATGACGGTATTTCTAATTTTAAAGGAACAACTCTTATACCCTTCCCATCTGCAACGAGTACAGGCACTGTTACCGCGAGACTGGAAATGATTAGAAGAAATTGTGACTTTCTGAAGACGATATAATTCACAGACGAATGTAGTTTTTCTCGTGACAAGATTATTAATTTTCATAATTACCACATATGGGCTGATGAAAACCCTCACGCTATTGTCGAAACTAACCATCAAGAACAGTTTTCTCTTAACGTGTGGCTCGGAGTTTTTGAGGATGATTTAATTGGGCCTCATTTTCTACCTCCTCGATTGAATGGTGAGGCATACGTTCAATTTTTAAGAGAAGTGCATCCAGTACTGCTGGAGGAAGTTCCTTTGGACGTCAAAAGAGATATGTTTTTTAAACATGATGAGGCTTCTGCCCATTTTAGTCAAGTAGCACGTCAGCATTTAACTGAAACATATGCAAATCAGTGGATAGGTCGAGGAGGACCACAGAACTGGCCCTCTCGATCCCCGGATCTTAATCCTCTCGATTTCTCTATTTGGGGCTATTTGCAGCATTTGGTTAATCGTACTCCTTTCGCGATGTAGAGGACTTAAGAAACCGTATCATCGATGCGTGCAGGGTAATTAGAAAGACTCCAGGAATATTTGAGCGAATACGTGGCTCAATGCGCCGACGTCTAGACGCATGCGTAATGTCTGAAGGTAGACATATTGAACATTTACTATGATTTCTACATGTTGTGTGTTTTGTTATTAATAAATAAGTTTTGTTTACTGTCCTTTGATCATTTAATGCAGGTATTACCTACAAAATGACAATAAATCCAGTTCGCATTTATGATGATGTATCTCTGTAGTTGTTCGTAAAATAATTTTTTGCTGCGAACTGGTTTATTTTGGGCAAAAAACCCAGAAGACATTTTTTGTTTAGAATGAAACAGGCTATCGGAAATGAATTTTTAAATGGTAAACAAATAATAAGACAAAAAGTTACATTAGAAATAAATTTTAGGGGTTGCGTTTTCCACCCCTTACAACCATGGGGCAAACCAAATAAATTACTGGCTAAGTGTCTTTTTGTTGGTACAAAACGTCAGGTTAATTTCGATATTGTAACTTTTTCAGTGCTTGTGAAAAAAATTGTTATACAAATTTGATGTACCCCCTTTAAGGGGCTGTATCTTAGTAAGGGATGCTCCAATGAAGTTTCTTTATATGAAAGATCCTATCTTTTCTTCGATGGAGGAATCACCTCCTTAAATGTTTTACACTTATTCAGTTACACCCTGTATAGGGACAGGCAGCGGAAAGCGAATTTGTTTTATACTATGTATTGATTATATTTAAATTGAATTTAAATTGAAAAATTGTGGAAGGTTATTTCCTACCAGATCAGTGAAGAGTCTTTTTATATGCATTCAAATAAATACATCGATACAACTTTGCGATTCTTACCATTCAAAATCATCGATATCACAATTACAAGTCTGTTTGGAGATATTTCTGACATAACTCAAACCATGGAGACAGTTGGCCAGAGGAATTTTCCGTTCATAGGTTGTTTGTTGACCAAGAACACAAGGTATGTAATAACTACTGCTTTCTGTCCTTTGCCTAGGAAACCATACTGTGAAGTCGTTCTAAAAAATATTTCCAATTAATTTTTTGATATATATACAGGGCGTTCCAACGAAGACTTGACCTCCCCTGTGAGTCTGAAACGAACGTGTAATCGAAAATTTCAAAGGACACGTCAATTTTCATTTCCAGGGGGACTGATTCTGATATGGAAATCATACCCGAAACTTCACCCCCCTGCAGTCAGTAACTACCCTCCCTATTTTTTTCAATGACGGGGGGTCGAGAGAGACATCATTCGAAAAGTTTTTTGTTCCTCTATTACTTCTGTATTTTTTTTCGAAATTTGTTCATTCGTTATTGAGAAATTGAATGTTGAACGTTTCATTTAAGAAAAAACAGAAAATTCGCTATCGCTCATTTTATTGAGGAAATCAACAAAAGTAATATCAATTGCAACACAATCAAGGGTCGAAAGCGTTCCTTACATTATTGAAGATGTCCGGAGCCATAAATGGCATTCCCGAACAGTTCTCTGTCGCAGGTCTTCTAGATTTGTAGAATTGATTTAATTAGTAGTGAAAGTTTTGAAATGGATGACAATGTTAGTTTTTTCTATACTGTTGAATCTAGTTGTCGCAGAACAAAAAGTAGGTAGTTGGCCACAGTCACTGAATGGCACTGAATGTGCTAAAGTTACTGCAAGAATTTATAATACGAATCATCCAGACCACAACGTGAGCCATCAATACGTTAAACAGTTAATGGATAAGTTTCGAACTTCAGGTTCTGTTCACAACAGAAAACATGAAGTATCCCATCCTGTCAGAAATGACGGAGTTGAAGTTGCAGTTTTAGGACATGTACAAATGGATACTGCTGCGCAATCTATCAGACAAGTAGCTGGAGCGTCTGATGTATCATCTACTAGTGTTTTTCGGATTCTGAAGGACTACAAATTCCATCCTTTCAAAATAAGGCTAGTTCAGAAATTAAACGAAGATGATCCCGATTGTCGTGAGGTGTTCAGCGAGAAATTGACCAATAACCCAAACCTTCTATACAATAGGTACATGTTTTTCAGATGAAAGTTCTTTCATGTTGAACGGTGAAATGAATATAGACATAATTGTCGTTACTGGAGCGATGTGAATCCTCATTTGGTGATGGAAATACATTCACAAACTCCACAAAAATTGAATGTCTGGGCCGGCATTCTTGGTAATCATATCGTTGGACCCTTCTTCATTAAAGGTATTATCAATGGAGATACATACTTGAATCTATTACAAGACTCTATAGATCCTATGATTTAACAAAATTTAGGAAATGATGACAATTTAGTAGAAAATGAAATAACATTTCAGCAGGATCTTGCACCCCAACATTCAGATGTTCGAGTGAAACAGTTTTTGGACAAACGTTTTTCAATACGTTGGGGTCAAGGGGTCAAGTGGACTTCTTTCTGTAGGGACACCTGAAGTCGAAAGTGTACTCTACTAAGACCTGCAGGTCTAGAAGACCTGCGACAGAGAATTGTTCGGGAATGCCGATTGCTGACTCAGGACATTTTGAATAATGTAAGGAACGCTTTCGAGAGTAGACTGTATTATTGTATGGAACTAGGTGGAGGTCATTTTGAACAATTTATCCGTTGATTTTGTTTCTACTGATATTATTTGTTGTTGATTTCCTTATTAAAATGAACGACAGCGAATTTTCTGTTTTTCTCAAATGAAACGTTCAACATTTAATTTCTCAATAACAAATGGACCAATTTAGAAAAAATTTACAAAGGTTATAGATATACAAAAGACCTTTCAAATGATGTATCACTCGACCCCCCATGCCATTGAAAAAAAATAGGAGTGTAGTTGCTGACCGCAGAGGGGTGAAGTTTCGTATATGATATCCATATCAGAACTGAAATTTTCGATTATATGTCCATTTCTGACTTACAGGGGAGGTCAAGTTTTCGTTAGAACGCCCTGTATATATAGATATTAACATGATTTGGTTGTCACTATCATGAATGATATCAGTGGCATTATCAGGAAACATTGCACAACTCATACAGAACTGAAATATTCAAATTGTCTTGAATCATACTTCGGGAAAATCTCTAACAAATAATCATTTTATTTTGAAAACATATAAGAGCCGTTACGAACGAACCAACCCATTACTTGATGAAAATCGATAACACTGCCCATGATAATAACCAAATAATTTTCACAAACATTTTTTTTCGATTCTCGACGCGTTTAGCTAACACCGTAGCTTTATCGGTAGATAGTCATAATGATTGAGATATCATTGAAATTTTTCATTCGTTTTAAGACCTATTGATGCCAATATGTGTGGAATATAACATCTTTCATATGTCCGCCACGGCTACTTTGGGGGAAGGTATCCGAAATTTGACCAATGGCATGGAATATGTTGGCATTGAGGGCCTCTGTGGTTTATTCGCATACACCAGCGACTTAAGAAAATTCCACAAGAAAAAGTCTAACGGTGTCAAATCGCACGATCACGGTGGCCAGTTCACATCACCTCCAAGTGAGATGATTATGGTCTCAAATCGCTCGTGCAGAATATCCAAAGTGTTATGGGCTATGTGGCACGTAGTGACGTCCTGTTGAAACCACGTGTTGTTGGTATCCAGATTATCCATTTCAGGCCAAAAGAAGTTGGTAATAATCAAACTATAGTGCTCTCTGCCAATAGCGGTATAAATCGACTCCATTATTTCCAAAAATACTACGAAAATCAGCCATGGAACAGTTCTACCCAACTTCAAGTAACGATAGAGTCCGCTACAGGACCATTGTCTAAGGAAATGACAGAACATTATCATATCTTGGTGAACCCAACAATAATATTGCTCATTTAAAGAAAAGTGATGGTTGGACGTGGCTTACATAACAAATAATAGTTCGAGCAAATTTATTAAAAACAATGAAGACAGATAGATCAGGATTATATAACTTGACTTCTGGCTCTTCATACTGGCCAAACCGTAAGAACTTTTTCCCAAAGAATTGAAGAACATAGAAATAGTCCCTTGAATGGAAAGACAAATTCCACATTTGTGAACTAGCCTAAGCTCAGAAATAAATAGATTTAAGAAATCGGGTCAATTACTGAATGATCGAATGGAATTAAATAACTCCCCTTTATTGAATACTTTTTCAAATGTGGAAACTGATACATAAGCTCAGGTGAATTCATTCATTACATGTTCATTCAAATGAGGTTGTACGCTTTCTTTTTTTTCTCATGGTAATGTTTATTTATTCATTCCTAAACTCAGATACATAAATAACATTACTTGGCTTGGTAAAACTCACATACTTGAAATGCAGGTTAGGTTAGGTTAGGTCCAAACTGAGTGGGTCTATTTGACCATCCATCAAAACCCACAAGGGTTTATTGTAGCTCACATCTATTCACACTCGACCAAATAAACCCAGCTTCTTAACGAAGCCGATTAGTTCGTATGGTGAGTGGTCTTTCAGGTCAGATGTTAAAAGTATACGGCTCTGTCGAACTCTTAAAACCTGATTCGGTCCCCAGCGGGGCAGATAAAAAGTATGTGCTCTGCTGTTTCATCATTTTCCAAACAGAGGCGACACACACTGTCTTCCGAAAGTCCGAGTCTCTGAATAGGATAATTCAAATGACAGTGACCTGTAAGAAGGCCTGTTATACATCATAGTTCATCTCTACTATAGTACTATACTATATACAGTGTGACCCATTTTTAATGGAAACACCCCCCTAAAATTTGAAGTTGTAAACCGATTTCAATAATTTTTTTTTGAAATGTCAAGTACTAAAAGGTCTACCTTGGGACAAAATTTGAAATGTTTATTGAAGTTTCGGAGCATACTACGATATTTTTTCTTAGTCGAAAATCGGGATTTTTTATTAGCGATTTTTTTATTGAAAAAATCACTACGCTACTGGATTCAGAGTGCCTCTAAACAGGTGTGACCAAAATTTCATGAAAAAATATTCATTATTAACAAAGTTATGACAACTCAAAAATAGGAAAACATTAATGCGCAGAGGTTTCTAGAATTTTTAAACACAGAGTTTTGGGGTGCTATTCACGAGCTGCCAATCAATGACCGATCAAATTTAATTATCCAGTTAAATGGGTGTTCAGTTCATTATGCCAGAGCTATGAGGTAATGGCTTAACGAACATTTTCCAAACTGATGGATAGGCCGTGGTAGTCCGTTTATTGAGTGGCCACCCAGATCTCCAGACCTCACAGTTTTGGACTTTTTTTCCTGGGGACTTTTCACACAAAAGGTTTACAAAAACCGCTCAAGAGATAGAAATGAACTTTGTGCAAGGATTGGACAGGTATGTATGTGCAGATATCAGCCCTCAAGAACTAAGGAACGTAATCAGAAACATTCGTAAGCTCTACGACACATGTATCGAAATACGTGGTGGATTAGTAGAGACTACTAGAATATGAGTTAGAATTAATTGTTGCACTGAATCGAAACATTTCAATAATTAGTTATCAGTTACGTTTATTAAAAATGTTTGCTTCATTTTTTTGCTTTCATCTGGCGGCACTTTATTGTTGAAATCATAAAAAAATGATATATTGTGACTGTTAGCTGTGTGAGTTTTTGAATTTTTGAGTTGTCATAACTTTGTTAATAATGAATATTTTTTCATGAAATTTTGGTCACACCTGTTTAGAGGCACTCTGAATCCAGTTGCGTAGTGATTTTCTCAATAAAAAAAATCGCTAATAAAAAATCCCGATTTTCGACTAAGAAAAAAATATCGTAGTATGCTTCGAAACTTATAAACATTTCAAATTTTGTCCCAAGGTAGACTTTAGTACTTGACATTAAAAAAATTTATTAAAATCAATTTACACTCTATATACTACTATAGTACTATATACTACTATAGTACTATAGCCTTGGAGTGAGACAATCCTGAAAGATTCTGCGAGAAGTCCATACATCTTCTTATCATCCAGGTGTTAAATCTTTGTTTGGCAAAGCCTAAAGCGATGCCCATGACAGGTTCTGGTCCGATGAAGCTGCTTGCAGCACCCTCCTTTGCAAGGGAGTCAGCAGCCTCATGGCCAGGAATCCGAACCAGAGACAATCTGGCAATTTGCTACCAATTTAGACGTTGCTGGGTAGGAGCCAAGAGCTTCCAACGCCGCTTGACTGTCCGAGAATATTTTTATTGACTTGTGTTTGAGGTTGTTTCCGCTTGAAATACAGTCGCATAGGTTTTTGGCAGGTTGATATATCTGTCTTGCGCCTGCGACTGAAAACACCAGCACCAGAACCGGAAGGTGTTTTAAAAAATGCAGGTAGTTCAAATTGTGAAATTCATATAAAGCATTGAATATGTAGATGAAGAAAAGAGACATGAAAATTTCTGTTTTTTACCACTTTTATTTGTAACTAACGTTAGTGCAGTTTCATCCTATACGGACATTTTCAGACTCATACAATAAACTAACAATGATTCATTACATTAGCCATTATATACCATCCCTGTAGGTACTAATAGAGGTACTTGGCTTGATTGAGTACCTGAATTTACAGTTCACAATGCAGATCTGCCAATTTAAAACCCGGCATTTAATAGGTTACACCCGCAATGTTTATGCTTATGAATTTCCAAAGATTCTAAATAATTGAGTTTGTAACCCTTTCTTGCATAGTGCAAAATTTCCGTATCGTTTAGATTCGGAAACTTGTGGTTGCATGCCAAGGAATGGTTTGAAAACGTCGAATCATTTTTTCCTAGTCTGAAGGACCTTTCATGTTCAGCATACCGTTTTTGGAAATTTCGGCCACATTGTCCCACATAAACACTATTACAATCCGGACACTTGAGCTTAAAAACTCCAGATTTCTCCAACTTGTCCACCTTATCTTTGGCATTGAAAACGAAATGAGATCATTAATAATAATGTGGTCTGAACGCCACTTCCACATTGATTTTTCTGAAGAAACCCGCAATTATCCCTGTTCTTTTTCCAAAATATGTTAGCGTTACACATTTCTTGATTTCTGGTTGTTTGACCTGAGGGTATATTAATCTGTAAATGAATTGCCGGCTAACTTCTGGATAGTATCTGCGTTGAAACCATTATTATGACCTATCTGTGTAATTGTATCAATTTCCCTACCTAGATTGTTAGCAGACAAAGGCAGTGAGAATGTTCTATGCAACATTGAATTGTAGGCTGCTAATTTATGATTGTCTGGATGGAAAGAATCGCTTGGGATGGTGTCTGTGTAGCTGAGTTTTCTGAAAACATTGAACTGAAATTTATTCTGATTGTGTGTAATGATCAGATCTAAGAAATTTATCTGTTTCTCTATCTTTGTTTCGAGTGTAAACTGAATGTTGCTATTGAGATTATTCATGAATGTCATAAATTGGTTCACCTGTCGTGTAGTACCTCTGAAACAGGCGAGAATATCGTCTACATATCTGTACCAAAAATGAATATGTTTACCCAATCAAGTCAAGTACCTCTATTAGTACCTACAGGGGTGGTATATAATGGCTATTGTAATGAATCATTGTTAGTTTATTGTATGAGTTTGAAAATGTACTGACAGGACGAAACTGCAGTAACGTTAGTTACAAATAAAAGTGGTAAAAAACAGATATTTTCATTTCTTTTTTCTTCATTATGATTTCCTACCACGTAGTAACGGCTACATCCATCAATTTATTGAATATTTATATTTCAGTTCGTTAAGAAACGCATAAAGAAGCTATTGTATAGCGAAACACGTGTTGCATTTTTGTAAAACTGTTTAGTGAAAATCTCCCAATGAAGTGTTTCTTGAATATGATTTGAAACTTCAAATTTGTAATATTATTCGGAAGTGTTTCCAGCATTACTGAAGTGAACAAGTAAATATAATCACTGAATTTCATTAGATTTCAAATAGGTTTGACATTACACCCAGAGTGTAAGATTTGGAACAACGTTTGATAATTAAGAGTGTAATACGAATTACAGCAGTTGTCTATGAAACTTATTGAGATAAATTTCTTCTATTTTTGATGACCGTCTCAACTCGAGCAAACTTCAGTCATTTTTTATGAATAAAAAACAATATACAATCCAGAAAAGTATGCTATTAGAGTCATGTTACTTTTTACCTTAGAACAAGTCCGGTTGAAAACCATTTTCAAATCAACTGTTACTATCATCCATTCCTGTTTGTCTGGGAGTGAACCAAACATCGTGAAAATAGTGCTTTCATCTGTTGCACTCGAGAGCTCGTGCAAATTCATATGGTCATGTTGGAAAATGATTTCTTTCCAATGTGTACCTTCATCGGTTGAATATTTGATGACTCTGATTGCCTCATCTTCAAAATATTCTACTGCAACGAGAATGCCTCCATGGTCGCCTATTCTGTATAGATGACTACCTTTTAGAGTTTGCCTCCAAGTGAGACCGGCATCAACGCTAATATAAACATCGTGTTGACCTTCCAAATTATTTCCCATAACACCAGTAGCCAAGATCACTCCTGGTGCAGCCTTACTAGAAAGGATACTCATTGTTCTGGCAACAGGAGAAAGTTCATTCAATTTTTGAGTCAAGTGTAAGGAACAATTTTGGGATAACACGCAACCAGTCGAGGCTCCTCGTTGATTGGTCTGAGGAGCTACGATGGGACGCCATGAAATCCCATTATCGAATGTGATGAGAGATCTCAAATTTCCTGAATTCAAGAAATTATCGTCCGGTTGTTGAATTTGCTGCGAAGCAATATAAATGCCGTTTAGTCCTTTTACTTTGTATACATCCACAAATGATTCGTTAGACACATCTCTGGAAATAAAACAACTTGTTAATGTATAAATACTTGCCTTGCGTTCACTTTTTAGTTTTCAAGTCTTCACATTTTTGAACGGATCTTCTGGTACATTATCTGATGAAAGATATAGATACCAAACTTATCTCCTTGTCGTTGAATGAAACTGGCCGATATTTGATGAAAATCCACGCCAAAACTTACTAATAAAATTCATTTTGAATTTCACTTCAAAGTGAAAATCAAAATGAATCTTGCAAGTAAGTTTTTACTTGTGAAGTCAACAATGTCGTGACAAGTCTCCGAGACGAGGATTTCTTTTATTAATCTATACTTACGGTAACCATGTATTTTGGAAGCTGATGGATGGAAAGAACGCGAAAACATTCTTAAGTGATGGAGCGAATCGAATTGTTTCGTTGATACTTCTCAAGTCTTCGGACACGTATAAAGTGGACGATTTATTCGAATGGCAGGCAACAATTAGAGCTCGATTTTCCGAAACGTCTACAACGAAAAAGCTGAGGAATTTCTGTGTGGATTCAAAAATACATCGGAATTGCTTTCCCAAATTCAAAGAGACGTATAAGGTCAAATTTCCCTGAAAAAAGAGTAGTAATACAAATACATGCCCCCAATTGGAATAATTTATATTTCTATGTATGTTTCCAGTATTTATTTCAGAAATATTATAATCAATGTTCAAAAAAGGTAATAGTAATGATTATAAACAACTAGCTACTCCCATGACCCATACAATGAATAATTGATTTGTGGAGCTGTCCTCAAAAGAAATGTTCAAACAATAAAAAAGTAATAATCTGCTTTCATAAAAAACAATAGGAATATTTTGTACAGAGAACACCCAGTGCTACATAGAATGTCTCAGGAGTCAATCAACAATATTGACATATTCTACATTCAAAACTCCTTTGACATCTGTCGAGGAAGTTGATGAATGAAAAGAATTAGCGAAAGGAAAACTTAACTTAAAGTTTGTCCAATTCTGAAGACAAAGGCAGATTTAACCTCCGAAACGTTGAGATGAGTATATTATAATTTCTTAGCTCTTTCTATTTCGATAGGCAGAATTATCAAATACGACAAGTTACTGATGAAAAGAAAATTTTTATTTGTGAAAAATACTTTGAATTCTCGAAGTGCCGTATCCGATGAACTAAAAAGTTATGAAGGGAGTCCTCTTTTACAATTTTTGTATTTTTCAGATTATGGATGGTCGAAGTACTCAAGAAAGATTGATGAAAACACTAAACATTTTAAATGAAAACTTCATTCTTGAAGGAATCTAATATTTCTTGACTTGCAATGTCTAAACTATCAAAATTGTATCTAAGATCTAACTTTTGATAATAAAATTTCGATTGTGCAACTAATAAAAGAAATCCTATTTGTTGCACAATCAAACGCACTGCATATTGAGAGGTATATAGAACGGAGTGTACGGTGTGTAATTTTTCAGTTGTTCTGTTTGGATGTCACTTAGATTCAGATCTAATACTTAAGTAGCAATTTTCAAAGTCAACCGGAATTACTATTTGTTGAATATAGTACTTTAAGCTTTTGGATTTCTTGATACAAACAAATGTGGGAAACTTTCAAAGAAAGGAAAGAACCAATTAATTTTGAAAGAAGTAACTCTATACATAGATGTGTAGATCATGCAGAGAAGTAACTTTTAGGAGGGCTTTACCTTCCAGTTTGTGTCTGAAAGTTACTTCTTTGCATGATCTACACATCTATGTATAGAGTTACTTCTTTTAAAATTGATTGCTTTCTTCCTTGGAAGATTCGCACATTTCTTTGTATCAAGATGGAGTAGTAGAAAGCCAAAAACTTTCTTTCCCAAAAATTAGTCACCCCTAAAAATATAACTCTTGCCATTTATATTACTTCAACTATTATATTATTACTTACTTCATCGTCAACTCTTGTTGTGAACAATAAATTTCCGTTGAAGAATAAATCTTTCACATCGGTGGTGTAAAGACGCTGTTCTTTTTTGAACAAATTATCTGAATAGATCACTGTGCTGAGATTATTCAGTTCCATCTTTTGTAGAATCAGGCGATTATGTCCGTTGTGATTCTTCATCCAATGAACCGATTTGAAGGATTCACCATTTTCATTGAACGTCTTTCCGAAATCCTCCGTTATCCATAGCTAGAAAATGGTTTGACAGTGAGTAAGCAGATGAATATTTACCAAATAATTTCACTTTTTTTTTAAACTACACCACACGATTTGATCTCCACAAACTTTATTTGAGAAATATATCACATGTTTCGATAACACACTAGCTTTGTCAAGTGATTTGAATACTTCAAGTTGTTTCTTACACCAATGTTTATATACTGCAGGTAACCATAATTGAGACTACCTCCAAAAAAGTTCAATAATGGTGATCTATACAAATCCAGTTGGTTATTCATTGGAATGCTTGAATTTTTATTAATTTTCATTGCTTCCAAATGATTCAGTTTCAAACCTTTATTTTCTATGTGCAAAATTTCGAACTCTTCGTTAAAGCTATGATATGCTTCTAGAAGATGATTTGAATATGTTGAATTTGTTTTATTATTTACATAGCTCGTATGATGTTCCTGGATTCGATTCCTAAATGTTCTGCCAGTTTGACCAATATATACTTTAGGGCACGTTCCACACTTTAATTTATATACTCCTGATTTCTCGAATCTGAATGTTTTGTATTTATTATTTTTAACTATCCCAACGTATTACTTGTTCTTTATGCAATTTTACTATCTCGTTTCCTCAAAAATGAAGCCACTTTTTCCGTTAGTTGTCCGAAGTACGTTAAAGCTCTATAATGTTGATTATCTACCTTATCAATAGGAAAAACGTCTCGAACCGCTTTTGCGTAGACTTTCTTGGCAAGTATTTTGTTAATTAATTATCTATTGAAAGAGGAACATTGACTAATCTGTGAATCATACTGTTATAAGCTGCTACTTTTTGTTGATAAGGATGGGTAGAATCGTAATCTATAGTAGGGGAGCCAGCCCAACAGTGAGACAGTTCCTACAGTGAGACACTGTCTCTCCCCCACTTATCACGCGACCGACTAGGTTTTCCATTGGTGAGCAGAAACCTTACATACCAACAAGTAATCGCTGACAGTGTTGAACACGCGGCTGGCAAAGATGCACGCGCCGTTTAAATTAATTTAATTTCCACGTGTGTAAGTAAATATTTTCAAGTTTTGTCAGTTCGTGTTTTCGGAAGTGAAAGAAAGTATTTTGGTGATCTGCCTAGGTTAAAGGTAGGTATTTTTTATGTAGATTACAAGAGTGGGATCATTTTGTTTCTATAAATTTTATTGTATAAGTGAGGCTACAAAATGGCTGCCGACTACACGTGCCCAACAGTGAGACACCCAACAATGAGACAACGTCTCACTTTTGGGCACTGTCTCACTGTTGGGCATATGTGACCAAATATGTTTTTGCAGGCTAATTATAGATCCGAAGAAAAGAAAAATTGGAAATTGCGCAGAGGAAACAATGAAAGAAGCAGTAAATCTGGTTAGAGAAGGAGGATCTTTGAGAAAAGTGGCTGCTTTGAAAGATATACCATTTCAGACATTGGCTAGATATGTTAAGAAAGCCAGAGACGTTGACGACATTAGTCAAATTCGGATGAGTCCCAACTACAGTATTAATAAAGTATTTACGTCCGCAGAAGAAGATTCCCTAGAAAACTATATCATAAGCTGCTCACGCATGTTTGGGTTGTCTGTTGATGATTGTAGAAAACTTGCCTATGAAATGGCAATCGAAAATAAAAAGAAAATTCCTGCCAAATGGCATGAAAGAAAAATGGTAGGGCTGAAATGGATGAGAGGTTTTCGCCAAAGACATGTTCGACTGTCGCTTCGCACCCCCGAAGGATGTAGTTTATCCCGTGCGACGTCATTTAATAGACATTAATAGACATTTTTAACCAAAATTTGAAGAATATATATTCAAGAACTGATGCGTTTGCTGACGGAAGAAGAATCTAAAATTTGGATGAGACTGCGACTAAGACGGTTCAAAAATCAGCAAAGGTTGTTGCTGAGAAAGGGGTGAAGCAAGTTAGCAAGGTAACAAGTGGGGAGAGAGGTACATTGGTTACCACTTGTTGCATCATTAGTGCCTCCCCGTCGATACCTACCACCAGCAATGGTTTTTCCTAGGGTGCATCTAAAGGAGCATATGCTACGAGGCTCCCCATCAGGAACGTTGGGGCTTGCTGCTCCAAGTGGGTGGATGAATGCCGATCTTTTTTTAGAAGTAATGAAGCATTTTATAAAATATTCTAACAGCTCTAAAGAAAATCCATCGTTTTTAATCTATGACAATCATGAAAGTTATCTTAGTATTCGTGTTCTTAATTTGGCCAAAGACAACGGAGTAACCATTCTAACATTTCCTCCTCATTCCACAAATAAAATGCAACCACTAGATGTGGGGGTATTCAAAGCATTCTCAACATGTTATAATTCATATGTAGATACCTGAATGATGCAGCATCCAGGTAAGCCTTTCACCATATATCAGGTAGCTGAGTGCGTCTGATTTGGTCATGAAAAAGCTCTCACACCGGGCAATATTATAAATGCATTCAAAAAGTGTGGTATATATCCATACGATGCCAATGTCTTCATAGATATAGACTTTCTACCAAGCGCTGTTACCGATCGCGATTTGAAAGAAGATGTAAACCAAAAAAAGTCCATCGATCTACCAAGTACATCAACATCAACAAAGAAAATATCCGTGAGTGATAATATTCAAGAAAATATATCGGATATAGAAAATGATGCTACCTTAGAAACCAGTATTGAAAATAGCAATCAACAAAACGATAAAAATGGCAAGACTGTCACAGATGTTTTTAAAAGGCCAGACGAATTTAAGGGCTTTCCAAAAGCCGGAGAACGCCAAACTAAAAATATGCGAAAAAAGGGCAAAAGTATTATAGCTACTGGCACACCCGAAAAAGATGCCATAGAAGAACGAAGCATTACGAAGAAAAGAAAAATTGATAAAATCGAAGTGAAAAAAGTAGAAAAGGTCAAGTAACAAATATTTGAAGATAGTTCTGAAAGCTCAGAGGAGGAACTTGAACTTGGTTCATTCTTAGGGGATGACTGCTACTATACAATCAATCCAGATGGATTTGAGGAGCTTCATAGCAAGCCCACAGAAAATGATTTTGTGCTCGTGGAATTTGCTGGAAAATTGGAGAAGAAGAAGGTGTATTATGTTGGAAAAGTCCTGAAAATAAATGATTCAGAAGAGTAGGAAATTTCGTATCTTAGAAAACAAACTGATGGCACCAGCAAATTTGTATTTTCCAATATTTCAGATGAAACTATTGTTGCTTTAAATGATATTAAGCTCATCATGCCACCCCCACACTAGCACACTAGCCGACAGATGGCTTCTTTTACGTTTGAGATAGATTTTGGATTAATGGACATTAGGTAGATACATTCCTAGATATTATATTTTTATGTTTAGGGATTTTTTTTATGTTCTGTATCTTTTTTTTTGTTTATTTTGGAAGTGTCTTTTGTGTTTAATAAATATGATTTATAAACTATGTTCGCAACAATCAGTATATCAAAATTATCTTATGAGAATGATATATTAATCTCAATAATAATATCCTCAATAAACTTTTTCAAAACACAACAGCTTAAATAAGATTTTTTGACATGCTAGATTATATATTTTCATTTATTTTCCCTGTCTCACTGTTGGATTTAAAGTGTCTCACTGTAAGGCATATGTGTCTTACAGTTGAACAAATGCACTTATATATATTCTTGCAAAAAAAATATCAAACTTCAAAGTTACAAATATTTCACTTGAAGAGAGATTGATATAAATGTCAACGCCTACGCCGGCGTTCAATTTTTTCATTTTGGATGGATAAAAACAAAATTACACTAAAATAAAAAAGACTGTCTCACTGTTGGGCTGTCTCCCATCATCATGTTTGTTGTTCATTCTACTAATTGTTGAGTCCAAGAAATGGATTGAGTTGTCTGCTTCTATTTCAATAATGAATTTAATGTTTTCATGAATTTTGATTTCTAATCAAAGGATGTTTAAAGATCGACTTCCTAGATTATCCATGAAAATTTCTGCAAGTAAGGGGCTTAATGGATTTCCCACAATTGAACCTTTTGGGGAGGAATAAATATTGTTGTTAATTTGAAAATAATTTTGTTTGACACAAAACAACAGAAGGTCAATTATTTCTCGGTTTATGACTGGATTTATTTTTATCTAATAATTCTATTACTAAAGTAATAGTATCATCAGGAGGTATGCTGAGAAATAGATTCTGCACAAAGGATAATAATTTTGCGTTGTCTGGTATGTTCTCTATTTTGTTGATTAAGTCATATGAATTCCGTTGACTGAATTTTGGTTGAAAGTTACAAATCGTGAGGTGTAGTTTTTGAAATTACTATGGATCTTCATCAAGTAACGGCCGAATCAATAAAAAAAATTCACTCTTGATGATAATCAATCTATTTGATATCGGTTCTCCATAAAAAGACTTGAAACTCTGCAGAATCAAACTTAAATTCATTAACATCATCAAATAACTCGTCCCCTGATATGATGAATTTCATAATATTCTTATTTGACTTCAAATGTAACTCATACATGTTTCCAAAATAAATACCCATTTTGTTATTTATCAATTCGATGTCATATTTCTAAATGGAACCGGCTACATTGCCAGTTCACACTTGGCAATGCCACCAACTCAAAGCCTTCTGACTTCACACATTTGCCTGGTGTAGTCTGTTGACAATTTGAATTCCTATCAATTAATTTCGTAAACGATTGAACTTACCTTATGATTTTTGTCCAAAATTATAAAAGTAGAGGGATCTGTATCATCGAAAGACACTTCCTCTGGCGTAAAATTTAAAGGATAGGATACAAATGTTTTTCCATAATCCCTTGTTAAATATATCCAGTTGTTCTCCGTGTCGGTGAATACAAGCTACAAGCAGATGAACAATATCAATAAATAGGTACCCAATAAGAGATATTAGAACGATTATCTGTTCATAAATTATTTTTGCATCCAGCTCGCATTTTCAATAAGGAAATAAAATCAGGAATTGCACAACATTTCCACAAGAAAAAATGAATTTTTATCTCTAAAAAACACATAGTTATGGTAACAGAATACCAAATATTTTGTTTATAGGTACCAATGATTACAAAATAATAATCTCAAAATCAAGTTTTCTTTAATTGCCACAATGCAAATAACAAACACCCTGGAGAAATAAAGACTTTAGAAAGTTATCAGGTATATTCGAGACCAAATTGATGAAAACTTTTGCTTGGTGAATGGACAACATAGTGTTTTATTTATTGATTATTGGAACATACTTTTCCATCATGCAGTCAGTTATTGTCTTTATTTTTGTTGGTGGTAATTTATGTTATTTATTTTTGTTTACACTCCAACATGAAATTTCATTTATATATACGAAAAAAGCAATATATTTCAACTATTCAACAATGAAGCTGAAATTTCCGAAATAATTAATGATAATTTCTTATCGGACCTGCAAGCCCTGTACGTTAATTACAACTGAAAGTATACTTACGTGTGTTTGGTTTTTGGGCTGATAATAAAATTTATTTATCACAGCATAATTTCCATCAGACATCTTTAGGTTTTCTTTTTTATTGATATAACTACCACCATTGTCATAAGATATGAAAACAGTTGATGGAGAAGTTCTGAGGGGTTCTGGATCTCGAGCTAAACAAATGACCACTTTACTTTTTCCACCAACCCAATGACTCAGCAACTGTTTGTGTGAATCATGTAAATTGTTTATCTGAAAGAAATGAAATAATGGATCTTATTTTGATTAAACCATCAGGGTATTACAGGGAAAGCATTCTATCAATAATAACAGTAGGTAAATGAGTTCTTGTAAATGCCTGCTGGAAAACAACTACTTCCCAGGCTAGCACCACGGTGGACATTGAATTATATCCGAGAGGAATTCATGCAAGATACCTCACTGGGGTAGAAATATGCTGAAATCAATCGTGTAGATCACCTACAGATCGGATTCAAATTATTATTTCTCATCAGTGCAGGAAAGGTTCAACTCAAACAGCAACTGATTTCAATGCGGCTCGACTATATGTATGAAACCTTCATCTTAGTGAAATATTTGTTGTCTAGTAATAACTTCATATCGTGAAAAGAGGCCCAAAAGCAGGAAATGAACATCCCATGTTCAATGCTCTATCAAAAATCAAAATAAGCCTGAATACTGTATCGAGAAGAGATACAGAACACAATAAAATGAATTAATCAAAATGAAATCCTGAAACATTAATCTTTCCCAACGTACTCACAAAGTAGATTCCAATATTTCAGTTTTTTGGCATGCATTCACCAGAACCCAATGTCTAGGTACATTGGGAGAGATGGATGTTTTGGGATATTCAATTTTCTATTTATCCCGCCAGAACAAGGTATTGGTGGTTACATTATGATAGATTATGATGAATTACTCCGTTACCGGATCCAGTACACTTGATTCAAGGTAAACAAAGTGATTTTATCTTCAACGTGACATCACCTTATCGCGACAGATGAACGAAATTTTCGAAAAATATGGATTTAAAAGGAATGCCACCCAATTTGAGGCTGCAATTTCGTAAGAAATTCCCACTTTCCCACTAACCGATTTTTTAGAGTCTTTGAAGTCCACTAGATACTCGTTTGGACAACAAGAGGATTGTTCCGAATCCTTAGGGTTCTTGTGAGCAGAAAAATAGCAGAATTAATACTCCTGCCGCTCTGGTTGAATAACTCCGTACAATCTCTCTCGTCTTGTGTTTTGTAGATTTTTTGCTGGAAAAATCCTTACTAGTTCACTTTGTGGTACATGTTCAAGAGGTAGCAAAAACGTATGTGACTTTCTAAGACTTCAACTATCGTTTCCTAATATGACTGATAACCAGTCTGTGCAAAGTTTATTGTTGAATCATCTAAAAATAGAACTTTTAACGGGTGATGATCAACTGTATTGCCAAATATGCGCCAAACTAACTGGCTATTATAGGACATCAAGTATAGTTGAGGCACCAGTCATTCTAATAATAAGACTGATGATCCTCAAACATGACTCAACCTCTGACGGAAACACCAAACTCTTACGAAGGTTCGAAATAAATGAACACTTCAATCTAGCAAACCACTATTATAATGTTCATGCAGTCATTGTTCATTGTGGTTCTGGCGTTGAATCTGGTCATTATTACGCATTGGTCAAAGACGAAACGGACTGGTTTAAGTTTGACGATAATCGTGTTACTAGATAATCTGGCAATTGGACAGATCAAGATCTTCAGATGCAGGTTTTTCCAGGTTTTCCTGCAGCTGAAAAAGCAAATACGCCGCTGGAATCAATCAATTCGTCCGGAGCGTCAAATAATTTTTGTTGTTATTTTATAATTTCATAACTTGTATTACTTCCTTCATTTATATGTTTGTATAATTAAAAATGTATTTGGAAAGTATGATTTTCCTTAGTGATTTCATATTATATATTTCTATTTGTTGGCTTCACTAGGAACCAATTTCAGTGTTTCATGCTTATATTTATTAATTGTATTTATATTTTTGCATTTATTTTTTGATTGATTCTCAATACTCCTCAATTTATACAGTGAGCACCATATGTAACGGATACATTCATTTTCTACGTTATTAGCCATTTTCAAGAAAAATCCCGAAACACGTCGAATTATGTATTCGGAAAGACACTCCGTGACATAAAAAATCCCTCCTCCTTCTCCCCCCTCAACGTGACAGCCACCACCCCAATGTTTTTAAATGTAAAAGGGGGTCAAGTGATACCTCATTTTGAAGGGTATTCAATTTTCTGTACAGCCATATCTTTATTTTTTAATTTCGTGCAAGCGTCATAATGAAACAAAAATTCAAAGTGTTGAAAGGTATCACGTAGGATCACGTAGAATCCGTCCGCTGTACACTATGCTATGCACCTTCAATTTTGTTTGTTTGTTTTTACCAACCGTTGTTTGTCAGCCGTGACAGTTGAGTAAAAAATTGTATGTTTTCTGTGAACTTGCTGAAGAGAAACAGTTTTGCAGTTGTTGTTTGTGTTTTTTGTTCCGTATTACTTAGGGACGATAGGCTAAAAGTTCTAGCAATGTCTCATTTGACTGAACGTCAAAGAGTAGAAGTATTAATACTACTAGGATGTGGGGACAAAACTAGAACCCAGAAGAATGTAAGTGAAATGTTCAATAATAAATATCCTGATCATCACATTTCTCAATCTACCGTTAATAGAATAGAAACGAAATTTCGTGAATTTGGGACTGTCAAAGATATTTCAAAACCAGGCAGGAGTGTATTAATTGACGATGAGAAGAAATTGGATATTTTGGTAGACATCGAGGAGAATCCACATAAACCTACCCGACAACTTGCCGCCGATTACGACATAAGTCAAAGTTGGATATTGCGTGTTTTTAAAAGTGAAAAGTGTCACCCTTATAAAGTACAATTGGTACATAAACTCAACGAAGACTATCCAGATCGCAGAGTTTTGCGAAATAATGGAAGCCAGGTGTCTGCGGGATCCTTCATTAAAGAAAAATATATCGTTTTCCGACGAGTCAACTTTTTTTTAGATGGAACCGTCCACAGACAGAACTGTCGATATTGGAGCTAAGAAAATCCCCACTGGATGATGGAGGCCCACACTCAATCTCCCAGAAAAGTAAATGTTTGGGCAGGGATTATAAATAATTGCATAATTGGACCATATTTTTTCAACGAAACATTAACCGGTGAACGTTACTTGGAGTTTTTGACTAGTTTTTCAGTTCCAACGCTGAAAAGACTTTTTCCAGATAATGATAATCCGTATCAAATAGATAGGAGTATCTGGTATCAGCAAGATGGTGCTTCAATGTTTTTCCCAACAGATGGATTGATAGACGAGGTGCCATAGAGTGGCTAGCCCGTTCTCTCGACATGACACTGCTTGACTACTTTTTGTGGGGTTACCTAAAATCCAAAGTATACATCAATAGACCAAACAACATTGAAAGTTTGCAAATCTGAATTAGAGAAGAAGTAGAACGTATCACTCCTGAAACCATTCAAGATGTTGCTGATAATTTTCAGCAACGCCTTTATTATTGTCAAGAAATAAATGACTGTCAGTTTGAACATTTAATCTGAAGACTTCCATTAGTTGTAGATTGATTGCTACCGCTTTAATAAATGATTTAGATAACACAATTTATTCAATCTTTTTTTTTTGACGCATGCACTGAATTAAAAAATTAAGATATGGCTGTTCAGAATTCAACAGTGATTAGATGAAATTTATTAACATATTGTGTACTCAAACAAAAGACTTTCCGCCGTGAGTGAAATTTTGTGTTCAGGGTTCGGGTTTATTGTATATTGTAGAAAGTATTGAAATATTCTGAATAACATTAAGATTTTGATATACGTTTTTGAAATCGCCGCCATTATCATCACGACTATCAGATTTGCCATAAAACAGTGTAAAAATATGTAGGTAGCAGGTAGGTATGGTGTGTGTGTGTGTTGTGTGCATTGCATTTCTTTCTACGACAGCCGTTCACCAGCATTCACGTTAGTTCCAACTGCATGCGGCTACTTCCAGAATTTATTTCATTCTCGGGATCATGTTGGTAGCCAAATACTCGGCTTTGATGGAACCCATTGTCACCGTACTTCAAACTGTAGCTTTGGACGTGGTCAAAGCCTCGGAATACGTTAGCAGGATTTTACTTTTAATTAAAAACCACCGTGAAAATCCGGAAAAAGTGACAGACAAAATTGAAAAGGAAGCTAGGAAGCTGTTGCGGAGAAAGCCGTACTGGGGGAGGACATTACATCAATGCCGCGTATTACGGGGCAACGTCATAGAATCAGCAGAAAGCCCTTCAGAATACTGGAAGAGGTGTTTAGTAATACCATACTTGGATTCAATTATCACCTCCCTTGAAGTACGTTTTGCTGAAGAAAACTCGCATTATCTAACTTACACCCGGCGCAGATGCAAAAGATGACAACTGAAAATCTGAAACAAACTTGTGAATCTATTGCCCAGTTTTATGATTTACCGAACATAAAGAATAAAATCGAACTTTGACAGCAATTGTGGCACGATAGGCTCAATCTAACAAATCTTACAGTTGTTGATGACCTAAAAGAAACAAATTCCTTCTTTCCCGAAACGGAAAAAGCATTGAAAATTTTAATCGCTTCACCATGCACGACCTGTACAGTAGAGCGATCCTTTAGCAGCCTCAGAAGACTGAAAACATGGCTATAAAGCACCATGGCAGAAGATCGCCTTAATGGTTGGCCATGATGAGTATACAAAGAGCTATAACACAACACAACAAAAAAATATTTTTTGAATGTTTCCTACACTAAATTAGTCAATTTCTACTAATTTTGGGGTGATAAAAACGAAAATAACAATGAAAAATTTTTATTAGCTCTGGTTTTTGAGATACACAGTACTTAAACTTAAAGAGTAGTTATACTATACATGAAAAGTGAAAGTACATAAAACAATATTGTAATGTTTCTTTTAGAATATTTTAAGTACAAAATTAATGAAAAAAAAACATTCTTAGTGTTTTGACAAATAAAAGAAGTTTGTACCACCAAATTTCAATTAAGTCCATCCGATTCATTGTAAGATCGCTGTCGTTTAGCTTGTCTT